AACAATATTTCCATTTTATTGAGGGAAACATGCAAGTGAAAGTGATACTGCTGCAGCGGAGTTGTTTCATGTTTTGTTTTTAATCTATTTCTGCTTGCTGACAATGAGACAAAGCTTTCTAAGTAATGGGTTCTAGGTGATGTTGTAAAACAGTTTGTGCAGTACAGTAATAAAAACTGCTCTGGTTTTCAATGGTCTTCATACTAAGCCTTGCTATCAATTGAGTTTAAGTATGTGTGTGATAGCAAATGATATGCCCAAAAGTGTTGGGTAAAGCATGTTTATATCCATTCAGATTTCACAGCAGAAATCGCCCTCTCGAACAGATTACTGCAATTTTGAAGTCGGAACCATCACGATTGATACCAACTAATACCAGTTCATGAAGTACACCTTCATTAGAAGGTACTGCACAAAATTCAGTGATGTGATTCAAGGACCTGGAAATACTTTTTGGAGAAACCTGAGAACAGGTGGGGTCAAAGTGGTTAGAGTCACTCAAGGAGAATGTTAGCAACACAGAATTTTTGTGAACCTTGAGGCATGAATATTATAATCCTAAAAATCAAGTGTGTTGCCTGTGTTCTGTGTTCCTCTGCATCTCCTTCTCTATCAGTACCTCAGTATAGGTAACTATTAATGTGAAGTTCTGATTCTTTTCTCTAAGTTACTCAGTTTTACAGTGTCTGAACTAGGAATAGATTTTAGCTCTGTATTTACCAGGGTTAGCAATATGTAGCTGGATCTATAATAGCAGTTTCTGCCCACCTAGAGGAGCTCAGGAATGTCAGCAGTTGTGCATTGCACATGTGGTAAGAAATAAATGGAGTAGGCTAATTATCTGCTGCAATGGGTGTATAGGGCTTCTATTTTATAGCTATAGGACAAAATGTATTCAGGGGACTTTGAGATGTTTGTTTTGTGTAGTTTACTCATGACCTGGTCACACAGTCACTTTAGAACTGTGCTGCTAAGACACATTTGCTGTGTTCCTGCATCTCCCATCATATGCTGGTGCAGGTACCTGGAGAGTTCCTGCTTCTACCACTCCAGTATGTATTACTAACCACAGAAGTACTTGAAAAAGTCTCACTGTGCTTGTTTTAAGCCACATAGCTCTATTTGCTGTAGGAAATGCCTATCCTGTAAATATGATTTGATATAGTCTTGTGACATTGAATTAGGATACAGTATGCTCATGAGCAAGTTGCATATATCAGTCTGCAGCAGAACTTTACAGCAACTGGCTTTTCTAGGCCTTCTCTGTCATGTGAAAAGACTGCTTAACCTAGAAACAGTCACTCTGATTTCCTTTAGCATATCCAAGTTATGAGCAGGCCGTTGAAATGACATTGATGTTCAACAGGTAACTTCTATCATCTGTAGGAGAATTTTGCACTACCTTCCTAAATTTTGTCTGTGCCTTCAGTGGCTACTCAAAGGGACTCTAAAACTATGTCCTTGAAGGGCAAAACAATTCCAGTTTCTCCAGCAGTGATAAAAAGCCAAGCAAAAGAACTCACTTGTAGGATGACATGGCAAGTCCTGGCAGAATTGCTGAGGCTTGGCTGCTTCTGGCAGGCAGAATAGTCTCCACTTATTAAAGAAATACTTGTGTCCCAGGTAAATGGGATTTTCATATACAATCGAGCTGCCTTTCTCCACCAGATAAGCAGCACTGTTTGATGCTGGACTACAGATAAGAGTTGACACTGCTGAGTTCATAACAGCACCCTTAGGACTTGATAAAAATGATTTGCAGTCCAAACATTTGCAAAGAATTGTTAGCCCATCCTGGTATACGTGCTGGACCAGGATACTGGCGTACTGGGACTTCCCTCTCCTGTTTTTGGCAGCTGACTGAGGTGAAAGCTGTGAGCAAATACAGGGGAGGTGCTGTTCTGAGCTCTGGGTGGATTTTGTGTTTTGTCTTCTTGGTAATGTGTTTTTTAACTATTTACCATATGGAACACTTTTCTTCCCCCCTTTGGGTTGTTTTTGCTGATAATGAATACAAAGGAATTATGTAATTATGGATTGAGGTTTGCTTTGAGCTGGTGTGAATGTTTCTATGTGCCAAATCTGACCCAAATTCTGGGGAGGAATGTGTAAGTTAAGAGTTCTGTTTCTTAGAGCCCCTCCTTTGTCTGAAAGCTATGAAATTAAGTGGGCCTGCAGTTTTGGTGTAGGTCTGTTGGATTTCTCCTTCCTCATTCTTCCTGTGTGGCCTGCCTCTCACATATGTTTGTCCTGTGATGTTTAGCCCTTGGTTAAAAAAAGGAAGCATTTTGCTTTCTTTTAAATATGTTGTCACCTGCTTTATTCTGAAAATGGGAAAATATCTCCATCTCATATGGTGGTGTTGGCTTTTGCCTTGTGTGTGTATTTTAAGTCAGAAATATGTTAGGAAATGGTGATAAAAGGGAAGGCTGCTGCAACTGTGGGAGGGAATCAAACTGTTTTTAAATGTTTATCAGTGTTGCTGGATTTGTGACTAATATTGCAAATCAGTTTGGATCAGTCAGTATGTTTTCCTTTAAGTCTGCTCTAAATTTCAAGAGGAGAGAACTGCTTACAACTGAGTTTGTTCCCTAGCTGAAGCCAGAAAGGATTGTTGTCTCCATGCTAAAGCAGAACAGTGCTACTATGCTATGGAAAATCTTATTTCTTCTTTTTGGAACTTGTCCTTTGGCACTTTTGTGTTTGCTTTCTGCAGGGCTGAATCAAACCTTGACTTGTTCTGATTACCAGCATCTTGAACCTAAATCTTAGGCTCCTAAAAACAGGCTGCTTTCATAGAATATGCAAAGCTGGTTATACAAAAATATTAGATCACTACTAGGTGAGGCTTCGCATCAAAAGAAATGTTAAGAACATAAATCTGTTTGGGGAAACTCATCCAAGCATGTGAAGATATTGTCAATATGATTCATCACTTACCTTGGCATGATGTACCAACATCTTGGTAGATAAAACTTTTTGCAATTACATGTTCTCTGCCTCTGACAGAACAAATGTGTATGTGGCTGTGGGGAGGGAGAGCAGGGGAGGCTTTGGGAGGCTCAGGCAGAGCACACCTTGGCTTACATGTCTTTAGACCAAAGATAAAGTCTTTCAGTGCTGTGGCAAGAGAAGATGGACATGGGTATTTTCTGAGAGGGAAGTACTATCTTAGTGTAGTCTCATGATCCAGTTGGCTTCTCTTAGCTGTCATTAAGAATCTGCGTTTGGACCATGGAACATGCAGGTGGAACATTGCTGCCATGTACTGTAACAAGCAGTTTGGTTGTCACCCCTAAACGATGGGGCTACAGTGTGCTCACTGTTTCCAAACAGACAAACAGATGCTACTGTTTCTTTTCATATGCCCAGCCCTAGGCTTCTGAGCACTCTGGGCTATCTCAGAGTCTTTGCTGTGGCAAATTGTTGTCAATAGTCCTTAAAGAGGCTGGATGATGTAAGGAAAGAACAAACTTTTATTAATGTGGCACAGGAGGATTGCCCACTGAGTGCATTGCACCTGCAGCTGTAAGCATTTTTAGCTGGCTGGTTCTGCCTGTCTGAAAATACCTTCCATGATCCATGTAAATGGCAAATGCTGCCTCATCTGCAGGGCCATGTGGTTGTTATGCCCAGATGGCTCCCAGTGTGGGGAAGAGGAAGGCATTGGCACTTCTCAAAATGAAATTCACTGTGTTGTGCTTATCAGGATAGCAAGACTTCTGTTGGTTGCTGTTCTTCACCCCATCAGTGGCCACACAGCCTCACCTAGAGCAAGGACCAAGTCAAAAGTGAGTTCTTTGGCTATGCTCTCTCAACTGCCAGAATAACACAGCTATTCACCTATTTGTTAAAGTCTTATTTGCTTTATTGTTAGTCAATGAACAGCCACCAGTCAAAAGAAGCTAATCCTTTGCTCTATGTAGCTGTGTAATATCCCCCCTCCAAACACTATTGTTTTCATCTTCTCCTTTTTCTGTAATGAATAGCAATATCTTCCCCTTTCTGTTCACCACCACTATAATGATCTAATTCTAGAGCTTGTTGGCTTTCAAGAGGTCCAGATGATGCAATATCATTTGGGATAAATTTTGCTGGATTCTTGGCTACTGGCTGCTACCTACTGCTCTACTGGACTTATTTGCAAGGAGAAAAGAGGCTGAATAGAGAGTTGGAAGGCAATTCCAAGAGACTTGGAAGGCAATGCTCTGGGGAGGAGCATGTGCCAGGTTGAAATGGTAGATCTGCTGCAGCAGTGAGCTCAGGCCATGGAGAAGTGAGAACAGCTAAATGGGGTTTGCACAGATCCATCAGTTAAGTTGTAGTTCTTGAATGTGCAAAGCTGTAGCAAGTCTTTTGCCTTGGAGTGCTCAGAATTAAGTGGGCAGATGTTCACAGCAACATGGTTTTACTTAAAACTGTATGTTTTAATAGGAAATTTGTCCTATTAGACAACAGACTATTGTCTGTTTAGTCCTTAAAAAAAAAAGCTGTGAACCTGGTGAGCTGAAAACAGGCTTTGTGGATTTCTAAAAGGCCCTTTCAATCCATAAGTTTTTGGAACAGAGCCTCACTTTTAACCATTTCCCAGCCTTGCTATGCAGTGTAGTCTTCTGACATGCCTGTAAAAAGGGTCAGTGCCTGAGAACCAATGGGTAGAAGAAGGAAAACAGTTTTGCTTCACAGATGTTTATTTGTTGAGCATTTCTGCATTAGGGTACAGGAACATCTCCAAGGCATGGGTTAATGCAGCATTATAACATGTGATGTGCTTTGGACAGCTGTTTGCCTGGCTCAGACTAAGCTGGGATCTTTAATTCCATTTCTTTTTGTTTGCTTTAATGTGTAAAAGGCTCTAACGGAGTCTCTCTGCCCTGAAATTAATGTTATATGTGTCCCTTAGCAGTGAATGCTTCTCTTGCCCCACACAGTCCAAAAACTTGTCTGGAAGCAAACAGTCCTACAGAAACAGGTCATCCTGTGCTCAGGCCCCCAGGCAGAGAGAGGTGGAAGGAGAAGGATGTGTACCCAGCTCTGATTCCAAAATGGAGTTAGGATGTGAATGAAGGTTGTGACTCTCCCTTGAGGAGATGGAGTCCTCCTAGGCTGCACAATGCGGATGCAACAGAAGCAAACCCCTAGAGACCTATGAATAGGGAATAGCTAAGACTTAAAAGAAGGAACAAAACAATACAGCACAGTGCATTAACAAACTGCTAGAAGGCATCACTTGGCTCACCTACAACTAGGTGCTGTACATGAAATCCAAATCCTTGTTATGCCTTAGCTTGTTCTGCATTCCCTCCTTTCAGATTTGTTCCAGGCTCCTCTGGAGAGATTCCTTGTTTTGCTGCCTCTGTAGTTCCCTGCAGGATGCAAATGTTAATAAGCACAAGCACAGCATGCAAGGTTGAAGGAATGAGGAGAGAGGGGGGCCTGCCCAGTGATCAGCTTCTGTCCTGCTGTGTGACATGCAGTGCACATGGAACTTGGAGGAGCAGGGGAGCTCCTTATACCACTCAAATCTCCGCTGTTGCTACAAGGAATGTGTTTCTACTCCTTTGCATTGCAAAGGTGGAGCAAACAGGCTTTGGCAAATTGCATACAAATAGAAAGGATGTGCCTAATTTGTGTCCATGCTAGGCTAATGATCTAACACTGCTTTTTTCTTAATAGTTTTGATTCTCTTTTTAAATAGTCTTCAACTATTTTTTTCTAAAAGTGATGGCAGTGAATGTGTCTTGCAGTGAATATCTGTTGAGAGCTTTTTGTGTGTGCGTATTGAGAATATTCTGGGAATGTGGCTTTCTGACTCATGAGTGACACTCAAGGATGTAATGGTCATGAATGTCAAAATTAGGACTGCTGTACATAAATTAGCACTTCTGTGAAACTTCTTATGCCACACAGAACTAAGATGTGCCTATAAAGGCTTTGTGGGTTCTGGGTGGCCAGAGGGGCCACTCTAGCTGTGATATTTAGAGATGTTATTGCAAAAATGTCTTGCTGACTTGTGTGAAACTTTCAGACCTACTTTGTCATCCTGCTGCTTTCTTTGGGTCAGTGAGTCAAGGTGCTTCCTGTCCTTGTTAGTTCTCCTTGTTGAAGCAGGGTTGTTTTTTTTATTTGCTGATGCTCTTTGGTACTTGAAGCCTTAGAAGGGAAGAAAGCCAAGCATTGTGTTAGGCACACACAGTGCTCCTGGGCATTGGATCAGCTGTGTTAAATGGTTGGAGGTAAAGGGTACCAGTATCAAATTCTTCTGTATGTTGTTTTCTCTTTTTTGCTGCATTTGGAGAAGTGGCAGGGAAGAAAGTTTGCTAATAGCATAATCAACCTTTGTGCAAGTCCAAGTATTAGTCCAAGCTTAGAACAAACAGGTGCTTGTCAGATGGGAAGGCTGAACCTACTACAGAAATGGGTAATTTTACATATATAATGTTACACCTCAACTTGAGAATGACATACTTGTTTTGCAATTATCATGAATTTGAGCCTGAGCTAGATAGTGTTTCTGGGATGCAGTGGGGAGATCCCCATGCCTGGGATGGGCACAGAAGGGTTAACGTGATCCTTTTTACATGTAGCTGCTAGAGCTCTGTGGGCTGTAATGCGGTGGCAGGGCTGGGACAGGCAGCTGCTGCCCTGTGTCCCCTGCCCTGGCTCTGCAGGTTGCTGGGGTGGAATGTGCTCACTTTGCTTCCAGGCGTGCTCTGCAGCTCGCGGGGCAGCCAGCATGGCAAAGGGGTGCAGGGAGAGGTTGAAAGGGTGAATCCAGTGATTCTGGAAGGACAAGAATGCACAGGTTAGTACAATTTTGCTTGTTACTGTTAATGAAAACAGTAGCTTTAACCTCTTAAACTGATTAGGACTTTGGAAAATTAATTACCCTTAGTCTCCAACCTCAGCAAATCATTTCTGTTCCCTTCTCACAGAGTGCGAATGAGCTTAAGTCCAGGCTTAAAACTAAGCAGCATTACCTGCTGAAATGGAAACTGGAGATCCTGGTAACAGCGCTGTGGCTTCCTCTTCAGAAGATTTATAACCTTGCCACCTTATGACTATCAAGGAAGTATCCCAACCCCACCAGAGACAGGTGCTAGGGAAGGGCAAGATTACATGAGTTCCTTGTCTTGAGAATATCAGGATATGAATTGAAGCTTTTTTGAAAAAGAGTAGCTAGAAAAGCTTACAAGAAAACCTCACTCTTCTGTACTGTGTGGTGTGAGCTGAGAAGGAATGCTTCTAAAAATATTCTGCAGTGGAAGTTCATAGGAAAAATAAAAGGATTTGTGCCATAAGGAGCACAATAGTAAAAATATAGTATAATGTTCATAGCAAAAGCTACCCACTGGAGCAGTGTGGAAGATCCATGTGCTGAAAGGACAGGTTGTGAGAGGTCCCTAAATAGGATTGGATGGGATAATTCAGTCAGGAGAGGTCATGACCAGGGTTCTTTCTGATATATGTAACCATTGAGTTATAAAGTGCAGCTCTGTCCTTTTTTGGACACTGGGTGGCAGTCCATCATTAATATTAAGATTAAATATAATTAAGTATTTTATAAACCCTCAGAAATACTGTGCATTACATGTGAATCACCTATTATAGTCTGATTACAATTCCACAGCAGCTTTTAATGATGGCTTGGAAAACAAACTTTGCATCACTGAAAATAAAACCTATTTATTCCAACACAAATGCTCCTTTGTTAAATAGCTAGGTCATACAGTAAAGTATTCCTGTGACTTTAAGTTATGAATTAATGATTATAAACCTTTCTATGGTTTTAAAGGGCAGATATGGCTAAACCCTGGACCTGTTTACACAAGCCAGGCCCCTGTGAAGCAATTCTGATCTCTGTAGGACCTGCAGGACATGCTTCCTATCTGGGGTGGATTCTGCAAGGTGTGTGGTGCCAGCAATGCTGAAAACCCTGTGAGGAGTTTTGAGGATAGATTATCCCTTTTAAGACTGGGGCTAATTGTTGGCATTGGGGTCAGGGCAAGGAAAGACTGAAGAATCTTAACTGGTGAAATGTACAGGGCTATTATCACAAGATCCAATCAGCCAAGTTGGAGTAACTTTCTCTTTTGTCTAGGATTTTTCTGATGGTATGGAGGTTTTTGCTCAGGTACACTTGTTCTCTGTATTCAGCTCTGATGTAGGGGCTGACAGTGAACCATATTATCAAAGCACTGTGCCTGAGGAAATATATTCTGCTTCTCTCAGGAAAGGCTTTTAAGTCTGAAAAAAGATTCAGGCTTTATGGCTCTGCCACAGATATTGCTGACCTTGGGCAAGTCATTTAATCTGTTCTGGTCGATCATTAGTAAAGTAGGATAATATTATTTCTATTCTCTGCCATAATGGAATAATAAAACCTTGGGCACACTTTCCTTTTCTATTGTTTGATCTGATACAGGGGTATCTCCAGACTCTGGAAGAGTATCTACTCCCTGCTGATGGACAGGTAACAGGTAATCTTGCAGTCAGTTGCTGGTTTGTTCTGTTAAATTTGTGTCCATCTTGCAAAGGACTGTAATTCACTGCAAGTGAGAAATTGCCTTGGCCCTGTTCTCTTGTTCATCTTTTTATTGCATCAGAGAGAAGCTAAGGCTTTCTGAGGAGTGCCTTCACTGAGGTTCAGGGAGGATTTCTAGAGTGCAGATGCTGAGTCTCCTTAAACAGCATCATGTAATGCTTATGTGAGTTGCTCTGAGTTACTACTTGATATGGTTTCAGTAACCTTGCACTAAATTTTTCATGAAGCTGGCTAAAACTGGGACCCCTAGACCTGAAGTGTTCTCACACCCTGCTAAGCAACAGGAAGTAGCTTACTGAGAATTGGAGATGTAGGAAGAGATCCCTGGTAGAAATCTTTAGCCAAACTTTTAATATATGGGATTTAACATTTTTGGTTCTTCTGAAAAATGCCTAATCTCAGACCACTTGTTCGGTTGCTAGGCAGGAAGGTTTATCAACTTGAAGAAAGAATGGATCAAGACAATGAAGGATCTGCAGAGGCTGTGCAGGAGAGAAGGGCTTAAGTGTGGCAGAGCTGAGCTATGTGGGTCTGTTGCTCCTTTAGGAAAAGCTCATAGCATATGCTGGGATCATCTTTGGCTCCTTGGAGGCTGAGCAGTGTGGGCTCAAAGGCCAAATGCTAGCAAAGGTTGGGCCTTCTCCAGTCCCAAATGAGAATGGGGACTTGAGGGGGGAAAGCCTGAGTGTATGGAGGAAGACCCAGACACTACATCTTTGGCAGACACTGAACAATCCCAAAGGAAGCCAGCAAGCACCAGTTTCAAATAGTCATGCTACCATGATCTTAAATACCTAAATGCTTGTACTGCAATGCACCAGGGAGACAGGAGAGCTTATTACTATTTACATGCTTTGCTCCAAAACACTGCTGGGCTAACAGTAGTAATTCTGCAGAAAGCAATTTATATATCATTTTTTATTAGTATGGGAGAATGAGATAGAGTAGCTATAATAGCTAGACAATATGATCTGCAAGAAATTAAGAAATGCTCTGGATTTGGTAGGTTTGACACTTTGGATTGGCAGGAGGGCTGAGATGCACTGTGCATAACTGTCACCTCACATGGTGGCCTTACACATGGCTGCACGGCCAGGCACACAGCTCTAAGTCCTGGTGGAAGAAGTGTGGAACTGAGAAATGGGGCCAGTTGGACAGGATTTAATCCAAAGGGGAAGGAAGAAGGGAAATGCTGAAGGATTTAGAGATAAGTGGGAGAGCCACTGAATGCCAACCTCATGTGCTGGACCAGGCTGCTACGAGTGAGGTCTTCATCTAGAGCCCTACAAGACATACATCTGCAAGTCACTCACTTTGGCAGATCGCTGCCAGCGTGTTGCTGAGGGACCCATGCTGTAAATTTCAAAGATATCTTCAACAGGAATGCTGTTCTGTGGAAACAGGTAAGGTGAAGTCAGCTCTTAAAGTATTCTTTAAAGTGAGTGCATGAAACCCAGCTAATACTTTCCTTTAAATTTTGCAACAATTTTCACTTGAATTATTAGTATTGTTTCATGTTCATAGTATATATCTTACTGAGACTTGGTCCTATAACTCTTAGAGGGCCTGAAAATAAATATAGGAATATATGAGGGGGGAGAACAAAGTGAGTCCTCTGCTCCCCTATCAGAGTCCCATGAGAGCTTAAGGTAGGTATATTTGGGATTGTTACACTCTGCTTGTGCTCTACTTCCATCATTGCTTTGTACTGACACCCCTTAGGAGTGAGACAAGATAATTACTGATACACACTCAAAACATCACCTATTGAAACTACCTGTTTTGCTTTTTCAGCCTGAACAAAACTTAATGGTGACCTGATAAAATGATTCAGATCTGTAACCTCTTTGTGTGCTGTGCTTTCTATAAGCAAAGACCTGCAGGGTACAAGGGGTATTTCAATGTCTGCCATAGAGCAAAAGATTTTGATCTTGCTCTCTTACCATTAATATTCCAGCATATGAAGATAATATCATAGCTTCTCTTTCGGTTCGGTTGGGATACATGTATCTGCTGAAAGCTGCGGAATTCCTGTGAGGTGTTTTGAACAAGATGATTAGCCTGATGTTACAAAAGCCAAAAAGTGCTGGACTGATTCACTGTTGCTTTTGCTGTTTTCATGCTGGTGTAGCCCATTGCAGCTTAGGACCTTGACTTTGCAATACTCACATGGCCTCTTTGGTCAGCAGAGGCTGAGCATCTGAGTCATTTAGCCACAGCAAAGCAACACTGAGGGCCAAGTTGTAATGAGCCTGGGAAGAGAGAAGAAACCCAAGTGTTCTGCTGTAATCACTTGACCAAAGAATGAGAGACTGGAGGAATACAGGGATAGATTGCAGGCACTTGCACTTGCAGGCACTGGCACTTGCAGGCCAGTGCATGCAGATGTTATCTCACCAACTGTAGGACACTTGCTGAGGTTCGAGGCACTTTAAACATGCCTCAGAAGACTTGCTAAGTTCAGCTGAAAGAATTTATGTGCTAACACTAGTTTATGTGCATGTCTTTTCAGACGGTTGACTTGAACCTTTTCAAGTGTCCTTTATTGATGAGCTCAGTCTATCTGTAAAATTAGAATTCAGTTTCTTGCATATGTTACACATGGGTGTTAGGCACTGCCAGTCTCTCTAAATAGTAGTGACAGACTTCTACTATTCTCTGTAAAGAACAGCATATTTAGGTGTGCAAACTGATGTGCTACAGAGGTCTCACAAGCCCTGTAGATAAAGGGTGTAGGATTGATAATAAGACAGATTACCATGTCATCTAGAAATGTGGACTGCCTTTGTCCTCTTGGATCAAATTCATTTTCTCGTAGTCTGATGCCAATGTAATCACTCCTTAAAGCAAGAGAGCAACTTGGAATTACCACATGTTTTAAGCAGTCCAGTACAAGAAGAGATACAATAGGTGAATCTAAGGTCAGTGTAAATTTAGGGCTGATTGGAATCTGCTGTGAGATTCCTTCTAGACCCATCCTGATTAGTAGAGCCATTAGGGGTTTTTTTGTTTGTTTTCCTTTCATCATGGACAGCTTTATCTTCCCTCAGACTACGTTGCTGTCTTCCTCAGATGGTTTAAAATGAAAGAAGCACAAATATGAAGTGTTACATGCCTGGAGCCTCACAGCAAAGATTTAAGAATACAGCCCAGAGAGCTGCTTCACTGATGCTAGATTTTTCTCATTAATGGAGAGTCTGCAATGTTTCCTGAGATTGGCAGTACTGATGTGTGCAAGGAGAGCAGGCAAGGGCTGGCATTCAATAGAGGGAGCATCATTTTACATCCCTCAGAAGCTGTTTGCTAGGCATTTTATCTCAGAGAAAAAGGCTCTGCTGCATGAACAAACAGGCTCCTCCTTATAGCAGATGCCCTCGACATATGCTGGGTGCATGGCAAGGCAAGAACTCTGTACTCCCTGAACAACCCAGACCTTGTTCTGTGCTAGTGGGAGTGAGACCTCTCTGCTTCCACCTGTGCAGTCATGCTTTGTTGTGCTGCAGACTATAGGGCATGTTAGGAAGTTAGGAGTATGTAAAAGGAAGTCTGTCCATGCTTTCCAGCAAGAAAAGACTAAAGATTTACAGCTGTCATCCAGCCAAGTTATACAACCTGTTGTAATTTAAAGCCAGTCTGTCTCAAATTCAGTGTAGGAACTGTGAGCAGAGTACTTACAGGAGTTTTTCTATCTCTCTCTTTAAGCATCTTCTTTCCATGGTCAGGGCTGTTCTGGTGGTCACTGTGAGGTTAATGGCCCACTGAAATGTGGTAGAGAAGAACGTGCATCTGACCAAATGTCTCTTTCATAGTGAGTAAAGTAAAAACGCACACAAGTGTATGGGATACTTAAACTCCTACAACAATCTGACCAAAACCAATTCCCAAGTAGCAAAACTGGAGAGAAAACAGTCAAGAAAAAGACAGCATGCCCAGCACTGAAAGAGAGAGCAAGGAGTTTGGTGATGGAAAAGGGGTGGGATGGACCCATTTATGATGAGTATCTGTCCTTAATATGATACTTCAGCTAGCAGGTTTCTTGCATCCCTATCATAGTGATGTATGTTCTTTCATATTATAGATTTACTGCAGTTGTACACCTGTACATCCTTCCAACTTCTTAGCAAATGGCTTTTCTTCCCTATTGTGTGTATTATTCAGACCTGTATGGTAAAAAGAAGGGATGGAGACAGGCAAACAATTGGCTATAGTTCACCGAATGGACTGGGAAGAGGACAGTCTGGAGGGCAAAAGATAGCAGCTGTCTAGACATGATATAGAAAGAAGAGTAGCCAGCACCTTGATCCACCAATTATAAAATCACAATGTAGACTTCTCAGCTCAATAATTCACAGCCACAGAAGCCCAAACAAGTAGCAAGTACATAAGTTTTCTAATGCCAGCCACAGAAGCCCAAACAAGTAGCAAGTACATAAGTTTTCTAATGCAAACAGAGGTCCCAAACTCCATCTCAGCTGTATAACCAAGTATACTGGGATGGATTCTCAGAGTCAGCATATGGCTGATTAAAACCTGTGAGGTTGTTAATACCACACTTGATGCTTGTGCAGCATTTATAACTAGTGCCACTGGGTCAAAGGCTTCAAAGTAGTAAGCATGCACATCACACTAGGCAGCAAAAGGCTATATCTGGAATATTCCTGGCTTGAACAGGGTTGTTCAGAAAAGACCTGCCTATGAATTATAATAAATACTGAAAGAAAAACAGGCCATGCTTGGAGAGCTCATCTGTGACTGGATATGGTCTCCTTATGCTTTCTCTCTGTCCCACATGTACACAAGAAATCATGCACTACCTGTGTCAAACTCTTTGGAGTGGGCCTCAGGATCCAGGTTTGGAGCCTCCTTGCCTCCAGGTATCTCTGAGGAGGAATTCCCTCTAGATGCTGCTGTTCCTTTCTTGCTTCTGTCCCTGAGCTTGCGTGCCAGGGAATTAGGCTATGGCTGTGCAGGGCTGAAGCCTTCTCTGGTTGCTTGGAAACAATGCTGCTGAGCTAAAAGAAATTAAAAGAAAAGAAAAACACATGATATGAAACCTCCATCAAGAGGTGTGCTATCAGGCTCAGGTTGAAGGATCCTTTTACATTTCTAAGCATTCAGTTTCTCTGCTGAGCAGACTGTTGAAAGTAGAGATGACTGGCTATCAAGGAAGGTGGAGTCTTTTCAGTGGGTTTTCTGATGAAATGTAATTGCTTGTAAAAGAAGCTATTGATATTCAGAAGTAAAATTATGGAACAGTGAAAATCTAGACCTGCTTCCTGATAGGAGCTTGTCTTGGGTTTCATCTGCAGTGTTGATGGTAAGCATGAAGGATCCTATATTTGCTCTTTCTTCACACCATATTTTTGTGGTAAGAGCCCAGAAATGCCAATGCAAATTACTAAACTCTGCTGCTGCCCTTGCAGTGTACGCAGGACTGTGCATCACCATAATTAACAAGGCAGCAAGAACCATTGCACTTGTAGAGGAGGAAGGGGTTTGTAGGCTGCAGGAGTGAATGCAGGAGGGGAACAGGCAATTGGTTTTCCTAGGACTGTACTTCTGGTCTTAGCTGCTTACCAAGTAAACAATAGCAATGAGTTTATAACATTTGAACATGCTGTTGCCTCTTTCATAGAATCATTATGGTTGGAAAAGACCTTTGAGATCATAGAGTCCAGTTGTAATCCCCTCAACACTATACCTATTAAACTATGTCCCTATGCACCTTACCTCCGCATTTCTTGGACACTGCCAAGGATGGTGACATCACTACTTCCCTGAGCAGCCTGTGCCAAGGCTTTGTGATGACTCAAGTTACAAAAGCAGCTATATTGTTATGAGATGTAGCTCTTTTCCAGGAAACTATCTTCTTGCTGCTTGCAGAAATTCTGTAAGCATTTTGTGCTAACCTTTCTCTCTCTTATTTCATTTTACTGCTCTCTTTTCAAAAGATGTGTGCTGCAAAAGGCAATGGTGGTGGACACAGCTCTGCTGCCTGCTCTTTCTACCAGAGTTGCAGTGCAGAAAGCCATGCTCTCAGCTGTTGGGAGAGAATGGAGTTTGGGGATGGCTTCCCAGAAACATTACATACCCATGGCCTTTCTTAAAATTTGTCTGCCCCTGCAGCAAGCTAAGCAGCAAGACTGGGTCTTTCCCATCATTTTTCCTAGCTTGGGGCTGGCAACTGTGCTGGATTTGATTTTGAGAGTGTCCTCCTGGCAGGTGTTACAGCAGCCCTCTGTCTTCTATACAGCTGTTTGCTTGGCTTTAAGAAGCAATATCCACTGCCTGTGTCTCCTTCAGTCCCATCTACCCAGGGTGTATGTGCTGGTATGGGCAAGCTACCATGGAAAGTGGCTGTCACAAGGTGCCAAGTCGGAGCAAGAGTCCAGCTAATTGTAGCCTGTCTATTGTTATGCAGCAAAGTGAAATGAGGAAAGGGACTTTTCCACCAGATGAGGCTGGTCTTTAGCCATGGGCTGTTGTTGGCTCCTGCTGCTTCTCTGAATGTAGGAAATGTCCTTGTGCCTGTGCAGGTGGCACAGGCTGTGTTTGTGCTCTTAACTGATGCAAAATAGCAGCCAGGGAAGAGTTTAAGAGCTGTGGCAGTAGCCTCAGTATTCTCCATATGTATTTCCCCATTCTCCATTGATTTGCAGCTCAGAGCCTTCTTGAGCAGCAAGTGCTCTTGGCAGTTAATTCTCCTGCTTGGCTTTTTTTTGCATGCACTTGCCTAATGGCTTGTTGAAACCCAAGTGATCTGCAATGTCATGTGGCAAAGATTTGCCCTGTTTAAATAGGGCTATGCAGACAGGGTGTTTTGTGAAATGGGCCGATTAGCAACATCCACGGTGCTCTGAGTGAGAGAGCAGTTTTTGGATGAGTGATGTGCAACCTGGTGCTCTGTTGGCTGCAGTATCTACCCTGTGTTCAGACATACGCAGCAAGAAAACCCTGTGGGTGGCTGTGGTAACTCCCCTCTCGTCCCTCTTGTGGCAGTTTGGGGTACAAGTTTGGGCTTGTGGAATTTCTCCTGTGTGCAGCTAGCGTATGTATTGGAGAAGTGCTTTTAGCCCCGTGGTGCACAGCACGGTGCTGCCAGTGCCCGTCACGGCTTCCCCGGAGCGAGAACTAAGGTGAAGGGGGAAACCTGCGTGTCCGCAGCATCGCTCCCCAGGGCAAGGCCGGGACTTGCAGGGCTGCCTGTCCCCCGAAGGATGCTTATTTATTTCAGTACTGAATGGAATTGCAGGGAGTCCCTTTATTTAGCAAATCCCGCAATTCATCAGTTAATGCATCAGTCACCGCGCGTGTCATGGCGGCGCGGGGCGGTGCTGCCGGCGGCGCGACATGGCGGCGGGGCGGGGCGCGCGCCGCCATGTTTGTATTCAAAAGTGCGGCGGGCGCGAACGTTTCCTCCCCTGTCTTGTCCTGCCTCCGCGCCCGGCTAAGCGGGGCCGAGCCGAGCACCCGCCGCTCGCTGCCCGCAGCCATGGCGTCCCGCGAGGCCTGGGAAACCTCCTTCTTCGGTCTGCAGGGCGCGCGGGAGCGGATGCGGGAGAAGAAGCAGGGCGCCCTGCGCGCCGCCAAGCTGAACGCCTCGCTCGCCTCCCGGATCAAGACCAAGATCATCAGTGAGGGGCGCGGCGGGGACGGGGGGCGGCGGGCGGCGCTGCTGTTTGTTTTTCGGAAAAAAAAAAAAAAAAAAAAAAAGGCAAAAAAAAAATCAAGTTGTAGATTATGAAAGGCAATTTTCCTAGTATGCTGCTGGTTTTGCATGATATTACAGGGACATGGAGATAAGGGCCTGGGGGAGAAGCGAGCACAGGTGAGTCTGTGGCTGCTCCCAATTAGACGCTTCTCTCTTCCTAACAGATAACTCGTCCACTATTAAAGTCTCCCTGAAGCGCAACAACAAAGCGCTGGCGCTGGCCCTCAACGCGGAGAAGGCCAACGCGCAGCGGCTCATGCAGGAGAGAGCGGTCCTGCAGAAGGAGGTGGAGCAGTGCCACTTCCACAACGCTGCCCTGCGCCACAAGCTCTGCTTCCTGGTATGGCACTGACATGGGCAGGGCATGCAGCTGCAGCCTTGGGTTGGTGGGCGCCAGCTCATCCTCTGTGCCCTCTGGGTCCGAAACATCTCGCAGATCTTGATCCCTGCTTGATCTTGAGCCCTCCCCAGCAGGGCTGTTTCTTGCTCTGGTTAACTGCATCCTTGTTGGAAGAGACAAGTTGATTTAACATCTTTATGTTTTTTCTCTCTATTGTCTCACCGTAGAATAGCACCCTGAAAGAAATGGAAAAACTTATGGCAGTTATTAAGACGGCTCGGCTCTCTGAGGTAAGCCACGGGGTTGGAGAGCATGTGCTTGTTGTGCTGGGAAGGAGGCTGTGTCTCTGTCTCTTGCTGTGTGTCACCTGCTTAACCGAGTGTTTAATGCCTTCTTTTTGTCTCTTTGCCTGGATGCATTTTTAACTTGTTTATAATGATTTCCAGAGCTGTGTCTCAGGTAGTTTCTTTTACAAGAAAGGCTACAGTTATACCTCTGGGTCTGCCTTCCTCTGGGTCACTAGGTATATTGACCAGGAGATGCCTTTTTTTAAATGACGTATATGTTTATAGATATGAAATTGACATGGCAATGAGTTTTATATATACTGTTATCTATTTAGTTTATCATTTTACATATGTGTATATATATAAATATATATATATGAGAGCATGGAGATGTAAACTGCTGCAGTTTATTGCATATTTGTGCTGTAAGTGATTTTCATAAGGCAACAAAACCCTCTGAGGTTTGTTGCAGCTGTAACCTGTGACCAGGATGGATGATATGTTCAGGGGAGACTTGATCAGGACATTGTAAATGCAGTTTTGTTGAACCTTTTTTGAGTGGAACAGAGGGCCCTCTAACTGCCCTGTTTAGAAGGGAGAGGGTTACTGATAGTACTGGACAGGCTTCCCAGGGGCTTGGAGTCCAATGACTCTACTAAAGTGATGTGGAGTTTCAGCTGTTTGTGTGCTGAGGCAAGAGCTTTTAAAACCACCCATCTGTTGCTGTGCTCCCCAGTTCTATACAAGTTTTGCCTCCCTGTCCAATGGCCAGAAGAACAACATAACAGAAGATAGCTGGGCTGATGATACCACAGACGGTCAGCTTGTGAGGTAAGCCTGAAAATGTCAAATACTACCAAGCTCCTTCTGGATTTTGATATGCTAACCTTTTTCTGGTATTTTACATGTACCCTCATTTGATTGCTTTCTGGAATGCCCCTATTCTGTGTTTTTCCTTACTCTGTGTCTTTCTGCTGCTATTGTTTTTCTTAATTGCCCTGCTGCCAGTTGTGTGCATCAGCTCCCTTCTCCCAGCTTGGTTTGAATGCATATTTCTTATAGTTCTTTCTTTGCAGCTAATGCACACTGCAGATTTCTTTTGTCTTCTGTGCTGCCTCACTTAAGTGGTAGGTTCTTCGGAACCTGTTTTTTAAACTTATTGTGCTATTGTAAACAGTTGCACCTCATGTTTGCTCATGACAGTCTTATTTTCTAGTAGAGCATTTAAGCATGCACATAGCTTAAATGCATGTGGTCAGTAAATATATATGTATCTGTGTGCTCAGAAGTTGTACCTTTAAGTGTGCCTTTTCATAAAACAGCTGGTATGTCTTTATAATGCCATATGTGTTCTGCTGTGGTTATCCAAAGATTCCAGAGTAAGTAGGTTTGCAGGAAAAAGAAGGTACTGTGCCTGATACCAGCTGGTATTGCTGGGAGAAGTGGCTGCGTCAGTACATCTCCATGCTCTGTACACCAGAGAACATTGCAGAGATTAGATGCTGCAGTTGTTTGTTACATAAAAATGATTAATAGTCTTCTGCTTGTATGATGAAAGCTTATGTTTTTAGGAGGAAAGCTAAAGTAGGATCTTTTAGGATGTGTTGGTGTTTTCTGTTTCTTTTTTGTCTAGTCTCTCCTTTGTAACAAGGGAACTCTTGCTTCCCAGAGGGAGCTGCCCACAGACCACTAACCAACGTGGCTGGCATTTCACAGAAGGAATTCCAGTTGCAACCTGTGTGCTGAAAGGCTTTTCTTGTTGCTTCAGTATCTTTTTCTTACTTCTGTGTCTGTGGGTGTGCCTTCCTTATGAGTTGTACTTGTCTCAAAATGGGAGATCAGTCCTGGTGAGGCAGGGTGTGCTATTCACAAACATCTAAAGCTTTCAGAATTGCATTGCAGTAGTTTTGGGTGGAGGGTGAAAGCAGATGCTGACCTACTAGATTCTGGGGCCTTCTCAGTTATGGAACATGCTTCATTGCTGCCATTCTCTTTTACCAGGCCTGCAGTGGTGCTCTTGAAAGCACCTGCTTCCAAGCAGTGTGATGGGGGAAGGCAAGATGATAGCTCTGCAGCAGTACAAACATCCACGGTTGATGTCCAGCCACCAGTTCTCAATAAGACCCAGGAATTTGTGCCTGTTGTCTCCAAAGATGCTTTGCCACAAGAGCTGAGTGAAAATGTGAAGAAGCCCCATGAAGCAGTAGAAACAAAAGAGGCTTCTGTTGAATGTGATGTCCTTGGAGGTTTGTGTTACCTGCTTCTGTTCTGGGATAACTTGTTTATGTCAAGGTTCATGTAGGACCCAGAAAAGTTGTTCTGGAGGGGCAGGGTTTTCTTTCTCTTTTGGGGAGGGACAGTGGGGAGAAAGATGTATTTGCAGTGTCTCAAGAGCACTCACCAATTTTCTTGGGTAGTTGCCCTGAATTTACGTAAGATTTCCAGAACTGCAAGTATGCTGTCCTTGAGATTCTGTTTGGATGCACAGCTTCTCATCCTTGTGGGCCTGATAAAACATACATTCTTCCGTATCTGTTGAGCTATTCTGATGCTGCTTAGCAATCTTTGTGTAAAACCAGGGGCAATGGTTGGGCAGAATAGATTAGCTCTGTGCCTAATGTGCCTACAGTAATGGTCTCTCTCCTTCCTTGCAGGGTAAGGTATGTCTGACAATACTTTTCTAATTCTCTGCTCATACAGACTCCTTACACCATGAGAGAGGAGATGCCCAGAAGATGATTTAAACCAAGCACTGGGTCTTGTCCAACTAAACTACTTAGTGGCTACTTGGCTTTGTCGTGCCTTCGGTAGATAAGTGGGATGAGATGATGTGGCCCTTCATCTTCTCTTAAGATGTTAGTGGAGAAGCATAGATGTGTTCAGGTTTGGGAGTTGTTAGGGAATACCTGTCTGTATGCTACAAAGGAAATGTTGATGAAGCTTTTGGAGGGGCAGAGTTGAAAGTCTTGCTAGTAAAGACTTTGGGTAAGGCCTGCTGGCCTTTCCTAGAGTCAAGATTCATGACAATGTGCAGGGTGTGGGTTTTGGTGGAACTGAGCTGACTTTTGTATCAGCATTTCTCGGTCTTAGGATTTATTTTTTTCTTTCCTACAGAGTGTTTACTTGCCACTGAACAAGATCCTAGTAATTTGCCAGCGCTTACCTGGGAAAGTCATCCTCTTCCACAGGAGGACGATGACATGGTGAAACGTTTCTGTGACCGTCTCTCACAAGGGCATGTTACTCAGCGGAGGAAGCGTTCTACCCTGTTTGCAACAAGCACTCCATTTTCAGGTGAGGATTTCTTCTCACACTCAACTCGAGTGTCCCAGTGGAGTGTTACGAAGGAGAACAGCAACTCCAACAGAAATAATGCACAGCAACAGCTGCAATCACCCAGCTGCCTGGCTTCACCTGCTCAAACTGCTGTTGATTCTGACTTAAAAGCTTTGAGTGAAGAAGTTCTCAGTGATCAGCCACAGACCAAAGAAACTGTGTGTGATACTGAAATTGATCCCAAGTGTAGCGAAGTTCCTGAGTTTATTCCTGTAAAAGGTAAAAGCAAAGGTAACGGCAAAACCACGGCTGTTAAAACAGATGTTAAAAAGACTAGCACAAGAAAAAGGAAAAAGAATTCAATAAAAAGCAACACAAAAGATGTCCCTGATGTACCTCAGGGTGAAGAGAGCACCCAAGAGGCAAATAAACTTCAGCTGAAAGCAGTGACAAATTCTACTGAGTCTGAAGTTCCTGAGATGAGGCAGGAAGCTTGTGTGTGTGCTTTGGAAGGGAAGAACAGAAGTCATGGTACATGCCTACATTCCCACTTTCCTGCTGAAGTCCGAGATCCCAGAAGAACATATGTTGTGAATCCAGCACCGCTGCATAATCTGCAAAGTGGGGACTTACTGCAACAAGGTGAAAAGGAAGCTGTCTTGGAGATGCCAAGTGTGGAGAGCTTGTTGAAAAGCCCAGTTCATACCTTCTCAACTCATAAAGCTCTGTCAGATGATCACAGTCTACAATATTCTCTTTCCTTAAATAAAGAGACTTCAGGTATCAGTACTTTGCAGCAGGACTCATCAAGTGTGAGCACAAAGAGCATGAGACGGAAAACCAGCAGGAAAACTAGGGTCATTTTGCAAAGAAGTGACTCTGATGAGGAGAGTCTGCCAAAGAACACAAAAACATCTGAAGCTAAAGCTGAGGAACAGCCCAAAAGAAGCAAGACAAGTAGGAGAAAGACTATCAAGGCAATAGTAGGCAATAGTAACGATCAGAGAAATGAAATGGAGGTTTCTGCACCACGTGTTCAAGGAGTAGCAATGGAGAGTGCAAAAGATTTCTCAGATTATCCTAAATGTAGCAGAAAGACTTACGTTATACGTCCTTTGGATCTTCCAGGAAACTTGGGTTGTATCAAGGCTGATTTTGAACGGGAAGAAGTTGCACGTTCTGAGTATGTTCCTGAGAGCAAAGCTAGCAAAATCCCCAGAGTTCAGAAGCTGGTGACTGCTCAGAACAAAAAGAAGTGGACAGGGGACCTTCAAGAAAAGAAACAGACTCACAACACAAATACCTTAGAAAAAGCTCTCTCTCTCATACCAAAGCCTCAGAGCAAGCGAACAACCTCTAATCCTCCAGAGTCTGATTCCTTGGCCAGACAGAGTGATGGAACCAGGCTGCATTCTGGAAGTTCAGAACTTGTGTCCAAGCAAACTGTCCTGCCTGGGAAGTTCTCCTACATTACAGATCTTCTGTCCAAGCCAGATGCTTTCCTTGAGGAGCAAATAGCTGAGATCTCGCTTGCAAATAATCTTATGAACATTTCAGACAGTCTTGAATCCTCCACTGTAAGATGTTCTGTAGCTTTGCCTCTGGGCTCCAGTCTTGCAGATCCACCCATCTCCAGGAGCTTAGGTACTGAGGACAGCAAAATCCCCAAGAAATCTGCTTGTCCAGGGAATGTTCTGACGTTTAAAGAAAGGAGTGCAGAGGAAATGCCAGAAGGAAGAAACCAGGTTGAGTTGAGTTCTAAAGAACATTCCGAGAGTTCATCTTTGCAGAAACCTGGTAAGTGGTGGACTGGGGAGGGGACTCAGGAGAGTGTGTATAAAAATGCATGGAATGGATGCTTAGGTTTCTTCCTCTGCCCTCTTGTGCTTTTTAGAGCTAAAGATCACTGTCTGACACACCATCTCTGCTTCTGGAGCATTTTTAAAAGGTGCCCACTGGGATCATTGGTCTGAGCCCAGACTTTCTGCTTAGTGGGCAGTGAACTAACTGCTGGTTAGTGAGTTTTGTGGCTGTATTTGCTCTGTGTTAATCAGTATTACTGCATGAATCTATGGTTTCCTGTTCAGGCACAGATCCTGTGAAAAAGGCAGAGATCATGTGCTGGGTGGCCTTGCTTTCCCTGCCTTGCTATCTATACGTGGTGTCTGTTACTTTAGAAAAGTCTATGTACTAGTGAAGTAGCCTGGTAGTGACCAGTGCCTGCTAGAGTCTGTTGTAGTGGCAGAGGGTGTGAGGAAGATGGCAGACTTCTGGTCCTGGCTGATTAATGCTGTAAGAATTGGGATTTTGTACCTTTAGGTGGCAGCTGCTATCTTGAATGCAAAATTGCCTTCATTCTTCCTCGCTTTTCCCCACCTTTGGCTTTGGAGGGTGTATCCCTTGACTGCTCATTCCAGAACTAAGCTAAGTCTTTCTGGAAGCTTGCTGTTACTGCATGGTCTGTAAAGAGAAAGCTGTTTTGTAGCTATTGTTGTTTTCTCTCCTGCAGCTGTTCCTAAGCAGGCCTGTTGTAGCTATGTGCTTTGCAGGGAGAAAGGCATGTGTTCTCCTGCCTTCCTGCCTTTCCCCTCCAGGATGACTTATTTGAAGGATGCATCAAATACTTGCAGGTTTCTCCATTATGCTAGATGTCTCTTAGGTTATTTGGGTGCCTTGAGCTTGCCTTTTTTTTTTTTTTTCTTTAGGCTGTAAACTTTTAAGGGTTAGAGCTCTCAACTGCTGTTTGTACAGAGAGAGGCTACTACACCTGGGCCTCAAGCTTCTAGCAGTATTATTGACACTGTGTATATTTCACAGTGAAGAACCTAATTGGAATCATGAGCTGACTTGTGAGAAACAGGAATGGGATTTTTGAACAAAAACAGTGTCCAGAACCTAGAAGTAGTGTTAGATTTGGGATGGTGCCCTGCTCTAGAGTGCTTGGAGAATCCTGGAAATGCCAGCCTTCTCCGTTTGGCAGCTGTGTTTCTTAAGATGTATGCAAATATTTTGGAAACACTGATCAATTCACACATGAACATCTCTTTGCAGAGATTTGTCCACTGCGGGACTTGACAAATGCTGGGACTCTGTGTTCCCCTGACTCAGAAGAAGCTTTGGGACGTCGATCCAAGCGGAGACGGGACCCTGCCTGCTATGCAGAGCCGAAACTCAACAGGTTAGTATTTAAACCATCTCTTTTGGTGCCTCTTCCCAAGCTGCATCCCCTTCTCCCTCTGCCACGTTGTCTTCCCTTGTCCTTCTCTCCAAATTCTGTAGTGTTTGTACAGACACCTCTCCAAAACTAGCGAAAATTCTGAGCTACCACAGCTGTCTGTGCAGGCTCCTGCTAACGCGCTATTAATGATTTGATTTCCCTCACCAAAGTGCATGTGCCTCTGAGCAGGCTGCCTTTGTGCTGCTCCACTGGTAGTAGGGGGTTAGCGTGAGGATAAAATACAAGATAAATGAGGAAAGCTTAGGAAGAACTCTGGTTTTAATTAGTGATAGCTTCTGATATCTAGAGCTCTTTATACAGCAGTTGAGCAGTTTCATTTAATCTGGTACCTGTAAAGGAAACACTGGAGTTTGGAGAGTGTTTTCCATGATTGGGTTGGTTCTGTATTGCTTTTTCCTGACAGTTATGAATGCCAGAAAAGTATCTTTTTCAGCTCCCAAGGAAACTATGGATTCAGTACTTCCAATGGCTACTGCATAGAACCATTTACCTCAAAAGGTTAACTTTGGTTGTTATACTACTGAGTAATATTATATTTTCTCTTCCTGAAAAGTGTCACAGTTTTAATGTTTTGTCAAAAAGTAGTTATAATGGGTCAAAAGGGGGTATGTACAGTCAGAACTGCTCCTGTCCTGCAAGTGGAATAAACTGTACCACTTGGGTACCAGCTGGTGGAGCATTTCAGTAAAAACAGAAATAAACCAACTTTGCAGATTGAACTCTCTTACACATAGTAAAGAAACCCCTTGACAGTTCCATCTAACCATTTTGTTTTTGCAGCAAACTGAGGCGGGGCGACCCGTTTACAAACTCAGAGTTTCTCCACTCTCCTGTCTACAAAACCAAAAAGAAGAAAATGACCAAAGCCAAGACAAAGACCTTGAAGATCAAAGTGGAGGAAGAATGGCTTCCTGAACTGTGTCCCAGTGCCAAGGCAGACAAGCTACTAACTGTGGGAGGAAACAAGGAGCCAGAAGTGATATAGTAGTTGAACAGGCAAGCCCTGAGCTCATAGCTTGTTTATCCTTTCAAGGATATCTCTCATGTATTAAATTTGTACTTTATAAATAAAGTTTTATGCAAACAGTATAAAAGCTGTGTGACTTTTGTTTTTCTCCTCTCTTTCAAATGCTACAGTGCTTGTTTGCAAAGGCTCTGTGCAACTTTGTGTGGCACCACTGGCAGCCAGTCTCCCATGGAGGGAGGATCAGGCTGGAGGGCTTCTCATGTCCTGTGGGTACAAGGCTGCCAGCGTTGGCTTGGAAGGGCTGCAGCTGCCTGGCTTTGGAGCACAAGAGTCACTAGTGTTTCCCGCTGTGGAAGAAAGCTTTTCTATGGGTATAGCTGTCACTAGAGAGTAGTGCCCATGGCAGAATGCTGAAGCCTTGGACAGCCCTAGAGTTCCAAGCACTGTACTGATCTTGGAGACCTGCGTTAACATCTTCATCTGCCGTATTTGCTGTCAGTGAGAATTTGCATAACCACAGAGTTAAAGACGGAGTCCCTCTGTGAGGACCACCAGGACAGAGGTACACACACCTAACTGCATACTAAAGGACAAGGGAATGTGCTTCCATGTAAGCAGGAAAATGGCCCCTCTCCCTTCTCCTGTGGCAGAACGGAGAAGGATGCTCTGCCTGACCACACTGACTTCTTTCCCTGGACAGATTAAACTGCTCCTTTTCCCTTTCAGCTCTACAGCAGTACCCAAGAGCCCATGTGGATGAATCCCCTGAGGACCTTCTGTTCCCTTCTAGTCCTTCAGAAGATGGAAACTTGTTGTGAGTGCAGAGGGGAAATACTGTCATCTGCAGACTCAGGTAAAAATACTACTTCATTGCTTACACTTAAACTGTCAAGAAGTTGGAAAGGAAGTTTTGCTTCTATTGCTCATTTTCCTGTAAAATGCTAAAGTTTCTCTTATACTCCTTAACTTAAAAGCATGAGTAAGAGCTAATAAATAACAAAAATAATAGGGGATTAGCTAGAGGTGCTGCTGTATTATGACATGCCTGCTTTTGATGTGGTAGTTTGATCAATGATCCTGAAGCCAGGAAGAAAAAAATTCTAGGTGTTCTTGATGGTGTTTCCATTACTTCAATGTGCATTCAGCAACTGAATTTTACCAAGCTGCACCCATCTAACAAGCACCCTTCCTCCCCACAGCCTTGGACTTAGCCTTCCTGGCTTCCACTTCTTATGTCGTAGTTACCAGTGTTCTCAGGGGAATGGATCAGCTTCTCTTTGTTTGTGAACCAGCAGCATGCAGAGATTAAATACTCGCAGTGGGGCATCTTTCTTTCTAAGCTCATTCTTCAGGGTCCTATTTCACTTGGTTGCAGGGCTGGGAATGCCAGAGTGGCTCTTGGCTCTCTTGATCTGATCCTCTGTGGGCTGTCTTAGTGCAGGCTTCAAGATACTTTTCCAGAGGAAATTAATATATAATAAATAGAACTCTGAGCATTATTCTAGACAGCTGCTACCTTGCTCTGTGCCAGAACACCTTAAAACTCTGCTTTGAGGAGGAGCAAGGGATTTTTTTTCTCTATAGCACATTCCAATTAGCACATACAGGACTGCTGAAAGGTCCCACACTTTATTTCTAAGGTAGAATTTCCCCCTGTCCTCTAATTACAATAAGGGAGGAGAGACACCATGAATGTTATTTTATTTTTATTTTAGTTTGAACTAAAATGTTCCTTAAAAAAATGGATGGAATAGTGTTTCACAGGATATCTGACTTACTGTATCACAATACAAAGGGTAGGTAATAGCCCAGACAGCTGAAGAAAGCAGTTTTGCACCTTGATGAAGCATAGGAGGAGGCAGAGGTAACAGTTCCAATGCTTCATATCCAGTCAAGAATATAATTAAACACAGGGTCTGCATTTAAACACTGTAGCATGGTCTTTCTTAGGCTCTTGAGCCTAAAGACTTGTTTCCAGCCTTTACTAAGTGCTTATTCACCTCAAATGCTACAGTCCTGATTTAAGAAATCTCTTGGTACCAGAATACTAAGCTCCAGTTGGTAATAAAAGATACAGAAGGCAAGTGGAGCTACAGTAGAGCTGGCACAGTCTTGTGCGCTCACAGTCAGTGGACAGTACTGGAGAGAACAGTTCTGTTTTCTGAGCTGTGCTACACAGCTGGTCACTGCTAGTTTGACCAGAGATGTTTCACAGACTGGCTTTTAGTCTGAGAGGAAGGGAGAAAAGAAAACACAGATGGTAGAAGTCAAGAATAACAACTTCAGGACTTCTATGAATGGCATTAGGAATCCAGGCTCACTTTGAGCTTGAATCTTATCACATTCAGCTGCTTGGCAAAAGTAAGGCCTGGCTCAGTAGCCCTAATGGTTTAAGAGAACAAGATTCTTTAAGATTTTTTTTTTAAGAAAGTGAACATGTTGATTTCTTCTAGCATTTGAAATGTTACACAACAGATTGTGATCCAGTGCCACTTAACCAGCGCGTAAAAGGGAGACGCTTCATTAGTGGAGCTCAGGCACAACCTGTGCCTTAGAGTTTGGGCAGGCTGCCCAGCTTCCCCTTCAAGTTTTCAGCGAGCTTGTCCATGAACTCAAAGGTGCTCAGGTAGTCAGAACGCTTGACACTGAGGGGAGGAACAAAGACAGACAGACATTAGCTGTGAAGCTGCTGACTGCTTCAGTGGCAGAAGAGAGCTTTGAGTCTTGCCTCCAAAGCCACCACAGAGTCATTTCCTACTTTTCAGGCTATTTTTTTTTTTTTCCTCTGGAGCAAAGAGGAAAGAGTTTGCAGTGAACTAGGTCTCCACCCTAATAAATGGACATAATTTGGCCATCCTGTCATAGTGGAACTCCTTGTAGTGCATTTTTATTTGTTTCTTTTCTACCATTTTCCCCCCAAGTTTGGTTACTTTGGCAAGCTGCCTACACTGTGCTGCTTGGGGCAGGGAGTGTCTCCTGTTCTGTTTGTACAGCACTGTGTACAGAAGGGCTCTGCTCTGTGACCAAACTCCAGGAATTCCCACCATATACACTCCTAAAAACATCTGCAACAAATCTTTTCCAGAAGGAATAAAACAGCCCCTCCAGTCATGACCCCAATGACTTAATGGGCTTACTTGGGCAGGCCTTTGATACAGGCAGCAAGATCCTTTGTCATAAAGCCAGATTCAATGGTCTCAATGCAAACCTCTTCCAGGGCAGTGGCAAAGTTCTTGAGGCTGGTATTGTTGTCCAGCTTGGCTCTGTGAGCCAGTCCCCTTGTCCATGCAAATATGGAGGCTAAGAGAGAATGCAAAATAATTTATTTTTTAGGACTCCCTTCTAAACTGTTGCATAGAGCATTTTTTTAAAAGATACGAATAAAACTGAAAATAGAGTGAAAAAAGTTGTCTAATATAATGAAAAATGCTATCCTCATCTCAGCATGCTTTCTACTTTGTGCTGCTCTAAAGAAAAACAAAACTTGGAAAGTTGCCCCTGCCTCCAGCAGTCCCCTCTTTGTGTCCCTTGAGCTCATTTTCTTTCTGTCTAGGTCAAAAAGCACTATCTGTAGTGGAGTTCTAATTGACAAAAAACTGCCCTAAGAACCAAGGGTTACAGTTCCCTTCTCAATATTACTCTGTACTTGTTTTGTGTGCAGTTGCACGGGATCCTCTCTCTCCCATCCTGTTCTAGCTTATTTACTTTAATTAAAGGGTTTGGAGGTTGCCTGGGAATTTATGAGCATTAGAGAGGGGAAGCACCAGCCTAAACATTAATTTCAGTGTGGCTATGATCCCATCACTCCACAAGAGCAAGTGCATGTCTCCAAGGCCAGGTTACGTCTAACTTATTGCCCAAGTTCAATCTGTTTCAGCCTGCATTTTGCTGCAGGCTGCAGGTGGAAGACAAACACATTACGAACCAACAGTTTTATCATTTAGTGGTGCTGGTCTCTGCAGAACGAGGCGTAAAGTTTTACTCTGACTTTTTTTTTCCTCTGTAGAGAGAGACCACTCAAGGACACAGAAAGGCTGCTCACCAATGGGGTTGGTGGAGGTTTCTTGGCCCTTCTGGTGCATGCGGTAGTGACGAGTAACGGTGCCATGAGCAGCTTCTGCTTCAACAGTCTTGCCGTCGGGGCAGATGAGCACGCTGGTCATCATCCCCAGGGAGCCGTAGCCTGCAGGGTACATAGTTCAGGAAGCCCAGGATTTTACTTAAGCAGCTCCCATTGGAATCCTGCCCCCAACCCACAAAGCTCTCCCAGCCAGGGAAAGAACAAGTCTCCCTTAGCAGCTAGATTGCTGCTGCACCTGGCTGTTAGTTGTGACACTTCCAACCTACAGCGTGTCTGAACAGCAAGTACTGCTGAACCAGGAGGGAAAGGTCGGTGAATGTTCTGCCCCATTTCAAAAACATAATATTCCCGCCTACTTCTTGTCAGCTTTCTACTGAGAAGATAGAGACTGAGAAGGGAGCTTCCTAACTAAGCAGCATTGTGCTGCTAATTGCAATCCCTCCCAGAGGCAATGGGAAAGAAGCCTACTTCATATAAACAGCAACTGCTGTAGTGAAAGGAACTGTCAGCTAGGAGAACTGAACATTCATGTCACTTTTAACCCTGCAGGTTTCAGTGCTCTTTGAAAGCTTCTTCAGGTAGCATTCCAACATACCTACTTGTTCTGTGGGAGGCAATTTACTGGCATTAATTAAGAAGAGGTCTATTAAACAAAGCCACATGTTGTCCTGCAGGATTTTTCATCCTTACATGTTTTGGCATCAGCAGCTTGGTTAAACAGCATTCTTGATTAAGGACACGCCTGTAGAGCTAAGCATATTAACCTCTTTGCACCTGAGAGCTAGCTTTAGGTCCTCAAAGATTTCCTGCATGTCTGTATAGCAGCTGCCAGGAGTTCACCCCTGTTCTGTTTAGCTCAGGCTTTCAGTGACTGAATCCCAACTGTTTGGATGGCTTCACTAGAAAAGCCTTCTCATGCTCACAGTGCTGGAACTGCCACCTTGTGAGGAGCTATACCCAAGTGGTCAGCATTCAGTGATTTTCTTGTTAAAGTGACATCACAAATTCTTTGCTTGTTAATACCTTCATGGCTGCCACAGCTTTGAAACTTATACGCTGAAACCCACTGTCACCTGTTGGGCTGCACCGCGAGACTGATAGCCAGATCCCGAGTCGGCAGCAGTGCGGCCAGGAAACCTCTCGTACCTTGTGCAACGGAGTCGGATTGCACGTCTCCGTCGTAGTTCTTGCAGGCCCAGACAAAACCTCCCTCAGATTTCAGGGCCTGAGCTACCATGTCATCAATGAGCCTATGCTCATACCAGATCTTTTTGGCCTCAAACTGGGACTTGTATTCTCTGGAAAACAAAAACCAGAACATCCTGCTATAATCATCTGATAAATAGATGAAAAAACAGGGACAACCTGTGCAAAAGGAAGTGAGAGGGTATAAAAGAAAGATCCATTGTCTTGGATCTTTTCTCCTCACTTGTTTTCCTAGGATCCTGTAAATCTGTTTGAGACTTGGCGAATCTGTTCACAGACAAAATGTGTGGCTCTGGCAGCAGAGATGAACACCGCAGCCAGGTTTAGCAAAGCTTCAGGGATTGACTGCTGTGTCCTGAAGGACAAAGGGGAGAGGGGAAGCGCCCAGCACTTCTGAAGTGCTCTTGAATGCATGAAAATGAATTAACTGCAACAGTTCATAAGGCTGGAAACGATATTTCTGCTCTAGGCCGATGGCACTATGGTAGGACATATACAGCTATTCCAGCTACCTGTCATAGATGTCTTGGAAGATGTCTTTAAAGCGGCCATCATATTTCTTCAGGATGGTGTTCTTGGTGCTCATGTAGAGAGGCCAGCCTTTAGACAGGGCCATTTGGAAGGAACTGTGGGCAAAATCCTTGATAGACTGGTCAAGATTGTACATTCCCATGGCCACACCACCACAGCCTGGTAGCAGAGGGGAGAGGGGGAGAGGGGGGGGGGAAAAAAAAGCAATCAATGAGGTTTAGTTAGTGTTGGTTAAGGCCTTGTCAATGTTCTCATAACACCTGCCTGCCAGAGTGCTATTCCTGATGCATTTCCCATTTTAAGGCCAAGAACATTTTGAGGATTCATGCTATCAGCTCCAGGCTGCAGCAGTGCCGAGGTGAGTGAATATGGAGGTGCTCTTGTTTTACAAATAGGCACAGCTCATACTGAAAACTAACAGTTCTGGGGGGCTTCTTACTAATCCAAGCCTAGGATGTGAAGCTGTGGGACAGGAGTGAGCCTGTTGGCAACTCCTACGAGTGGAATAAAGAAGTCTTTCTCACCAAAGCAGTAGGCAGCCATCTCAGAGCTGGAATTTGGTGTTCTCCCAGTCTAAGGGCCTTCTATTTTCAGGCTGCAACTGAATCTCGCAACTAACTGCAGCAGTCAGTGCCTGCTTTGCCTAGCTCAGATAAACAAGGCTCTGCATGCTTTCTTGTGTCTTATCTGTTCCTGCGTCTGGCAGCCTCTGCAGGTTTGCCTGCCTGTTCAGGCTGATTCCAGTCAGCTGTGGGAGAATGCACCACTCCTCAGGATGCAAGAGAGAATGCCAGGAAGGCTCTGAGCTATGAGCCCTTGCAGTGCTGAGCTGTGATGTACATGGACCAACAGCTTGAATGGAAGTGCCTTAAGCTTGCAGGCCAGCGCCCCTGGGGCAGAGCAGGGGCCAAGAGGCTTGTGGCTGGGGGTGTAAGCAGGGGCTGAGCCCTTCACGAAAAGGCTCTGTTGCTTCTACAACACAGGTTTTTCTAGATGGAGTGAAAAACAGATTTACTACCTTGTCCTTTGAGTGTTTCATTAACACCACCTCTGCAGTTTACTGTGGTGCACCTTCATGAGGAAGGCTTGCTGAGAACTCCCCAGATGTTTTATTCCTCCCCTGCTCCTTGGGGAGATGAAAACAGGACAACTTTCCTAATATCCATCTGTTCTTACAGACAGTTAATTTTTATTGCATAGATGTGCATGCAAGAGAGGGAGGGCGAGCTAAAGGAGGCTTATTTGCTTGCCAAAATAGCAAGGTCATGTTAAGCTGCTATTGGCATGGCATAAAGTCCTGTTGTTACCAGTGAAAATACTTGTTGTCCCTGTCTCCTTTAGGGACCCAAAGACTGACTGGGGCTGTTTAACTACAGAGAGTACACCCTCCAGAACCATGGTTTTCTAGTTAGGTGGATGACAGCTATCAAAACTTATTCAAATATTTATTTGCATATAGATGAAGAGAAGCAATGAGGTCATCCTCTGGCCAACTAAAATCTTTTGATTGTGTCATATTTGAAGGCATCAGTAGAGCAATAGCACAGGATTCCCTTATGCCCTGTAGAGATCTGCTGGCATGACAGTTATCTGTGGAAAGGTGAGTTTCCTTCAGAACAGCAGCAATCTGTTATCTCCACCATTCCTGGCTTTCTGGTGGCTGAGGCAACACCTCAGGGCAGAGAATCAGACTGGCTGTGAGAGCTACCAGACATCTCTCATACAAGATTCACCAGGAAGCAGTTGAAAGAGAACAAATTTAAACCTGTGCCAATTAGGACCAAATGTGAATCCAGATTTCATTTCCAGATGAAAGGCTGTGTAAGGAGGTACTAGGGATGTGGCTACCTTCAAAAGGAATACCACAGGAATCTTAAATTTTATAGGTGACAGTCATATGGCAACCTGCATATACATTTGGCTTGGCAAACTGGTACTAACTCAGAGTCAAGGTGCTGTTTACATTGATGTATTAAGTTTCTGTAGACAGAAGCAGCATAGTGCATGGTCACATAGGTCACTATCAGACATCAGACCATGGACTTTTGATTGCAGATAGAGCCTTTTTCTGAACCCTGCCCCTATCTGTGAAACAGGGTGTTTTGCAAGGTTTATGCAATTGGTTTTGTCCATAAAGCCCAGCAGGAGCAGGAATCCCCTTCCTGAATCTAGCAGTGTTTACAGCCAATGCAGCAACACTGCTACAAATCACACCAACATCCCTGGGACCAAGGCTGTTGCAAAGGAAGTCTAAGCACAAGGAACCATTCTTGTCAAGTCTCCCTTACGTTTTATGCAGTAGGGACCAGTTCTTGTTTCTGTTGCAGGAGTAGACACTATGCTTAATAAAGAAGGGTACAAAGTGCAGGTACATAGAGCCCAACAAGACAGGAATCAACCCCAGAGTTAAACCTAATCTGTTACAAACTATACCTCCCTCTGCTCAGGGCAAGCTCTGTTTGGATTACAAGCTTCCCTCTGATCAGAAGGGGCTGTGGGGAGTGGACTACCAAACATCATCACATGGAGCATGACAGGGAGCCACCTTGGTATGATTATGTAATTGATATGCTGCTGATCCAGGATGCTATAGAGTAGTCCATTGTTCAATGGAACAGATCTGATACCTTAAGGATGAATAAAGCAAAAATACCACTTCTAATCATAGCTTAAAAGTCATACATACTTTCAAAATTATGGACCAAATAGGTGACAGGTTTGCCTCCATCTTTGGGAGTGTATGTCATCTCTACTTTTCCAGGCCCCGGTACCACAAAATCAGTTGCTCTATACTGTTAAAAACAAAAAAAAAAAAAAAAAAGAAAGGATCATTTTTATCTGTCAGAAAGATAGAAACCTAATAGAAAACTTGCATTTGTGTCACATCCAAATAGTGCTTGGTCTGTGAGTAGAAAGGCTTTAATACAAAACTTAATATCACAACTACTAATCGCATTAATAAGATAGAAATTGTACAGCACCTTAACAAAAGTCACTATATCTTTCCATCATAAGATATTCAAAAGACTGATCTTATAGTTAAAATGCTTCCCAAATTTGTAAGCTAGTACACTTTTTGCTCCTTTGAGACAAATGGATTATACAAATAAAAAACATAGCATGTATGTTTCTGAGTTTAAACAGAGTCTTATGTTTCCAAATGTCCTGGAACAGCACTATTTAAGGTTATATTTTGATTAATTCTGTCATCCTTTCCCATGTAATTTCCTTCCAATCCAAGAAATAGGTTCCTTAAGTTGTTGTGAAATTCAGAGCATCTTGGTCATGTCCTTTACATGTTCTCATATTATTCCTTAACTTTAATCCCCTACTTTGGCAGGGATTCAATCTTCCTCCTTAATCCGTTGCTCCTTCCTATTCTTATTATGACCTTCTCAATTGTTTAGTACTACCGAATGAAGGATGTTAAGCTGTATTCTTCCCTAGTGTCAGGGCTGAGCGTTTTCCCCGTTTTCCCCCGCAACACACACAGTTGGAAAGCTAGTATTTCACTTTTCCAGCCAGCTAAGTTTGTAACTTGCTCTCAGTTGTACAGGCTCCTCCTTCAAAGAAAACCCACCATTTAAAAAACCTCTTGTAGAAGACTTCCCTTCTGTCCCGTTTGGCTGCTTTACAGAGCATCATTATTCATGGAGAACAGCATGGCCAGTAATTATCCTCAGGGCTGCCCAAAATTCCCTAGCCTGGGAGGCACCCCAGGACTCCCACTGGCCCTGCGCTGCCTCCGCTGGGAGAGCTCTGGCAGGGGACACATCCCTGCTTCGGCCCCATAGCTGATGCTCCAAGGGTCGGCGCCAACAGTTCACCTTCAGGACTGCTGGGAAAATCCAGGTCTGATGCTGATACCCAAGTAAGTTCATTGGCAGAGGGAAGGAGGGAAAGCAACTTGGTCTGGTTCTAAAAAAAGATTACTATTTTTTTGCCACAGACGTCCAATGTAACTACTTCCCAGTAGCAAGAAGCAGCAAGACTCTGGCAGAGAAGGTGAGTTTGTTTTTTAAAAGCTATTACTATTCAGAGAGGAGGCTCTGTAGACGTGAGGAAAAAACCTGCATCTTGGAGAAAGGAATTACACCCTGTGCTTAGGTAGAGCCCATCTACCTAAAGCTATCAGGCTCCCACATAGTGTTTCTACAGTTGTGGTGCCAGAGGAGCAGAGAACCAGGCTCTCCCACACCATGCTAGGTGCTCTATGAAGTGCTAGCAGCAATCGCTCCTGGGTAGAAGGAAGGGGTAAAGCAACACCACAGGGAACACCAGTTTGTGCAGCTCCACAGCAGTTCAGGGCTAAGACTGTGCAGACAAAGAGAGAGAAGCACTGAAGTGACTCACTTGGTCCCCATAAGCGTGACGGCCGATGACGATGGGTTTCACCCATCCAGACACCAGCCGTGGGATGTTCTTGCAGATGATGGCTTCCCTGAAGACAGTGCCACCAAGGATATTTCTAATTGTCCCATTGGGAGACTTCCACATCTGCTTTAGCTTAAACTCCTCCACCCTCTTCTCATCAGGAGTGATGGTTGCACATTTGATGCCAACATTGTATTTCTTTATAGCTTCAGCAGCTTCCACAGTCACTTTGTCATCTGTAGCATCACGATTCTCCATGCCCAAGTCATAGCTGCAATAAACCCACAGAGACTGTCACAGTTGCCCAGGGCACTGGCTCACGTCCACCAGGATAAAGCAACAGACCTCCTACCATAGCTGAAGTCATTCCTCTTCCACTCCAGCAGCAGTCACACTAAAAGAGAATATAGGCTCCTATAGTGATACTTCTGCTGGGAGGAGGCAGGACAACTTCAGTTGATGGCTGAGGTGCTGCATCAGCATGGGACAAACAGCATCCTCCCTTCTGGTGCCAGGCTGAAAGCTCCATTACTTGTACAAAGCAGCACAATCTTAAGGCAATATTAAGGGCCTTTTATTTTGAACCTCTTGTGCCATGGGGTTCTGGCTTCCTCTATATCTTCAGCAACACAGAGCTACACTAAAATTCAAACTGAAAACTGCCTCGACAACGGTCCCACAGTGCCCCTCGCTTTGGCAGGGACCTGCCAGCATCCCCCTCTACCAGGGGGAGGAAACGCTCACTGTTTTGTTCTCCAACAGCTTTGGGAGAATAACGGGTGCCTGGTGTGGGCTTGTCCTGAAGCCCAGCCAGCAGGACATGAATGTGGCCATTGTGCTGGCCCAGCCAGGGGTCCCTTTACCCTCCTCCCTCCTTTCCCCAAGGAGGGATATTCCCATGACTTTGTGTGTGTGCGTGTGTGGTTGTTATGCTGCTGGGTTCCTGTTTGCTTGGGTCTCAACACTAGCAAGCAGAAAGCCTGATGTAGGTGGCATACAAATGACTCCAGAAGCAGGGGAAAAGGTCAGACTTGTAGGTTGACACCACTGAAAGCCTCTTTATACAGAGCTAGGAGCAATCCAGCTGGATACCTCTGTAGTAATGATTATAGATCAGTTGCTAGAAAGTGAAGGGAATTTACATTTCACTTGACCAGAGGCTGTAGACTGTCCCTTTTGCCATGCCCTCTTGCTAGAATCTCTTGTCCCGCAGTGGAGCAGAAGCGCTAAGTCTAGACTTGGGGATTGCAACATTTAACCTGCCCTGCCAGCGACAGGGCTCAGGCCTACAGGGCACAGCGTGTGCCCTGCAGCCACCCTTTTGCCCTCCCAGTAGGTCTTCTAACAGTGGCATGAGGCCATAAACCTGCTCAGAGTCCACAGATGCTGGGGCCCACGTCAGGGAGCGGCTGAAACAGCCCTTGTTGCTATTAGCCTTGGCTGCAGGAAGCCACAGACTGTTCCAGCTCTGGAAAGCAAGGGCATGGCGCAGAGGGAGGATGCAGACCTCCCTGGTGAAAGGCCCTCTGGGGCACAGCATGGGAAAAAGAGGTATTGAGTGTTCCCTTCTTACTGCTGTGAAGAACTACCAGGAAGCTCCCAAGAGAGGGGTGTCCATAACATCTTGCCACAAGCCTAAGCTTTCCAGAGCAGTTAGTATAATTAACCACTTGGTAAATGAAGCAGAGTCACAGACCTAGCAGATTTTATAGGTCAAAGGAAAGCAAAGGTTTACCACACGCTCCTTGCAAACAGCACAAAAAGGTATCAGTCTAGAGCAAGCTAATTAGCCTCTATGCACTCGCACTGGAGGAGCTGTTAGTCTTTCCAGTGGTGCATGAAACAAGATCAATGCCTAATGTTGCATACAGATTGGCTAAGTGTCATAGAGAACGCTTACCTGTGTAAATCCAGGTCTATGTAAGGGAAAATCAGCTTTTCTTTAATCAGTTCCCATATGACCCTGGTCATTTCATCTCCCTGCATCTCCACAACAGAGCCTCCATGGATTTTGGTAGCCATCCTGAGCTGAAGTAGATGCAAAGAAAAACCCATAAGTTAAAGCATTCTAACACCTACAGACACAATTTACAACAAAATTAGAAGGGAGACACTAACGCTGCGTTCAGAACCTGTCCTGACACATCTTGGAAATAACCCAGGTTTATTCCCCATTTCATGCTAGCTGGTGTTTTTCTTAAAGTCCCAGCACTTACAGACATCTGTCTGGGGATATAGTACAATGTTAATAACTGATACCTAAAGGTTTCGGTGTTCCCAGTTTTCACTGTGGTTTTGCAAAGAAATCTGAACGCATGAAGAAATCGCTTTTCCAAGTTCTGCAGGGAGGGGGGGGGAAAAAAAAAAAAAAAGCTCAATTTACTTTTAGATTTCATGAGTTCTGGTCTAGTTACCTGCTTTTTTTCTCTTTTCTGAAATATCTGAGGTTAACAGATGTTTATTTTAACAGCAGTTGACTGGTATTGTGGGCGCTACCAGGACCACTGGGTTGTCCAATTCTCTATTTGCTTCCTTCCTCAGGAAGAAAACAAGTACAGAGATGAAAGGGCCTCATCAAGAGCACTTTCTCCTAACCAAGCTTTATTTCTGATAAAAATAATAATAATAATAATAATAATAATAATAATAAAAGTAGCAGACAGCTTTGTTTTCTGTATAAAACAAAGGTTTCTCAAGATACTTGCTCAGAGACTCTTGGAAAGAAAAAGCTACCGCCCGCTGAACTCTGCCTTGTGTTTGCACTTTGTTCCTTGACAAAAACCAACCCCAGGAATCAGCCAACTGTTCCAGCAGCGCTCTGCTTCCCAACGTCCACAGTTTCTCGGTTCTTATTATGCAAGAGCTATGACTTGGCAGTTCTCCTCCCCAGAGAGCCCCGTTCCTACACGCAGCTACTCGGCTGCGGCAGCAAGACACCAAGACACCAACCCCTTGTGCGAGGGTCTGGGGCCTGTGTGCCGGGCGCGCGGTTGTACTGAGCACAGCCCATTCACGGGCACACATTTACGCGGAGCGGAGGATGCTGCGGCCCGAGAGCCCCGCGCTGGAAGCACATGGGGAGTTAGTGTTTATAAATGCATTAAACACATTGGGAAAAGAATCATTTCTGGCTAATCTTTGTTGAAAGCGCAGCACAGGCTGTGCCCAACAGCGCCCGGTAAGTGCACAGGGGGCAATGTCACACTGGCAGGTCGAGGCGAGCGCACCAGACGCCTGCCCGAGGCTCCCTCACCCCACGGGGAGGGCAGCTTGGCTCCCACGAGGCCTCCTCGTCCACCTGCGGCGTGACCCGCGCGCCCGGGCACAGCTTCAGTCCCCGGCAGCGGCCCCGGCTCTCGGCCGCGGCGCGCTGTCAGCTCCCGCCGGCGGGGCGCCGGCTGCGCGACCCCCGTGCCCCGCCGGCTCCGCGGGGCCGCCCCTGCCCCTTGGGGCTGCCGCGAGCCGGGGCTCGGGAGGGGGCGGCGGGCCCGGCCGCCGGAAAAGGGGAAACGGAGGAAAATCCCTTCCCTTCCCTTCCCGCCGCCGCCGCAGGCCGCGCGCAGCCGCGAGGGGCCGCGGAGGAGCAGGAGGAGGACGCGGAGGAGCAGGAGGCCGCCGTTACCTGCAGCGGGGCCGGTGCGGGGCGCGCGACGACGCTGGGCCCGGCCCCGCGCGGCGCCTTTTATTGCGGGGCGGCGCCGCCGCCGCGGCTCCCCCTGCCGGCCGCGCCGCCGCGCAGCGCAGCGCAGCGCAGGCCCGCCTCGCCTCGCCGCTCCCCTGCCCTGCCCTCCCCGGGCCCGCGGGACGGGCCAGGAGCCSCTACCGGCCCCCGCGCTGCCCGGCGGGCGCCGCCAGGAGGCCCCGTGCCCCGGTAGGCGCCGCCCGCCCGCCGGGGGCCGCGGCGGGTGGATGGGCGCCGAGCCTCGATTGGCGATGCCTCGGCGCGGCCGTCGGCGGGCGATTGGGCAGGGCTGGCGGCGGCGACCGTTGCTATGGGCGGGGCGCGGCGGCCGTTGAGGCGAGGGGAGGCGGAGCGGGCGGAGAGGCGACGCCGCCGGCCCCGGCCTGTGCCCCGGCCCGCGCCCCGGCCAGCGGCCCCCGCGCCCCGGCCAGCGGCGCCGCGGGCAGCAGGTAAGAGCCGCCCGCGCCCGCGGAGCCGGCCCCGCGCGGGCGCCACCGCCTGTCCCCGTGGCGCGGCGCTCGCGCGGCCGCAGGGCCCGCGCGCGGTTCCCTGCGGGACGGGGGCGCCGTGGGCAGCGCGCCCCGCGTTTGGGCCACGGAGGCCGGAGCGGGGCTCGGTGTCTGCTCCTCGCTGTGCCAGCCTCCCCGCGCACGAACGGGCGAGCGCTGCCCCTGTGTGTTTGCCACGCGCGACGCGCTGCCCTGCCCGTTTCCTTCGGCTGGTGCTGCCCTCACGTCGCGCTCCCGCCCTGCCCACAGCCCCCAGGCTGCGCGTTGTTTCCTCGAGTTACACATACGATGTGTGCAAGTTCAGAGACTTCCTTGTTTTCTTATCTTGCCGGGTCACAGCCGGTTGCTGAGGGGGAGCTCGGTTTCCTGCACAGCTTCTGTTTGGTTGTATAATGGTGTCTTTCACGTGGAGCAGCTTCTCTGTTTTTTTAAAGATTATGTGTCGAGAGAAACTGTGAGCTACAGGTGCTGTTTATACAGAGCAGCACATTGAAGCACGCCAAGAAGTCCTGACTGACATACAGCTATCTTCTTTTGCGCCTTGTTGGTAGGAATGATCACACTCAGCGGCCTGTTAGAGCTCTTAGTGTGACACACTTGCCAACCATGTAGATTTTCTCTGGATTGTGCAGATTTTTAGTGTGTGGCTTCACAGAACTTGGATTTTTGTCTAGTCAGTAAAATAGTTGTATAGATTCTAGGGCGCGTTTGCAGAGATTGGGAGCGGCTGTTTCGTGAAGGGGCACGCATGGGTGGCGAAGCAGGAAGCAGAGCTGGTGTGGGGTTTTGCTCCTTGGCGTGGCAGAAGGGGTCAGGCCTCTGTCACGGGTTCCAGCAGCACCTCCTATTCCTGCTCTGTCAGACGTTTCACTGAGTCTTGGTTAAACAAAGATGAAGGCAGTACCTGAGTTTTGGAGGATAGAAATGGAGGCCTTGCATGGTGGGGTGGGTTGTAGAAAGCTGGAAGGAGTGAGGTGTGTACACTGAGGTTATCAAAAGTATATAGGATGTGTGACTGTTGGCCACGAGAAGGCTTTGGTACGCGGCAAGAAGGAACAATGAGTGTGTCTTTCCCTAATATACAGTGCTTTGCGTTTTTTATTTTGTCTTCTTAATACAGCCACTCTTGAAAACAAGGAAGTTTCAAAGTGTTAGATATGGCAACAGATAAACCACAGCTTGTATTGCTGCCCCGGTGACTTGTCTGTGAAAGCACAAGGTCTGTCGTCGTGCCCTGTCAAGGGCAAGGAAGCAATGTGCCACCAAGTGTGGTTTTCAGTCCTGTTTTTATTTACTATTCATTCTGCTGCTTCTTCACAAGTTAACCCAGATAAAGGGCAAATCTGCTACTTTAAGCTGCAGAGTCTTGCTTGTCTATTTTTTGCTTGTTGCAAGGGCTGCAGAGGTCACAACATTGACAGCTGTTCTCTTAAGCTGAAGTGAAAACTTGATACTGTACATGTGTATATATCGATTTAAAAAAATTCAAGTGGGAGTTGATTCTCATAAAACAGTAGCCAAAATGTTTTGTCAGACTGTGTAGTAGCTGTTACTTACTCTGGATATTTAGCTAACAGCTCTGAGTTGCTCCTTGTGCGGACTTTGATCTCTTCCCACTTGCTAGATAGAGAACTTCAGCTTCTCTCGGACTTCAGGACCTGAGCGAACAGCAGGTATCTGCAGTACATTAGGTGGGTGTTCCCCTCAGTATCTACCTCCAAAAGTGTCCTGCTTTTTCACTCTATGTATATAACATTGTTTTTTTTCTTGTTGATTTTCTTTATTTCTCTCCCTCAGGGCCTGTGAAATGGCGGCGGATGACAAACGGTCTCCGACACTGGAGGCTACCAGTGATCTACCTCATTCTCCCAGCAGTCCCTCTCATCTCACCCACTTCAAGCCCCTGACTCCTGACCAGGATGAGCCCCCCTTCAAATCAGCCTATAGCTCTTTTGTGAATCTTTTTCGTTTCAGTAAGGGTAAGTGCTTGTGTGTGTTATCAATAAACTTGCCTGTTTTACTGCTCTCTGCTGCCAAATAGATGTATATAAACACCTGTAAACATGGCAGGAGGATAATTTCAGACTGCTGACTAAGTAGTTAATGAGTGAGTCTCGTGTGAGGAATTTTAGCTCTAGCTTTGGAGTGATGTAGTTGGGCTTTGCCATGGGAGAAGATAGCCAGCATTTTGCAGCTAAAAATCTGTGGCTGCAGTGAAGGATCAAGACAAGCCAGCTAACAGATGGCATTACGCAGTTTCTTAGCTGGACCCCTGGAAATGCCAATGTTCCTGCCTGCAGGAAGTTTCCAAGATGAAAATGAGAAGGCTCTGCTAACTTTCAGGAGCAAGAGTTGTGCTTGTGCTCTTTAATGCAAGTTCCTACCAGGCTTCTTCTACTCCTGATCTACCCATACATCTCATAACCTTTGCCAAGTGGCAGCTGAGCTGTAAGAAAGCAGTGCATTTACAGAAGATGCTTACTGACTTTGCACTGCTGCAGGTACTCCCAGTCAAGAGCTCTGAAGTGTGGTAGAAGCCTTTTATGCAAAAAGTACTGCTTGATGCTGGCCTTTGTGCTACATGTACCATGAAGCACTTTAGCTCTCAGTAGGTGAGCTCTTAAAGAATTATGTATTTCTTCTGTGTTTCCTAGCAGAATATTATATAGAGAGGTGAATGAGAACTCCTGTTTCGTACAAAACCTGCATATCTCTGGCTGGAGGTGGCGGCTGGTCAGCTGCTTTTGTTTAGTCTGTTCATTGTCCAGATCTTGCTAAGCATATTTCTGCTCTGTTTGGGCTAGGGAGGAAAAGGGTGAGAAAGCTTTTTGTGTAAACAAATTGATTTGCTCAGGCTCTTTTTCTACAAGATGAAAATAATTATTTGTTTTGACTGCTCTTTACTTGGCTTGCCACTATTTTTTTTTTGAAAGAAACATTAAAATTTGTTCAGTGCTAGATTAACTTGTTTGTTGCTATCAAGCATAGCTGGAGTCAGCAAAGAATTGTGTTAGCAGCTTTGAAATAGCACAGAAAACAGTCATGTTACTGAAATGAGTGAGAACAGCCTGCTGTACTCAGTCCTCTGACTGCAGAGAGTAGATTATTGAAGGCCACAGTAACTTTAGTGTGATCACAGTACTTTGAAAAACAGGCTTCTAATGTAACTTAAAATCCATTCTGAGGGCAGAAATTAATAATCAAGTGTAGCTATTTTAAAAAAGTGTTTATGTTTGTTTATTTGTTTATTTTAACACTTTTCACATTGGGGATACTTCTGAAATGGCCTCTTCCTTGACACGCAAGTCCTACACACTGACCTGTTTTCATGTTTTGTAGGGTACTTTTCAAGCTAAAAGTTTTGCTGTATATCTGGCTTTTGCTATGCCTAATCACAAACCAAATGAGCTCTTTATGAGAATATTTTTTCCCCATAATTTTGTATGTGCTGCTGTTTTTCCCTGTCATGTCTGACAGTTATCTCTTGTCTTTTATCGACTCCAGATGATGGCAGGCTTTCATCCACGGTGGAGAGAGGAGAGGCAGGACAGAGTGATCCACAAGCACTCAGTGGTGGCTGGTCAAGTCCTCAGCATCCCACGAGGGCTCAATCTTTCAGGTCACCAGTTCCTTACAAAAAACAACTAACCAGCGAGCTACAAAGAAGATCATCTGCAACCTTAGGTAATTTCAGCTCCTTATGCTACAGAGAACAGAGAATCAGTGGAAGGAGGTGAATAAAGGTTTTGTTGACCATGTAGACTGGTAGCAGAACTTGGTATCAGGCTACACTGCTTCTGTTGGTCAAGTTACACTTCAGCTTTGGAAATGTGTCTACTCCAGCCTCCTCCATGTTCCAGCAAGACACTCTTGTTGCTGCTTCAATTACAAAATGGTCTGGCATGAGGGAGACTGTCAAATACTCCAGCATCATAGAGCCACTTGAACCTCAATCCTCCAAACTTCTGTGTAGTCTTAAGAAATTTCAGCTTCTTAATAACTGTCTCCTAAATACAACTTTATAGCTCATTCTTTAGGGGTTGGTGTTTGGAGGAAGTTTGCAGTGTGGGCTTTTGACTGTAACTGTTTTGTAGGGCATTGCATACTTGTATCTAAACCTTTATTTTTATAACCTTGGAGCTATTGCCAGAGGCTCTATTGAATCTCTATTTGCTGAACTGGAAATTGAATGATTTCGAAAGCATAACTGTGTAATGGCTTTATGAAAAGGGAGAAGAGCTCAGGGGTTCATGCTGATGGCTGATAAGTATTGTTGGTAGCTTCTGGTAGTCAGAGCCAAGTGCTCTACTGGTTAAAAATTCTGTGAAAGACAGTGTTTATAAACACATAGCACCTACTGTCTCCAAATCGTACCTTAAAAGTTGTTAATTTATATATCTTTTTCAGAAAAGTGTCTAGCCTTTATAAGGAGGCAAAAGTCCAGTAGAGATAACTAGCATTTTCATCTCTCATATTCATTTGCAGGCTCTCTGAGTTGGAAATATTCACCCTCATGCTCCTTGCCTTCTGGTAGTGCTTGTGCTATTGAGTTGTGTCTGTCACAACAAAGCAATTAAGGTTTCAAAGCTTTTTCTCAAGTGCCCCAAGTACGGAAGTGTGCTCCTGGCTGATTTGCCAAGAGTATATGTTGCCTTACTTCTTCCTTAGTCACCTCTTACAAACACTTAGAAATTATCTGTGGATTGCAGATTAGAAGCCTTTAGGCAAGGTGAGTTGTTTGCTGCTCAGAAAGTAGAAATAATCTTGGGATTTGTTTTCTACTGAGAGGAGGCAAGGTGGGAGGGGATGGCAAAGTGAGATTTGGTCTAGGAGGTGGTCTAAGGTGTTGCTGCTCTATTCCGACTTCTTTTCTGGCCCTCCACTTAAGCATCTTGGGTTTGAACTGAAGTACAGTTAGGATAACATGATGATGAAGCAGTGTGGAAAGAAGTGAAGTAGATGGCACAGGACTTGCTTGCTTATTGAAAAGTTTTCCATTTTTATTGGGTGTTGATTGTATGTTGCTGTATGAGTAGCAAGTGGCCTGACTTGCTGTCAAATGTTTTCCCAAAATCTGTTAAAAACCTTGTTCCTATGACAAACATGAACTCTATGTAATGCAATCAAGTCATCTGTATTTGTAGAGGGAGAAATCCTTGCATCTTTCCTCTTCCACAAAGCAGCTTTTTTTTTTCTTTTTTTTTTATTTGAGTTTCAGAAAATGAGTTTTCATGGCTCCCTTTTTTAACTTAAAAAAGGGTGAAAGTACAATTTTGAGAATTTCTGATCATAGAGCAGAAAATAATTTTACTTCTTACATAGTGGCAGCTGGGTTGCACAAATAAATAACTTCAAAAATCATTCTCTCCATAAAAGTCACAAACTTATTTATAACTTTTGCCCCAAGTATTTTTATTCCCTCAGATTTCAGAGCCTAGAAAAAAGTGGAATGATATATGTAAGCACCTGAATTGATAAGCCTCAACTCAATTTAGTGGCAGTGGTGCATATAATCTAGTTGGGCTTTCTTGCAACCTTTTATCTGTAGATCCTTAAATATCTCTCTGACCTTGGCCTTTTCTTGTAAGAGATTCTTATTTTCCATTATAGTTGGACAGCAGTAGGCAGGAGAATGCCCAAGTGCCTCGCAAATTTAAAAGGTCTTCTCAGCCTCGTTGAGTTTAAATAGCATGCAAAGTTTAAGCAATCTGAAATGAAGAAATAAGAGATTTGGAGAAAGGCTGTTAGTGCATCTAAACAATGACAGAAAAGAATTGCTTGGGGATGCTAACTCGAACTCCTGTGTGACCATAAGCTTGTGCTGTCTGCACAGCAGCTGTTTTTGTTGCTCAGAGACTGTGTTGTCTGATAACTGCAAGAACAACATAGAAAGGAGGGAGGATGATTTGTGTAAGAAACTGTCTAGCATCAAGTATGTACTTTTTCAGGTCAATGCTTCCTTCAGGACTGCTTGCACCAGAATATTATTATAGGATTTTTAAACTTACTGTCTTTTGTGCAAATAGGAGAAGCTGCTAGGTGCCAGGCTTGGTCACAGATGCTTTGTGGCCTATACAGCAGAAGAATTAGTGCTGAGACTCTGCACTGGGCTCTGTTTGCTGTGCCTTGTAACCTGTTGTATAGTCATGCACTTGGATAGAGTGCTGGACAGCTGCAATATCTTTTCCAATGCCTAGCTGGTTGTGCTGGGTTGGGTGTGTTCGTACCACTGGTGTGTACTGATTGCTTTCAAAGTGCTGGATTGAACCCAAATACTGTGGTAATGTCACAGTTTGCAAATCCAGTTTAAGGGTAACTGGAAATGCTGGCCGTTTGGAGAGGTAGTATTTGGTGGTGAAAGCACTTAGTTATGCAGTCCTGCAGGATAGTTCTGTTAGGGCTAGAGGATCATAGCAGAGAGACAGTGACAGGGAATGCAAAGGGGCATGGTAAGAAAATGGAAACAGCAGCGATCATGGGGCCTCATCAGTACATCTGCACATCATCGCGTGAAGCTGTCTTTGCTTGCTGCTTTTTTTTTGTCTCATTTGGACAATGACAAGCAGAAATCTGTGGAGCTGGATCAGGTTGTCATGCTGCTTTAACCTCGCTGCTTTTATTTTAAAAATATATATATTTTGGGATATATACCTCAATTGATTGTTTTGTCAATAACACAGGAAGGCTACTGGAACAATTCAGTAATGGATCCCCAATGCAGATAGTGCTGCTTCAGGAAGACTAAAATGGCTTAATGTTACATCGGTGTGCAAGTATGGTGAAACCTCTTAAGGTTAAATCAAAAGAAGAGACTTTTAAATATAACTCATTGCCATAGGGATGATACTGTTTACAAAACAAGAAAAAATAAGCTTAAAATTTCAGTGTTTGTAGAAGGGAATTGTGCAGATTTAATGGAAATCCAAACCTTTCAAATAGTTCCATGAAATATGGAACTATTGACAACTGAAAGCATAAATATCTGTAAAATATGTTTGTATTAACTAAGAAAATGATTGTGGTGGTTATAGTAATTAACTTTGGGTCAGTAGCAAGAGTTAACATAAGCTTGATACACAGGTATGGATCCTTTTTTAAGCGACTTATTTTAAACATAGTCGGTCCTGTACTGCAGTAACTGAGATAACTTTTTATATTCTTCCTATATTTTCTTCCAGAAAGAGAGGAATCTCATGCTTGTGAGGGAAAAGACCCGAATAAATCTTAATCTGAGAATTGGTTAGCTTCTCTAGTATAAACATCCTACTACCAATGATGTGCTTTTTCTAATGTAGATCATATCTTTTTTCACACATAAATAGTGTCAAAAGGAAGGTTTCACAAAAAAAACCCCGAATGGATTTAGCTATGGCATTTGCTCAGTGCTGCCTACACTCATACTTGGGAATCACTTGCCTGACAGATTTATATTTGGTGAGTCAGAAGGGCCTGATAGTAACTTCCCAAGTTGAAAGTAACATTCCTGGAAAGAAGGTTATAGCAGGAGAGAGACGAGAGGGTAAATGCAGCACAAATCTCATGATAGAAGTAGGAGATAAAGGTTTTTGAGGTTTTCAGTGATTTCTTAAAATCTTGAGTCACTTTAATCACCCTAAAATATTCAACTTGGTATTGTCCAACACTATAGCATTTTTTTAAATGTATTCCTAGCACCTAAGCAAAGAGGCAGGACTGAGCGCTCTAGCATCTTTTCAAAATTGTCTCCTCCTGTTGTAGATTCTTTGCTGCACAATGGTCATTAAGTAGCTACACGTGTGGGCAGAGTAACTAAAAAAAATCTACTGAGACCCTCAAGGAGAGTCAGGGAATGAGGGAGTTTTAGTCATAATGCCTGAAAGGTTTGGATCTCTTGACCGTCTTGTTCACACGAAGGAAGGAGCAGCCCAGTGCACTGCAAGAGTTAACTCACTTCTGGTGCTGTCAGCATTCCTGCTGACATCAGTGATATGCAGAGCAGTAAACAAAAAGCAGCCATGTCTGTTCTTCCTGTACAAGAGGAATGAAAATAAAATGCTAGTCAGATGGAGAGCAGCGAAGCTGGTAAGAAACTTTAAACTGTTAGGAAAGTTGCTGATGTAAAAAAGTGACTCTGAAAACGTTTAACTGTTCGGTAGATGAAGAGCTGTGTTTGTAAATCTTTCTGGAGAGAATTGCCCTTTTTCTAACTCATATGACAGCTTCTAAGTGATCTAGCATTTTATAGAAATGAAATTAACTGTCTCATAGTTTTTTCCTGGACTTTGTCTTTGCTGTAGTCTAATAAGAATGCCTGTACAGGCTTTCAACAGCTTAGCTTTTCTTTTTCTTTTTAAGTGGATTTTTGGATGTATTTTTATTCTGATTTGCAGGTTTTTAATAGAAACTGAGCTATGGAATCCTGAGACATCCTTTAGTCGTTTATAAGATGGTTCAAATTAAGACATTGACTTACATTAGTCCTATAAGGACTATAAATAACATTGCAGTTGTTTTGTGAGTATTAATATCCTAAAGGATGCTCTAAAATGAGACTTAACTGCTTTTCAAAAGACTAACTTCAGTTTCATATAGTATGTAAAAAATCTTTTCTTTAAAGTGTGTTTTTATTCCCAGAGAATTCCAGTAAATTATTTAAACCCTTACAGAGAAAGTTTTTTAAAATACTAGTCAGAGCAAGCTAATCGGCATCAGAAGCTCCCTGCGGGGAAGGGAAGAAGGGTGCAAGGACAAGAAAGGACACACACTCACAGGCATTGTGAACTGCCTACACCTGTGAATGTTTCTCTCTGTAATGGAGTGTTGTCTCATACTGTGAACGCTGGTGTTTAATGGAGGAAAATGCTCTCCCTTTTCTGTTCCAGACAATCGAAGGAAAGTGGAACCGCCCCTTGGAAGTCATGATCCTCGCACAGCAGTTCAGCTGAGAAGCCTCAGCACTGTCTTAAAGCGCCTCAAAGAAATCATGGAGGGGAAGAGCCAGGTATTTCTTTGGAGGGATTTCTTGCTCAGCTTCCGGTGCTGCTCTGATGGTGATAGTAACTTTGCTTTATTGAGGATGAGGTATAAGAGTGAAAAATAAGCCTGTCATTGCAGTGAGCAGGGCATTGAGTGTGGCCTCTAGTGATCTCAGCTGTGGCAACATCGGAAGGTACTGGAGATTTTCAGAGATTTCAAAGTTACTAGAGAAGCAGGTACTCCAACAGTCAGGATGCAGCAGTCTGCAATACATCTAGATCCTTCTCTACAAGCAGGGCATTAGCTGTCAACACCTGTTCAAACTATAATGCATTACTGCTCCTGACTGAGGCTGTTTACTGCTTGAGTCTCTTCAGGAAACGGTTCCTTCCTTCACACTCAGTCGGTCTCTGCAGGAGACCATCTTATATTGCCCAAAACATGCACTGGATCTTAGAAGGTCCTGCTCTCAGCAGCCTCTGCTGCTAATGGGAGCCACATTCCACACAGCAGAAACAGCATGTGAAGATCCTCTGCTGCTTTGCAAGCAGCAAAGTTTTCTTGGATGTGGAAAGTAGGAAGTGCTGTCTTATTGTTCCTGGATTTTTTTTTCTCTCTCAAAATTGGTTTGGCAGCTCTTTCAAACTGTTTTGTGAACATTTGAAAACTGGGCCCTACTTAGGGATACCTCTGTTTCCTTCCTGGAAAATCAGAGTACAGATCAGTTGTCTTTTCTGTAGTTACTTCTTCTTGGTTTATTCTGAGAAAATTCTTGCAGTACTTTATCTTGCTAAGAAAAACTTGGTATATTCAGTCCCTCTAAAAAGGATCATTAACAGAACTGAACTGTAGCTAATGAATGACCCACAGTCAAGGGTATCACGTGACCAGCAGCAGTTGTCTCCATCCTTGGCACTTGCAGCCAGTGTGCTCAGAATGGTAATTGAGAGTGTTGTCTTGCTCTGTTTACAACACGGAGATTTTACTGCTTGCTTTCAAGCCTTAAACAGGTTTGTGGCTGCATCCGTCTATTAATAAATATATAACGTTTACTGTTAAATGTGTTTTTCACAGTTGTCTTCACATAGTCAGTAGTTAGCTGGTAGTTCTGAAACTACATGACTATGAATCAAGCTTTCACTGCTGTTTACAGGATTTTTGAAAAGTTTGGCCATTTAGCAAAACTTTTCTAAGATATTTTATTATATGACTCGATAGTCCTTTCAAGGTATATCCCAGTTTTAGCTATTGAAATGATCTACATGCTCTGATAACTTCTGATAACTTAATTTACTCCTGGATACCTTAGCTTCAACCACATTTTTGTTTTTTCCTTGAAAGAAGAGCAGTCAATACTTTACACTTTTACTACTTCTTGCCCTTTTTCTACAGCTCACAATAGTTTTTATCTGGTTTATTTCCATCTTAGAACAAAAAAACAAAGATTTATTAGATTTAGTTCAAACTCACTTAATCTCCTGTCTTTCTGTAAAGCCACACAAGAAGTCTCTTATGTGCACATGTGCGTTTATACACGGACATGTGCACGCAGAAACACACACACACACAAAATTACCCCTTTTGTGCACACATCTTACAAAGCAATGATGGATCTAAATATGCTTTTTTATTTAGTGAAAAGGCCTCTTTCTGTCTGCCTTCCCTTGCAGGACAGTGACTTGAAGCAGTACTGGATGCCTGACAGCCAATGCAAAGAATGCTATGACTGCAGTGAGAAATTCACCACCTTCCGGCGGAGGCACCACTGCCGACTCTGTGGGCAGATATTCTGTAGTCGATGCTGCAATCAGGAAATCCCTGGAAAATTCATGGGCTACACGGGTAGGGTTTTCCTTTGAGAAGTAGCTGAGCATGCTCTGTTTGCAGAGCTCCGTTTTGACTTAGATTCTGTTATTTAAGTACTGTGCACGTCTCTAAGGGGATTGGAAAGAAGAATAAAGAATGTTTGGACCTTCTTTTGAAGGTCTTTTTTTTTGAAGACTTTTTTTCTCATGCATAGTGGTGGCTCATGCCATGTCCACATGTTTGTATCACCTTTTCCATGAAAACAGGAGAAATATGGTTCCTATGTAACAAGACTGTCCATCAAAAATTTTTGTCGCACTAAAAACTGTACTTAATAGTAGTTTTAAAATATAATGGGCCATATTTCCTGGTGGAGGTGAGAAAGACTCTAATACTAATTATCAAACTCTAGGCATCTCTTGATTGAGGTAATGTTTTCCAGACAGGCTTTTGTTGTCAGGTCTGACCGGCTATTGTTGTACTGTGATTTCAGTGTGTTCTGTCTCTTTCTACGCAGACCTGCCCCCACTGATCATGAGTTCTGCATCATTTACCTTGGATAAATTGTCTGCGTGTATAATTATCTGAGACTTTGCTCTTTAAGGGAGCTTGAGCACTAGACCTCAGCGTGCAGAGAAGCTTTGAAACAGGAAATCCTTCTTTTCCCACCACCACACACCTCTGATCCTGCAGGAACAGGGTACTCTTTGTTCCTGTTTGCTTACAGTCTCTGCTTCCCCTTTCCACAGGGGATCTCCGAGCCTGCACTTACTGCCGCAAAATAGCCTTAAGCTATGCACACTCCACGGACAGCAACTCCATCGGGGAAGACTTGAATGCTCTGTCAGATTCGGCGTGTTCGGTGTCAGTGCTGGATCCCGGCGAGCCACGCACTCCGGTTGGGAGCCGCAAAGCCAGCCGCAACATCTTTCTGGAAGAGGATCTAACCTGGCAAAGGTGATGCAAATGGATTCACATTGAGCTCTGGAATCTTAACTGTTGTCAGGCTGTTCCCTCCTTAGACCAGAGGTTTTCATCTAGTAAACAGTAAAGGGTTCTTGTGCTTACTTCTACTGTTCTCTTCGAGCTGAAAGGGGGAAAATTTTCTAGGGAAGCTTTAAAGAATTGCAGTTTATTCTTTAACTTTAAAACGTATTGCTGGATCTATAATGATGACAGAGCAGGCTTCTAGCTTCAGAGTTTAAAGAAAGAACTAAACCTTACAACCACCAATGAATCGCAAGACAAGTCAGGGTGACTTTATCTGTTGAGTTTTGGGTTATGAGAAAAAAAAAAGAGATGCTCTCTAGGCAAATAAGAGAAAAAGAGAAATAGTGGAAGCCACCACCTTCCACTTAACTGGGTTTGAAGGTATGTCTATAAGGATTTTTGATCTCCTTTCAGAATAAATTCCATTGTTATTTGAAGGAGGAGGCAGGCAGGTGGCTCAAGCAGTGTACGAGGTAGATCCTGAGAGCCTTGGCTTAACGTGAGGCAGAGGAAACAATGTAGAGGAATCAGATGTGTTCTTTGGGCCTTTTTCCCTAAGAAACAGGAGTACAGGTAGTGTAAAACTACCAAAAAGGTCTAAGGGGTGTGTGTGTGTGTGTGAGTGTGTGAAGGACAGTGTCAGAGATTTGGGTGCCTTTTGCAACAAATCTGCTCTCTAGTATTTCTCAAAACATGAAATGAAAACCTTCAAAGGCCATCTTCAGCAAATGCTCAAATGCTCTGACTTTTGCTTTGCCCTTTCCCCTTTAGAATATGGTGCTACTACATGGAAATAATGAAATAATCAGCTTTATATCTAAATAAAGGAAGCTGCATCTACTTCAGTGTCTTGGCTATCTGAAGAGATATATTGAAATACTTGGGATAAATACTACCAGATTTTGAATTAGGGCATGAGTGTGTATGTAGAATGTTTTTCTTGAGATATACAAAATAATAGAAGATAGCATTAGTTCTGCCTTCAGATCTATTATTAATAGCTTTATTATAGAAATACAACAGCTCTTTGGCATGAGCATGTACAGAAAGTACTTGTATCTCTATTTTGAGCAGCTGCATAGCACTGGAGAAACATACCCATTTTTGAAATGCTGATAACTCTTATATAATATTATAACTCTTAATAAATTAAAAAAACATTATTTGGAGATGCATTGACTACATGGGCTGCTTATGTGTTTTCTGTATGTGAAGGAGAGAGACTAAGATCAGGTAGCTCGTTGGTACTTTAGGGGAATTAAATGTCCTGTCAGAGCCTGGCTGTTAAAGAGCAAAATGTTGCAATGAGCTACCGCGCTTTCTTAGTGCTGGATTTGATAAGTTGCTGTTTGGCCTTCAGAGACGTAAACTTAAGACACACAACTGGAATTATTCAACAGCAGAAAATGGGAACTCGCAGTTTTATTATGGAAGCAACGTTTTTATATGTACTTTCTGTGTGAGAAACAGCTTGCTTCGAAAGAATGTTGTGTGAAACTTGAGCTGAATTGCTTGCCAAAATAATGTGTTTGAGACAAGGCTCTTGCCTCTTCTCCTGTCACACGCTGCATAAAAGCAGTGGAAAAAACCTGCCTGGGGCAGGGATGCCGTATTTCCCTGTCCCACTGTTTTTTTTCTTTGAATATTTGGAGCATCGAGGTATGGCCTCCTGCTTTAATAGACTTGGAGGGCCATGCCCTTTAAAAGTGAAGGGAGTGATGTAGCTAGGACAAATACAGCTACGCAGGCAAAGCGATACTGAGTGTATCTTCTAATGAAGAGCATTTTTTGGCTAGTATTTCTACATTCCAGTACGTAATTAGTGTGATTGTCTTCCTTGGAGCATAATGAGGGGTGACTTACACCTGATACAGTTTTAGCTGTAGGAATGTGTATTATAGGTGGGGACAGATCTGCTCCCTTTCCTGCTAGCCTGGAAGGGAAAGGAGGATAAAGGTGGTGGTGGCGATAAACTTAAGCAATTCCTAAAGCTTGTTGGGCTATCTTGGCAAAATCTTATTTTGCAATATCTATAGATAGCTGTCTTTGTATTGCACAGATGATTTGTTGTGGAAGGGGGAGGAATGCTTCTTCCTCCAAAGCATAGAATAGCATCAAGTAGGGAAGGGATATGTGAGAAAAGGATCTGGAGGAACGGGGAGGAAAGGCAGAATGACACAACAGGGCTGGAGAGGCAGCATTGTCAAAGAATGTGAATGGAACATGATATTGCAATTAACTCCACTTGTTGTTTGGATGCTGCTATATGTGGCAACTGTGAAATATCTGTAACAGGTGATTTTTCCTTGCAGTTTGATTCACCCAGACTCTTCAACCACGACGTTGTCAACACGGCTTGGGCCTGTCCAGGAAGATGCTGGGAAGTCTCCAGCTAGGAACAGGTAAAATAATATCTGTATAATTCCCATTCTGGATGTTCTTGTAGCACACTTTTCCCTGTGAAGCCTGTATTTCATGTCTTGTTTTTACTGAGCATGCTGTCTTTTGTCTAAAATACAAGCTCCTAGAGCTTGTATGTAGTGAAAGTTTATCTATGTATAAATTTCACACTAGTAAAATTACTTCTGATGAGGCACCTATAATTTGCTGCCAAGTAGTTCAGGTAGCAGTAGTGGTGAAGACGGGTTGAAAAGGCAGTAGTGATACTTAGTTAATCTGATTCCAAATGTTTGTCTTAATAAAACTAGCAAGTGAAAACACAAGTGTGAGAATTGAGCTATGAAGAGAATAGAAAGCGAAAGTGTCCAAGAAAGGGAGAGAACTGAGAAACTTGAGAATCCAGAGAAATGGGAACGATAAGTAGCACAGCTTACAGGAACCAAAGACTGAGAGGGGTGTGAAGGAGCAGTATCCTATAGGATTAACCAGAGCAGTATCTGAAAGTTTGTGGTGTCTTGTAGTTGAAATCTGTAGTTGAAATCTGTAGTTGAAATCATCTGAATACATGAAAAAAAGCATGTATTTTTTTAGATTTCCTACTCAATATTTGTCCTGAATTTTGGAGGTTGCAGCAGTGCTGCATGAGCTACCTCCTTCCAGAGAAGTTGTCGCCAGTAGGTTTATTTTTTATTTTTCTTTTTTTCCTTTATTTGCTCCCCACTGTTCTGCCATTAGATATTATCCTGTTTAAGTTACCAGACTTATTTGAGCTCAAATCTCATCATAAGTCTTATACAAGGATGCAGAAATGAACTTGGAAGGATGCATGAGAGCTTCAGTATAACTTGTAATTGCTTAGACTTGATCCCGTTAAATGATCTCAGATTGAAGAACAAATAATTTGCACTTCACAGTGCATCTGCTACAGTTCTGGCTAAATACTTGCAGTCAGGGAAACAAAGATGAGGCAAGGGTATGAGGAGCAGAGCAAATATCACTGAAGTTCCAGTGTTTGTTGATGGTACAAGGAGATATCCAGTGATATGTTGCACAAAGGCAGAATATTTAGCAACTTGGAGGGATCTGGCAGGACTGAGTAAGACCCAGTGAGTGAGCTGAGAAGAGCGCTGGGCTTGCGTTTTAGAGGAGTGTTCAAGGGTGCTTCAAGGCTTCGTGTTCTGTGTGATGGGGACAGTGAGGAGGAGGTGCACGCTGCGCAACAGGAGGCAAAGAGCCCACTGCGGAGAGTGAAAATATTGGTGAGTAAACTAGTACCAAAAATCAGTGCTGGGCAAACACAGCAAGGAGCCCAGAGTTAAAAGTTCAATGCTAAATAAACTGCAGTGACGTCAAGAGGCATCTGAGACCTTGAGGATACTCTTCTGCTTCCTGCTTGAGTTGATGTTGCCTATCTTAGAAGGCCTTTGCTGTTGACTGTCCCATGCTACAGCAGGAGGGTTCTGTGCTGGTTCTGGCAGGCCCAAATAGCTTGTTGAGGTTAACATTTAACTTTCCCTGGCTGCTCATGACCGAACCTTAGCATCCAGATATACATTCAAAAAGTAATGAAGACATATAAGCAACTCTGCCAAATCCTGAGGATGTGGAAACAAAGCTATTGGCCTTTTGAAGACCGTCTGCAACTTTTGACAGCTGGTGTCACAGAATGAGATATCAGCGTTAAGCAATACTGGCCCTTGCATCCTCTCTAAGCCCATCAAGACAAGCTTGATGATTCTTTCTGGAGGAAATCTACTAAAAGATACTTGCTAGGTGCATCTGGATTGAATATTTCAAATTATTTACTGTTTGCTTTTCCTGTGGGTGAGGGATATATAAATTGTTATCTCTCAGACTGATGATTTATGGAGGGGTCGGAACCCAGCACGACAGCCTAACTCTGCAAGCAGAAGGATGCAGAGTTCTGCCGTTCTGCAATATGAGAGGATTTCGTTGCAAAGTCTCCCCTCTCTTGACTTTTTTTTATATACCAAAAAAATCTACGAGCAGCTAGTAGTGATAAGAACACAGATATGGAACAAGGCCTCACTGTTGCAGCTCTTGCTTAATGCCCTCTTACATCAAGTAAAAAGCTGACATGAAGCTGCTTACAGCTAGGTGGCACAGTTAATGTAGCTCTTGTGAAACAACCGCGACTTACTGATGGGCTCTAATGTTAGTCTCAGCTTCTACACAAGAATGCTTCTGTTAAACTGCAAACACTGTCAGGCTGATCTATCAGTTCTAATTTTCTTTAAGACTACATGAAGAGTAGCGTTAACACTGGCAGAGTTCTTGCTGCCTGCAATGCCTGCTTATGACAAAGTTTTTGCTAATCATATTGAAGTGTATATGGGTGTAGTGTCAACATAGTTGCCTTCCAGTCTGTGTAAAGAACTAAAATTAAGCGGAACCTTTTATCAACTCAGTACTGGAAAAAAACACTTTTTTTTTGTTATTGTTTTTTTTTCTGAGGCTTAATCTAACTGAGGAATATTGGAACAGATTAGTTTTGTGGAAGCTGTTTGTAACTTTGCAGCGGTTGTTGCCCAAGGATGGTGTGTTTGTCCTGGAGTGCACAGCCTGTATCTCCTTGCAGCTGGGCTGAGCGCAGGGGGATGCTGCCTGTCATAGGGCAAGGTGGGCACCTGCTAGGCCAGCCTCCTGCCCCTGCAGGCAGCTTAGTCGCTGTGGAAGATGCGTGCTCAGACTTCTTTATGCTGTGAACTCTCAGCTAGGTATTTCAGAGCTGAAGATAGGTGATTTTCAATGGATCATTGAGAGGAGGAGTCTCGCAGAGATCCTGCTGGATCTTCAGACTACCCAACATCTTCCCCCACTATCATATATGAATTGCTGTACCTCAATTTATCTCTTAACTGCTTTCTACAGAGCTTTACCAAAAGATTTCTTTTAACTTAAATGTTCCAGAGTAACACATTTGCTTTCTAGGATCCTATCTTCTGCTTTGACAGGGGAAGAAAAGCAATGTGAAACAATTGGTGTGTTCCTCTGAGCGCTAAGTGTCATGGGCTTACAGTGCTGTTTAGTGTGCTGCAGGGGCACAGCCTGCTCTGGTGAAGCACCCTGCAATGAATGCTCACCCTTCTTACCCTTCAATCCTTCTCTCTGGCACTCCAGATCAGCCAGCATCACTAACCTGTCGCTGGATCGGTCGGGCTCACCGATGGTACCTGCCTACGAGACATCTGTCAGCCCCCAGGCCAGTCGCACGCATACGAAGGCTGAGACCAGCGAGGATGAGCGAAAAATCCTTCTGGTATTATGCAGGCTTCCTTTATTATTTTCTCTCTTAAGGCAGTACAAATTTGGCATCCTTGTGTCATGCAGCAGGTGTATCTTGCTGCCTTTAAAAGCTCTCACCTGCCCACTCTTACATGTTCCTCTTCCCTGTTGTTGCAGAACTGGAAGATATTGATGCTGCTTTTAGGTCTTCTCCTATCTTCCTGAAACTTATCATCTATTTGCATAAGTTGTAATTTTGGGAAGCGTGTTGCAGTGCACAAAGTGGGTGTGTGGTGGCTCCTTGTGGATTAAACTTGTCATATGTGCAATTGTTCTTAGCCAGTGACTTGATTCTCTATTTCATCAAGTCTATATCTTTCCTTTTCTAAGCTGCATAATCTGAATTACGCAGCTGCTTTATAGTGTTACAGCCTGATGAATGAGTTAAAGCTGTTAGAGCTTGCTGGGCCAAAAACAACTTGATCCTCTCCCCTTGTTTGCAGATTAAACGTGCCTACTTTATAGAAGTTTGTAGTGACGTACTTGTTCAAAGAAAAATCAATGGGTTCTGAGTAATCAAAATGTTCTGAGTAATCCTGTTATCCCCTCCCCACAGACAGGAGTGTCATAGGCAAAATATTAAGGAGAAAACAGGTTTTTGTATTTTGGGTTTTATTGTTTTGTTATTGGGAGTGGGATAGGATGCTGTTCTAACAAATAGGTGAAAAGGAGGAAGAGAAAGGAAGGGAGGGTTTTTCATGCAGTCAAAGATTCAAGATTGCTCTCTATGCCATTTAGTACCAGGAAGGCTAATTTGTGCTGGGAGGTGTTTGCTTGCTGTCATCAGATTGCTTGAAATCTGATGGTGTAGAAGCAGTCTAGTAGTTGTTTAATAGCACCACTACTTCGCTAGGTGCTCTCTAAATAACAACAACAAAAAAAACTCTATATCTAAAATGCTAGAAATACAATTTGGAACAGTATGATCCAGCCAAGTTTGCTTCAGATTCATGCTTTTAATTTTGCAATTTGCTTCATTGCTTGGGTGAGAAGGGGATTGGTAACATGATTTCTACTTAGGCAAAGCAGAAGATGTAGTGCCAATTAATGTAGAATTTGCTGTGAATTTCCACTGTGTGTCCTAAGGAGCTGATTCCGTGACAGGAGTTAATTTAAAAGTTAACACGCTCCATTTGGAAGACTAATGAACTTTGCTCATAAAATAGAAGACAGAGGAGGATGGATATGTATGGTGTAAACACATATTTCTATGAATTAGAGGTCAAAATCCTTGAGTTGAAAGTTTGTGTTCTTCCAGTTTGCCCAATTTCCTGAGCTCATCATATGAGTTAATGGTAAAATACAGGACAGCTGAACTGTGGAGCTGCCACTTGCATCCAATCTCCTGGTGGTTTGGCATTTTCTGTACCTGCCCTGGTTGTGTAGTGCCAAGCCAGCACGTATAGCAAATCTCTCTTCTAAAGGGTGAACTTGCACTGGTCTTTGTTTAAACACACCAATGAAGTTTGAGACTAAGACACTTAAGGACAACAGTGTATCGTGTAGGCAGTACAGGTGCTCACTGCATTAAAACCAAACTCCTCAATCATCAGTATAATCAGCTTTTTTCTTCTTTGCTCACTTCTGAGCAAAGGAAGGGAAGGATGAAAGGAAGCATGAAACAAAAGGGTGCAAGGAGCTGACTCCATATATGTTTGTCTCCCGTTTCTATTTGTGACTTTCTATAGTGTGTGCGTAGTTACTTAGATTGTATGAGTGTGTGTGAAGACCTTGCGATCTACAAGCTGATTTGAGGGCCCAGATTGATGCCTTTAAAACTAGTGCTGAGACTGTACTAGTAAATAACTGGCATTATCTCCTTGTCCAGGACTCAGTCCAGCTGAAAGATCTGTGGAAGAAAATCTGCCATCACAACAGTGGGATGGAGTTTCAGGACCATCGCTACTGGCTGCGGACACATCCCAATTGCATCGTGGGGAAGGAGCTGGTCAACTGGCTCATCAGAAATGGGCACATAGCTACAAGGTAACCCTCATGTGCTAGGAAGGCAGGGGTCTTCCAGCTCTGGCAGAGGCCAAGTATTTTCAATAATATAGGATACCTTAGACTGTGCAGGTAGACCCCTCTGTAGGGAAATGGAAAAGAAACAAAACTCGGATCTCCTCTTATCTGCCCAAGAAATGCAGTACGGTTCTAACTGAGTGGTTGGAAACAACCATGTAAACATACAGGGGGCTGGGGGGAAGCTGGATGGTTAAGGAGTTAGTACGAAAGGCATCTTCTCCGTACTTAGCTGTGTTTCCAAACCTATCTGTAGGGTAAATATGACTCAAGTAGATAGAGACAGCACATTATGAAGACTGGCCAAAAAAATTGTTAGGACCACTGTGCTTTATTTTGGTAAAAAGAAAACTGTGATAGAGTCACGTAAGTCTAAGCTGTGTGCCTTTTAGATAGCATTTAACAAAAGCCTCTGCTCCTGGATAACAGAGCACAACATACAAATCATAAAGGAATTGTGTTCTCCCAGCTCCATGGGGTGAGTTTTGGCAGCACAGGGCATTCTCTTGTAACTAAACTGGGAGAAATCCACTTTAATCTGAGATGGCAGAGCCAGGATCTTCACTCAGCAGGGATACTTACCATTTATAGCGCAAGTTAAGGACTTTGGAGGGGAAAGGTGATAGCTTTTACTTATCTTCTGGATGTCTCCCTTGAATTTAGAATGCTGGCACTCTTGATCTAGCTCTGTGCTTAAACCAGCAAGCTCTGCTGCCTTTCAAATATTTTAAATAGTATCTGGTCAAATAGAGAATGGAGTTGAATAGAATCATGTCTAGCATGTTGTTCCTTTTGCAGCATGTCTGTAATATAAACCATCTGTATTAAGTCAGACTTACAAAAACTTCTCTTACATCTGCAGGGCCCAAGCCATTGCCATAGGGCAAGCGTTGGTGGATGGACGCTGGTTGGATTGTGTCAGTCATCATGATCAGCTCTTCCGAGATGAATATGCTCTGTACCGACCGTTACAGGTAAAAGTCTGAACCTGATTTGAGAGAGGGAATAGGAAAGTTATAATTTTTGCAGGGCTTGGGAGTTTGCCTGAGTCTTTTTAATCCTCAGCAAATAATGTGCTGCTTTTTTTCGTCTGATCTAGTCCAGTGCCCCACATGGCAGTCTGAGTCATGCTTCTCATGTCAGTCAGAAAGCTTGCTGCTGTTAGCAGCCTTCCTCATGCCTTTTGTCTCTTGAGCAAATTCATGTGGTCTTCTATTGATATTGCCCTAGGCTCCCTCTGGCATCTCAGCTAGCTAACCACACTGTCTCATTTGGCTAGTAAAACCTTGCCCCAACCTAGCAAATGCTTGTGTAGTCTGTGCTGCAACCGTTTGTGAGTGGATTGTAGTATTCAAAGCTTAAAGTCGAAGTTAAAGTTGCTGTGTTTGGTCAATCATAGGATTGCTCCTGTGACTTAGAGTAAACCTCCACCAGGAGCTGTGCATGCACAAAAATGTGTGTCATTCCTTTAGGTTTGCGGGTGATGAGCATTCTGAACTGTTTAGCTAGGGGAGGACATAGAAAATGTGCAGCAGAACGAAGTTGTCTGTTAGTGTCACTTGTGGATGAGGCGGAGAGTAAGCAGTGTGGCAAGTGTAAAGTAATACTTGTTTCCTGTTCCAAAGAGTTCCTTTTTCATGCTGATGGGGGACAACTGTATGACTAACCTTGCTCAGCCCACTGAAATGGATGATCTGTATGTGTATGATCTGTATGTGTAGCAGGCAACATGATACTCGAAAGAGCTGAATTTCAACACTTTTTCTCTTCCTTGTGTAACAGAGCACGGAGTTTTCAGAAACCCCCTCTCCGGACAGCGACTCTGTGAACTCTGTGGAAGGGCACTCTGAGCCATCCTGGTTCAAAGACATCAAGTTTGATGACAGTGACACAGAGCAGATTGCTGATGAAGGAGAAGATAATTTGGCCAGTAAGTTTTAGCTGAGTCTTGTTTTAATTCTGCCTTCTTCATGCTATCTTCAACCCTGTGGGACATAGTAGCATAACCGTGTCTTGCTTCGCTTGCATTTGTGCGTGTGTGTGCATGGGGCTTTAAGTATCAAAGCAAACTATAATTTACCTAGTCTTCCTGTTCCTTATGGTAACTATGGTATTCTGTAATTAGTGGAGCCGATAAAACTTCATCCTGCTGGAGAAGCGTGTAAATTATCTGCTTCTCTTTCTCAGGCAGACTCCTGCCTGACTTGGGCCCCATAACAAAGCACTAAAGAGTGTCTAACCAATATGTCAGTATGCACATATCAAGATAAGATTAGCTGTATTCCTGATGAGCAGTATTCCTGTAGTATTGCACATTGGGCTTCATGTGTTAAAGACAATTTTTCTCCTCTCTGGTACCCTCACGATATCCCTTTGAACTCCTCTCCTCCCTGTATCTTCCCCCTTACCCACCACTAAAAGACTCCGCCAGCCCTAGCAAGCGCACTTCAGTCAGCAGCTTCCAGTCCACAATGGACAGTGATTCAGCCGCCTCCATCAGCCTGAACGTGGAGCTGGACAACGTGAACTTCCATATCAAGAAGCACTCCAAGTACCCACATGTGCCCCCTCACCCTGCCGACCAAAAAGGTATGAGGTAGTCACCAACTGGAGCTGCACATGATGGAGAGCCGGGCCCTACTGACATCAGCTTATTTGGATGCTACTTCTGTAGCCTCTTAGAGGGGGAAATATAGTATCTAGTTGAACTCCTCTGCACTTCTGACGTGCTCACCTCTGAGGAGGCTCAGTAGACCTGTTGAAACCCCCTTCTCTGCAGAGTGGGTAACTTCCCCTATGGCTTTCTCTTTGAGGCAAGGTGTCCTGCTAACCATGCATAAATGGGGCGGATGCACACGTACAGTTTCTGGCTCCCTGGAGTGGAAAAAATAGTCCACGCATCAGTCAGTCTAAGGTACTCGTCCCTCCAGTTTGAGTGTAAGCTGGAACACTGTGCAGAAAAACAAACAAAATTAACTTGAACTCTGAGCTGATCACTGACCCTCCTGTAACAGGCTTATATTTCACAAAAGCATTATCTTACTAATGAGCAATAAGGGTTAAGTTGATCCTTCTGTTGTATAACTTATTTTTTTATTCAAAAGAGCCCCTCCATTTAAAAGAGAATTAGGAAGAAATTAAATAGTCAGTATTGAAGACCTCTTTAGATGGCTTTTTTTCCCTAAAGGGATGCTGTATTAAAAGTTTCTAAGTAGAAGCAAAATCCCTTTGAAAAGATAACGTGCTCCCCCTATTGACAGTTCTGTTCTGTAAATAGCACAAAGGCTGACTGAAACCAGAGCTTGCCACTGGCTTGGGTCTAGTGACTTGTAGTTGCTTATGTGTTTGTAGCTATTGATGGTCTTTACTCTGTTCCCTTACCTAAAGTTGCAGCAGCTCTGTAGATTTTTATCTGTAGATTTCTGCTTCTAAGGAGTTTCTTAGTCTTACTGGGGTCTTTTTTTCTGTCCCCATTTCCTCCTCCCCCTTCCGCCTCCGTAATTGCAGCTGTAAAGGATGATCTGCTCTTAATTAATTAGAACTCCCTCTAATGAGTTTATATTTTTTGTGAAGCCAGACAGATATCTTCTGTTGGTTGAGTCAATATCCTAGACTGTTTTTATACTTTAGCACACATTATGTTCCTGGGAGCTGTGAAAGGGTGAGTAAAGTTTGGGGAAAAAAATATAAGGGATGAGAATTGTTCACAGCTGATGAGCAGAGTGCCTTAGACATGAGAAGCTGAGTGAGATGAGTTAGAAGGAGCTTTAATCTGTATCCTTTGTAGTGACCTTTTGCCATTTTTTAAAAAACTAGAAGGACAAGAAGATATGTGTGCTTATCTTTCCAGGAGGGAAGAACAGGAGTAGATTTGTAATGTCGAATGAGAACAGATGAGTGAAAAGGGAGAGGAGCTGTCAGAACTGCTGAGACCAATTCATTAGTGATTGCAGTGTCAATTTGCAGCTCACTTGTAATCAAATGAAAAACTAATACATCTGCAGAGAAAGAAGGGTGTGGAGAGGGAGAGTATATCAAGGGATATGTTTCCTGTTAGAGAGGAGAGATGTAGCAGTTAAACAACCTGGAATAAGGCCCAGGTGTGCTGCAGTAGCCTGCAAATGTACAGCTGTAGCAGGTTTAGCTATCAGGGGGTGCTGTCTATATAGCAGGCTGTAGGCATGTTGGCTGTGGCTAGTGCTAAGACTTTGTAGAGTGATGATTGTGTTTGTAGACAGAATATCTCAGTCTTTATTTACTTACACAAAAAATATTACATGATGAAGGGGAAATATAAGAGAGCCTGCCTCTCTGGGAAAATTTTAACCAAATCAAAGCGCTTTATAGCTAGAACTGAAGCTCTTATAAGAAAGATTTTGATGATTGAGAGTTCAGGGAAGACCAGCAGAAAAGGTAAGTGGTGGGGGGGGGCTGAAGGTTTTACTTGAGTTTTGATCTCTGTAAACTGGCAGCACTCAGCAGTCTTCAGTGAATCTCTGCTAAGTGGTGCATGTTGTTTGTCCCTGAAACATGTGATCTCTGAGCCAAATTAGGAGCAATTCGTACTGGAGAACTGTGAGATATTCTTTTCAGAGACTGGTTTTGCCTTTAGGTAAATATATCAGTAGTATGACTGGAATGGTGGAATGTGAGTCATGAAGTCACATTGTGGACTAGTAAATATTATTCTGCTATTTGTAGAAAAATCTGCAGATTTTTCTTGTCTGCAAATACATAGGACTTGCAGTGTATTTTTTTGATTTCCTGGCACAGGAATCTCTAGAGAAATGCACTAAACGGGGAACAAACAGTTCAAATTAAAGCCAACATCTTCAGTAGAATGAAAGTGATTTGAAACGGTGAGCCTGACATTTGTTAGTTGTCTGTAGGTTTCTTGCTCAAGGCCTTCAAAAACTGTGGCAGAAAATCATAGAGATGCACTACAGTACATGGACCAGAGAAATGGATGACTTGAATTTGCTTCCAAAAATCTGAGTTCAGACATATGCTTTCACCATGGTTCATCTTGACTGTGTTCTACAAAAAATCATTTTCTGGGTTTATTTTTTCAGGATCCATCTAAAATGGTTATATAGTTAAGAGTTTAACTTAGCTATAGCGAAGGTTATAGTTAAGATCACAGCACTTAAGTTATTGAGTGACTTTGATTCTGTAGCTATCGGGGATGTGTAATTTCCTTGTGTTCATTATGGACTTTTTAGCTGGGCTTGGTTTCTTCAGAATTGTCAGCTTTTAAACTAATTTACGGTGACTTCATTTGCCTTGAAATAAGGAAGCAAAACTGAAGATGCCACCCACCTTTTCAGCGCAGTAACTCAGTTTCTGCACAACTGTTAATCACAATCGTTGCGGAAGGGTCAAGAGGACAAAAGCAACAGAGCTAGACGTGTAGGTCAACTCTGCAATCTGTAAGTGGTGTTAGGGGCTTTCTTCAAATGATTAAGGGCTGTGCAATTTCCGCTAGTCACCAAGGCCAGCTGCTTAGAAGGAATAGCCTGTGATGTGGAACAGAGGGATTTGTTGATGGTCTCAGCCTAGTGGCAGAGCTTCTGGATGTCCAGGGCTGAGTAATGTTTGGGGGTTTTCATGGAGTTATAGTAACCCTAAGTTAGTTGGATTGTAAGTTGCTTTTATAAATGTGTATAGCACCATGCTTAAAATATCAATTAAGGACAATGGTACTTTGCTTATAGTGTGAATCAAAATGGGACACCAGGCAAGGTTACTTATAGCACTTAATCCTGGGGAAGAGGTGAATATTCAAGTGGCTCAATCAGTTTGTTTTAGAAGTGCCTTTTATTTGCTGTTTTTCAAGAGATGCCGCATCAGTATGGAAAGCTGTATTTTCTAAGTGTCCTTGCAACCAAGTATCCTTGATCTGCCTGCAGGTTATTTTGGGTAGTTAGGCTTTGATGTCTGCTAGCTGTGCCAGGAAAAGAGCAGAGGAGCTCAGAATAGCATGACAGAGTTCCTTGGTACTGCGGCCTGCCAGGGCATCCCATATGACTGCTGGGAGCCGCCTTCTTGTGTCTCTCTTCAGGCTTCAGTGGGTGTCTGTGGGTGGTGCTGTAGAAGGCAAGCTGTGTGTGCACTCGTGCTTAACATCTGTAGCTACAGGGAAATCTGTGGTTTGTGGCCTGACTGTTTTGGGGCTTAGTCAAAACAAGCCAAAAGCTGTTTAAAAACTCTATCTGCTGATTTCCAGCATATTGCATATTCTGCGGTGTGAGGGTATCGTGTTTTGTTTGAGCTGTTTGGGGGACATGTGAGATAATGGGTACAAAATCTAATTGCTGTTAGACAAGGATACAAAATATGCTACAAGAGTGTTTTTTTTTTTTCTTCCCCTAATACTTTCCATAGTGTGATACATGTAGTGATGGTATGAGATAAAAGTGCAATTTAGCTGCTTTTATTGACAGTGGAATGGACAGTGAAACTTGAGGCTTATGGGTGTGTTACCTGTCCACTCTAGGAGGAGGTGCAGGATTCTTACCATGCCAGGAACTTCCGTTGGGACACAACTAAGCAAAGATTACATGAAGCTATATTAAAGAAAAGTTATTTTAGTTTGAAGTGGTCTTCTACTTCTTTATCCAGAGCGAGACCAAGGTTAGGTTTGCGCTAATTATGACCCATGTCTTGGCCATTGGGCTGCAAAAGAGATTGCAGCTTCTTTTTCTGTCTCCACTTGTGGTACCCAGAGCATCTGTTGAGAATCTGATTTCAAACTGACTAATTGTGGACAAGCTCAGACTTCAAAATAGTGGTGTATAAGGGATCTCTTGTGTGCTACTGTTCAGAGGCTTGTGATTGCCTGTGCTTGTCACCTTCTTGTTGCTTTCTGGTGTCTGAAAGCTGCCTGGCTTTGCTTTCTGTTTGTGCCAGTAGGGCTGGTCCTTTATCAAGAGAGGTGATAAAAGATGGGTTCTGGGCTTTGGATTCTCATATGTCATGAAACTGGACTGCTGCTTTTGTTTTTCCATTGTACAACCATTTTTTGTGGAAGCTGGTTAACCAGCTAAAGACATAAAGACTAATGACCTGTAGAGGGAAAAGCTCCTTGTAGCCCCCTAACCTGCATGAAAGATCACTGTTGTGTTTTTACAGTGATCTAGTAAGCTAAACAAATGCAGGAGCTGAGTTAACATCCATAACTTCACCCTATTTCCCTTACATACGCTGATACGTAGCTCTTGTCTCCTTCTGTTACTGGGAGTCCACCTCTGTCAGCCTGGATTCCTCCAAACACTTCATGCTGTTTATGTATTTTGTAGCTTTCTTGAGAGACAGGCTACCTTTCTTGCCATCACTGTGTAAACTAAATCCTGGCATGGGTCTGAGAGTCCACCTAAGTTTTTCTGGTGTTATGTGGCAGCAAAATGGCTTCTGAAGCTGCAATTTTGGGTCAGAATGAAGAGGTCGTTGTCTGTCTGGATGTTGACATGGCACCTGCTCGCAGATTTACACATTTGTATTCGGCTCTAGAAAAATAAAGTGTGTGTTAATTGGAAAAGCAGATTCAGTGCTAGTTCACCCTGTGCTCATGTCTAATTTTTGTTAGTTTGGTTCCTTAACAGTAGCGAGGATAATTCTGTTATCCTTCTAAAACTTCTCAGATAGAATGAGAAGATATTTTTGTCTTGACCATTTGCCAAGCTGTTGCCAAGTTAATGACTAAATGTTTAGATGAGTAATGGTGCTGCTTATGGTGTGGGCGTGTCCATCATAATTATATGTCTAAGCCAGCGTAACCTGTCACTTTTTTCCTGTCTCCACCTACCTCCCTCTTCTCTTTTCTTTCAGAGTACTTGAATCCTGACAACGGAGGACAGCAGATGTTCTCTATTAGTGACGCTTTTATTAAAGGTAAGGGGAACTTTCAAATGTTGCTATTGTGGTTTAATATAATGATCAAAACTCATTAATGCTCTTTTAATACAGATTTGGCCCTCTGAAGAGGTTTACTTGATTGTAAACCTAAAGCTGTTTGTGTAGAAGCTTGTGTATAAACCTCTGAGCCTTTCAAGCTGTGTCTAGTGGCTTCTTGGATTTCTTGATTTAAAAGCACTCAAGGAAATTCTATATTAAATAAGTAAAATGTGGCAAGACTTAGTATTTTTGTTCATAATTTGCCCACAAATCTCTACCCTTATTTCTGTACAAGGAAACAAATATCTGATATAGTTGATTGCACTTGTACTGAGCAGCTCAAAAATTAATCTCATAGATCTTTCCTGTCACCACCACCGCTACTAGTACTGAAATGAAAGGCCACTGATCTCACTTTCGAATTTAAACCATGTGCTTGCTAGTATCATGGCTGGTACTTGTGGAACGTTTCCTCATTTGATGCTATGATTTTGTGTGTGTTTATTTTTAAATAGGTAATAACAGGAGGGAATAAGCAGGGGGACGCTCAGTAACTGCATCCAGAGAGATCTTTAGTGAAATTGTCTAAATTGATGCTTGATTTATAACTGTGATTTTGCAGAAGGGAAGGAAAGGTGGAGGGGGAAAAACACAATGATTTTTGTCTGTTAATCTCTTGGCTAATATCTGGTAAGGAGCACCTGGAAGAAATATATTGCTACTTTTAAAGACTTTATTCTATGTGATAAGGATTGCAGTATTATGAGGATTCTGCAGTTAAATCATGCAATCAGTTATTTTAAACTTGAACTGTGAAGGCTTGCATGCTTGCTGATGAGAAGTTATGCATGTTGAGCATAAATGACTTGGACTAGTCACCCGTCATGAAAACTGGGAAGAGTCTAGACCTTTGCTCTCTGGAATATCATAATGCCTTTGTGGCTGTGGGTTTTAACTCTTTCAAAGCACAGAAGACTGTCTTGAAATGGCATCTTATCTTGGCCTTGCATTTCTTCAAAAGATTTTCAGAAGACCTGCTAAATAAGAGCTTTACCAAGCCATTTGTTTAAATAATAATTTAAAAACTTGCACGAAAGAAAACCAGCTGTTAGTTGTATATATGTTTTCTGATATTTGTTGGTTATATTCATGCTGAACAGTGTTTTTACTGTAGTCAAGTCTGATAGACCAGTACTAATGGCCTATAATCTTGTAGTAAAGCAGTAAATGTTTCTGTCTGGACAAGTGGGATATGGTGGTATTAAGTCTTCAGGCTGTTTTGGAGAGTAAAAGAGGCTCACTGAGAACATGTGGCCTGACTGAAAAATGAATCATCAGTGTCTTTTGTGGGGCAGTGGTCAGATAGATGAGAAATAAAATATTCTTGTGTTCTGGTGATAATGGTGTACCCAACAATTGTACTTGCAATATGCATTAAAGATCTGTCTAAGTTGTTTAGTCCAAACTTGGCTTTCAAATTAAATTGAAGAAGGAAAAATGGTGGTTATTAAGAACAGAGTACTTTTCCCTAGTTTTTAAAATATGTCTAATTTTTAAAGTATAATTGTCCACGTGCTGTGACTTGAACTGAATTTCTATCCTATTTCTATATAGCTGTCTTGAAAGCAGTAGCTTTTTATGAGTGAAATTAAAACCTTTCACCAGTCTTCTAAACACAAAAGACATCATGTGTTGTGATTGTACAAGGTATTTTGAATGTAATGCTTATTTACAGCAAGACTGTGAGAGAACTTTCTTTTGGAGCTAACTATTACTGAATTTGCTAAGGCAAGTGAAAAACAAGCTCTTTGCTATATCCTGGCAATATAAGAGTTCACTTCTCTGTATGCTTACTGTTACTGTACTTGATACTGTTTGCAACTAACTAGCTCAAATGAGGCATTTCAGAAAGCTTTGACTGATATCTTAGCAAAGTCTTCTCTTTTGAAGTAGCCTTTCCAGAAGACCCAGGTGTTCAACTGTGCCCTTATGAACAGGGTTGCTTTGTCTTTTACAGAGTCCTTGTTCAACAGAAGAGTGGAAGAGAAGTCCAAAGAACTCTTTTTCACACCCCTAGGCTGGCACCACAGCAATCTGGATCTGCTGAGGGAAGAGAATGGGGAGAAACAAGCCATGGAAAGGCTCCTGTAAGAAGAAAAAAAAAAAAAAAAAAAAAAAAGTAGAAAAATGTGCATGTTTTGAATAACTCCTGAAGCCCTGCTGTTCCACAGACTTTGTAGGACTTGATCTTTGGGGCACAATATAATATGCGTTAAGAAAGAGATTCTTACAATATCTTTTGTTTTATTTTTTCCTTTATTATTGTCGTCTTCCTCTAAGTAGGAGGATAAAAGTTGATTGTAGAACATCCTAGACAGCTGTTCCTTCAGCTGGTTTACTGCACTGTAAATGTTAAGAAATGAATTTCTGAAAGATGATTTCAGCTAATCACTTCTTTGCATTTCCCCTACTGCAAACTTAATCACTTTACTGTTTTTTATAGCTCTGCTAATCACAACCATATGATGGCACTTCTTCAGCAGCTTCTGTACAATGAGTCCCTGTCGCTGTCCTGGAGGGACATCATTGTACCTGTGGTCTGCCAGGTAGTTCAGACTGTGCGGCCTGATGTCAAAAACAGAGATGATGACATGGATATCCGCCAGTTTGTCCACATCAAAAAAGTAAGTTTCAGAACGGATCTGGGGTAAGTGGAGTACCCTCTGTTTGAAGAGAAGGTTCCTTCCTCTCCCCTGCAGCATATTCAGTGGTTTAATTGGAGAGCATGTTTCTTTGGATTGAGGTGGAGTTCTGGGGAGAAAAAAAGGAACTTTGCATCTTGTATGTAAGATGGTTAATGTCCTGGAGCATTGTCTTTCAGGCTACAGGCTGCACAAGGTAGCAAAGAACAACAGCTTCGTAATGACTTTATTCTGATTTTCACTTGTGCTCCTTCTGTATTTAGACTGGAGAGGTGTTGAGCACTAGAGCAGGAACTTGCAGGACTTTGTAGCAATCTCTTGTCCTGTAGCTACCCATTATGGAGGATTTAACTCCTGTGCAAAGCATGAGGACTTCCTTAGAGGAAAGCTAATTGTTATCAGATGCTGCATCCAGTCCTGCCAGATAGTCCAGTGATGACACTGTTGAACTGCAAGGCTGGAGCTGTGGCTTTGAAAGTTTCTATTGTGAGGCTAATGTGACAATAACTTCCAAGGAGCTTTTGAGCCTATAAACCACAGGCTCCTCCTCAGCAGAAACTCCTCTCAGGAGATGACTTCTATTTGCTCAGCCATGGAGATCCTTGCATTTCTGGTGGTAGTTTGTGGCATCTATTCAGACAATATCAGTTGTTGCTGAAGCTTTTTGGAACTTAGGTTTAAAGAGAAATTTATAGCTGGATGCCTTTCATAGGTGTTTTCATAACACTGATAACAAACATTCCTTGAAATCTGATACTTAGAAACCCATTTTGTTTGATGTTCTTGTAGACGCACCATTTAGTGTTGAATAGTAGGCAGAGGGGTGATTTCCATATATTCTTACTTATTGTTGGAAGTGGGACATGCAAAGGTCTGTGTTCATTTTGGCCTGTAGAACTTATCACATATAAGGGTTCCCTTATCTTACAGTACCTACCCAATCTAATGAATGTGTATCTTTCAGGAGGGGCCTGCAAATCTGGCAGCTTTAATGTTTGGTCTTGTGTTGTCCTTAGTCTGCCAGACTGTAATGGAAAAGAGCTGTGTGTGCATCATGACACTATCTGGTCTCTCATCTGCTAATTGAAGGTGTAGTTGAAGTCTGCACATCTGCTGCATTAAGTGTTTTGTCTGTTGTTTACTGCATTTAGAAGTTGTGGAAATGTGTGACAACCCTAACTTGCACTGTTCTCTTAGATCCCTGGTGGCAAGAAGTTTGACTCCATGGTGGTGAATGGATTTGTTTGCACTAAGAACGTTGCACACAAAAAGGTAATGCGTGTGTGATGATCAGCTGCTGGCTTTAGTGCAGGCTGAGGACAGAAGTGTGCTGTGCCTTCCTTACTTTCTGGGTTATGAAGGTTCCTCTCTAGAGGTGTGTGGTTTTCTTTAGCTTGCTGAGGCCTTGAACTGGGATGGACATTGAATGTGAGCATACTGTGTGTTTCTATCCAAAGCTTTTTTTGCCTAGAGATTCTAATGAGGGAAATACATGTTTGTGTGTGTGTGTGCATATACATTCCCTATGCGTGTTAAATAAATAACCCTTTGACTCTCACTGTCCTGAATGACAACTATAATTATTCCAAGAATTAGCCAGAAATAAGTCTTGTAATCCAAGCTTATAACAATATAGTAAAATGAGCGTTTAACATTGGCAGAAGGTCAAGATGGAGGCACTGGGGTGCATCAAGATTTCAAGGTTCTGGGTGGTGACTGTGAGAACCTCCAATGTTGTGCCCCTCTGGGACAGTAGTTGTCCTGTAACGCAGAGAAATTTCCAGAGCTGGCTGTAACGTGCTAAGGGGGAAGAACATGTGAACACAATAGCTCAAACTTTGCTGGTTTAAGTGTGGTGGAATGTCTATTCTTCCTTGCCCTGTACTGCTTTTAATTCCCTCCCAGATGTATCTTTTGTTCTAGCTGTTTTATCTTTCCCAGATGAACTCCTGCATAAAAAATCCCAAGATTCTTCTACTGAAGTGCTCAATTGAGTACCTTTACCGAGAAGAAACAAAGTTTACCTGCATAGATCCTATAGTACTTCAGGTCAGATCATTTTTCCAATTTTATTTAATTGCCTATAGCCTAGCGATTCAAACAAAACAGTGACTGGTACTTCCAATGGTGCACTTGAGTTGGTGGCAGTGCACAGGAGAGAGAGCAACTTGTATTGTAGCAGTTAGCAGTTTCCTTAGAAATATAAGTAAGAGTAAGGCTGTGCTCGCACTATTTCTTACTGGGCTTGAAAAAGTGGGCAACACCCGAACTAGTGAAGTGATGAACTACAGAATGTTGTCTTGGAACAAGTGCCCGCCCTTGTGGGCGGGGAGGTGGTGCGGGCGTGAAAACGGATGGACCTTTTCTCGACACCTTGTGTGCACCTCAGAGGATCAGTCGTTAGGGCCAGGTCAGAATTCATATTGTGTGGGTGTTTGGTGCCCATATGACCTTGAGCCATCAAGTCTGATACTATATTTGACTGTTTCCTTAAAATGCATCTGAGGCTGCCTCCATTTGGTACTTAATTGACAAGATTGCAGGAGAGAAAGCATTAGGATTACCCCTTCCAAGTGAGTTGGCCTTTTCAGTAAAGGTTTAAACTGGGACATTATTCTTTTTCTAAACAGGGTAGAAGTATCTGTTCTTCTTTCTGAGTATTGTTCACTGTGATCATTTCAATGTCTGCTTCAAAACATGATTATAGCTATTTTTTGTATCTCCATTAAAGCTCTATAGGATGGGGAATACTACAGAAGCACTAGTTCAGCTGAACAGGTTAGCTTTTAGTAAAAGCTTTATCTCTGCTGTACTGATAAGAAAATTGGTCCTAAGATCTTGACAAACTGCTGTTAAACTGAGTATTGTTGCATCTGAAGAAGGGGAGAAAGGTGCATAAGAGGTAGCTGACGGTGCTTTTTGGATCGATGTCTTCATTTTCTTTGTCAAAACAGTCTGTATTGAAATGAGAGAGAAAAATGTTAAGGATTTCAGTCTTCTCTGAGACGTGTGTGTAGTATTGCTGCCATACCTTGTTCCTGTTTGCAGGAAAGGGAGTTCCTGAAGAATTATGTACAGCGAATAGTTGATGTCAGGCCTAATTTGGTCCTCGTTGAGAAGACCGTGTCCCGCATTGCCCAGGATATGCTGCTAGAGCATGGTATCACTCTGGTCATCAATGTCAAGCCGGTGAGCCTCCTATAAAAACTTGACTTTATGTTTTTCTTCTATCAAAGCTTGAAATTGCTTTTCTAATAATTAAATTTAAATTATTTTAAATGACACTCCAACTTTTTTAGAGGAAGCTGTTGATGCTAGTGTAGTTCTTAGATTCTCTTTGCCCTCTAGATTCTTACTGCTTTTCTCATTTTCACAGCAAGTGTTAGATCGGGTAAGCCGAATGACCCAGGGAGACTTAGTGATGTCCATGGATCAACTGCTGACCAAGCCACGTTTGGGAACTTGTCATAAATTTTACATGCAAGTGTTCCAGTTGCCCAATGGTGAGTCAAGATTAATGTATGCTAGCTTGCTTACCGGAGAGAGTAAATATCTTGTTCATCTTAACTAGATCTGAACTGTAGGGTTGCTTCTATGATCATTCTTTAGCTCAACTTCATGCTTTAAAGGAGGAAGGAATCTGTTCAGGTTGCCCAGAGTTTAGTTGCTTAATGATATTCACCATACCTTGGTGCAAAACTCTGTAATTTGCATGGAGGTGCTGTGTTTTACCCCCTGCCTCTTGTCTTTTCACTGTGCACCTCTGGGAAGTTGGGGCTCTTCTTTCCTCTGTAACCTGCTTTAGACAGTGGGAAACTGCAAAGGAAGGATCAAGAGGTGCTCCCTGGTAGGTTACTGTAGGGTGCACCAACACAGATTATGGTTCTTTTGTGGAAAAAGCAGTCTTTGCCTCTTTGTTTTTTTCCCCTGCCTCCAGATTTGAAACTGCACTTAAAAAGCTTGTGAAGCCTTTACTGTTAAGGCTGAGTAAAAGTTGTTGGGTAGGTAATGGTTCTTCTGCTTTGTTGTCTCATCCTGCCCCTCAGTCTACAATGACATTTGAAAACATGCTTTGGGTTGACACATTATGTGTGGTTTTGACTTGGACTCTTTGCTGACCTGTTACACAAAACAGGCAAAGTTTATAGCAAATGCTTGTTTTATTAGCAAAAATTATTTCAGTATCATGGTGTGAATTTCTACAGATGGATTGTGCCACCAGCATTATTCACTGTTTAGTCTCCATTATAAGCTTTTTGGTGTGAGATGTCTAAGAGCAGGTTAATTGTAGCGATGATTCCTACTCTTCTGTCTGTTTGTTTTTCCTAGATCAAACAAAGACTCTGATGTTCTTTGAAGGATGTCCCCAGCATCTGGGTTGCACTATCAAGTTGTGTGGGGCTGGAGAGTATGAGCTGGCCCGTGTGAAGGAGATTCTGATTTTCATGGTCTGTGTGGCTTATCATTCCCAGCTGGAAATCTCTTTCCTAATGGATGAGTTTGCCATGCCCCCTACTCTAACCAAAAATGCCTCATTTCACTCCCTTATTGAGGAGCCAGGAGATGAAAATGAACATCAGAAGCTCTTCAATGGAGAGGACTTCAGCACAGCAATCAGAGACATTGAACTCTCTTCTGACAAGCTTCCTGTCATCTCTGAGTCAGTGTCCTCTGATGAGGTCAACTCGGTTGAACAAAGAGGTTTATTTGAGAGAGGTGACCAAGAGAGCAGTCAGCAAGAAACAGTGTGCTCAAAACAGCAAGAGCACCACAGAATAGAGTCACCATTTCCTGTCTTCAACTCTGTACCTCCTGCAATACCTGAAACATCCCTGCTGCCCCTCCATGGCATGGACCAGCACTTGGTTCCTCTGGATAGTCAGCCACTGGAGCCTCTGCCACAGGCTGATGACCTGCAGGAGTCGAAAAGTCAGATGAGAGTGTTCAGAGACCCACTCCAGGATGATACTGGCTTATATGTCACAGAAGAAGTAGCCTCTTCTGAGGATCGTCTCAAGACTTACTCTGCAGCGTTTAAGCAGGAGTTGAAAGACGTTATTCTCTGCATTTCTCCTGTTATGACGTTCCGTGAACCATTTCTTTTGACAGAAAAAGGCATGAGGTGTCCTGCCAGGGAATACTTCCCTGAACAAGTTTATTGGTCTCCTCTTCTCAATAAAGAGTACAAGGAGTTGGAGGGCAGAAGGAAGAAGCAGTTATTGCGGGATCTCTCGGGACTGCAAGGGATGAATGGGAGTATCCAAGCCAAGGCTATCCAAATTTTACCTTCTCATGAGCTGGTTAATGCTAGAATAGCTGAGCACCTTGGTGATAGTCAGAGCTTAGCCAGAATGCTTGCAGATTATCGGGCTAGAGGAGGGAGAATAATGCAGAAAAATGCAGATCCCTTTGCCCAAAGTAAGGATACATCTGGTGTCCCTACTGGAAAAGCTGGATGCAGAATTGAAGAGGATGAGAAAGGACTTGCACAGAGTGAATTTTCATGGTCTAATAAGGTAAGATTTAAGCTATACTCTTAGAAATGTGTTAGTTGCAAGTCTTTCCTGACAATGCAGAAGGCTTAGTGATTTGTTGTTTTAATTGATGAAATTGGAAATGGAACCTTAAAAAGGTGACATCTTAGAAAGTCCCGTCAAAATCGTGTGTTAGTATGCTGTCTGTTCAGTTCAGCTGTGTGACTAGTCCCTGAAAATGTTTACATGGAGGAGGAGAAAGTGTTTTGGTTTCTGAATTGGACTTTCCTGTTGTTTATAATGGTGATTTCTGAAGGTATCATATTTGAGTCTTGAGGAGGCCTAATGTAACGACAAGCTGTAGCTACACTGAAGTATTTGATTATTTATATTGAGTTATCTGGAGAAGTGCGGATGCACATGCAAAAAAGAAATCCTTAGAAATTCCAAAACAAGGCCAGGTGTATTTGTGATCAAAACTATTTAAAGGTAGGAAACAGGGAAAACAGAACTGCTTTTTGGCCATAGTCATTTTGGACCTTGAGCCTTTGCATTCATAATAAGTAGTCACTTTTTAGTCAGCTCTTCAAGTGACCTGAAAATTCATATGGCTTCACAGGCTGTATGAGTTGTAAGAGGAACCATTGCTCTGAATCAGAATACTCAATGCTGTTACATTTATTCACTGACTCGAGAAGTGTTTGCAAATGTTACGGTTCTGGGGGATGTAGAATGGGAGACGGTCCCACTCCAGTGTCTGTTCACAGACCAGACAGTTGCAGTGTCTACTTTCTGTAGCCTGAAGGAGTAATAAAAGTGTGAGTGTACAGATACATATGTATTTTTTTCCTTCCTTAAATTCATTCCTCCTTAACTTTTTTGACATAATATTCATGCATATGCCTTATTTAGACATATTAGTTGTGCTGTTCTAAAACAGTTCTTAACTTTTGCATAAGGTATAACTCTACCTAAAGCTGTAGGAAAATGTAAGATTAATCTGTTAGAAAGAAACAAGCAGAAATTTGCCCTTAAATACAACTAAAAGATTTGTATTTTGCCAGGAGTTGTGATGGATAAAAGTCTCTGCAGCCAATGAACGACTTTTTTCTCTCCCTCAGGTGGACTGCCTGAGTCCAATAAACCATCAGAGGCTCTGTGTTCTCTTCAGTAGCTCTTCTGCCCAGTCTAGCAATGCTCCAAGTGCCTGTGTTAGCCCCTGGTATGATGACTATTTTTCTATAGCTTATATATTTGCTTAGTGTGTTGTTCATTTTAAGCTCTCCTCCAGTGAGCTGTTTCAAGAGTTTTCTTGTCTGATCAGGTGGGTCAGAGTCATATCCCTGAGTCTTTGCAGTCCTTGAGGCACAACTGAAAGCCCAGCCTAGCACCGGATGCTTCAGTTGTGCCTTTGCGTGCAAAGTAATGTACATGTGGGGAGGGCACACAGAGGAATGGCCAAGCCCCAAATTAAGACTTGAGAGGGAATTTTGGGAAGAATACATCTAGATTGTATTTTGAGAGAGTGGCATTTGAATAAACAGCCATGTCCACATCAGATCAAAGGAAGCAGCATTAAAAGCTTTAGCTGTATGTCTCACTTGGAGGCTGTAATTAGTTGATGGCGTGTGACTTGAGACAGGCCTTTGGCAGTAACCTGAGAACAGGTCTCTGTGCTTCTTTGTCTGACTCAGAAGAAAATAAAGAGGGGAGAAGTCTGTACAAAGCTGAGGAATGAGCCAAAGGTGAGGAAAACCATTAAAAAGCAGCAATAAAATTAAAGGTATTAGAAAAGTCTGAATTGATGCCTTGACGTACAGCTTAAGTGGCTGGCTCACCTCAGATTCTGAGAATTGAAAAATTGCCACTGAACTATTCTTGTGAGGAGATGGGGGTGAGAGTCTGTAAGCTTTTTCAGTCATTTAGATATGCTTCTTATGTAACTGTTAAAATGTTAATGGTTGACAAACTGTCAAACTGTCTAGGCTTTTGTGTCTAGATGCTCTAGGACATGAAGTTCAAAAGTGCAACTGAATTGTGTTCAACTTTCAAATATCAATTTTAAAGTCATTCCAGTAGGAACTCAAATCGCTTAATAGCGAACTTTAAACTTGTCAGCAGGGGTCTCGGAAGGGTGGTGAAGGTTTGGAAAAATAAAACAACATTGAGTACAGGGTGGAAGAAAAACCATATTGTAGGTGAAGATTTGTGAATTAGAGCCATTCCACAGCTGGCAGTGGCAGGATCCCTCTCTAAAGCTTTTGCTCCTTCTCTGGCTTAGGATCGTAACCATGGAGTTCTATGGGAAAAATGACCTCACTCTGGGAGTGTTTCTGGAGCGCTACTGTTTCAGGTAAGGAAGAACTTAATTCAAGGTGGTAGAGGTATGCTCTTAAAAACAAAACCCTGACAAACTAGTTGTGTCGTGGGGAAGCTTACCACCTAAATCTGCTTTTCCATTTGCTTTATTAGCATGCTGTAGTGAAACAGGAATTGGGTTGAGGAATTCACTTACTCATGAACGCTTCTTAAAAGTCAGTACATTCACAGCTTTCCACTTTCACCCTGCCCCTCTTTGTCTTCTAATGAGGAAATAAAGCAAGACTTGTGTGGTTACATTTGACTTTATGAACTTACAAGTACTATCTTGTAACGTGTTCCAAATAGCTTTTTTCCTAGACAAGTAACTGTAGTGATCATAATTTTCTGGGGTTTCTCTTGGAAATTTCATACGAATTGTGGAAAAAAATCCTGACTACTTCAGTATTATCTGAACATCTCAGGGTAAGGCCTTACCACATCTCCCAGATGCCAGTATAAATGGTCCAAAGCATTTTTATCCTTAGCAAAGCTTCATGTAATTTGCTTCATGCAACTGGGTTATAAGTTGCTACCTGGATACCCACAGCCTTGCATGAGCAAGTTATAATTTCATTAAACACTTTTCTTTCGCCTTGGTGTCAAAAATATTTGTGTATGTGTGTGGGTTTTTTTTGTTTTTTAATATTGGTCTCTGCTGCATGGCTTGGGAGATCTCTGTCCCAGGAGGGGTCATGAAGTGGTGGTATGGCAACACTTTCCTCATCTCTTACTTCAGGAGCTGAAACGTTGAACCTCTGGTAGCCTTTGATCTGGGGTGCTGCTATGGTGTCAGTCTTATGTGGTGGCAAGTTCTTCTTGGTGTTTGATCCCTATTTTGTGGGCTATATGGAATACATGGGTAGAATCTTATCTTAAAAAGATTGTAACATCCACTGCTTTTAGGGCATGCACAGCTGCTACTGACAAGAGAACCTTCCCTATGTGCTGCTCCTAATAAAGTGTTCTGTAGTAGACCCTTAGTGAAGATTATTTCTGCAAAGTGAACTTCTACAGTAAAGATTTAGTTTGCCTTTTAATGTCATGGTATAAATAGGTTGAATCAGCTCTTCAGCAGTGCTAGCACATGGTGATTTCCAAGTGTCTCCATGTTTCTCCCTAAGGCCTTCCTACCAGTGTCCCAGCATGTTCTGTGAAACACCGATGGTGCATCACATCCGTCGCTTTGTCCATGGGCAGGGCTGTGTGCAAATTGTGCTGAAGGAGCTGGACTCGCCCGTCCCTGGATACCAGCACACGATTCTTACCTACTCCTGGTGCAGACTGTGCAAGCAGGCAAGTATGAAGGGTTAGAAACGGTTGCTGTAGTATTTCTATGGTGACTGGCCCTGTATGGAAAGGCTGTGTTTCTGAGAAAGGGTTCCTTATTCCTAGAGCTCTGAGTAAACTAGCACAAAACATATTATTGATATAAATGTTTTCACATGTCTACAAATTCTTTTCTCAGAATTGCATCTGAGAGTGAAATGTCCTGGGATGTGCTGCTGTTAGAGTCAAACCTTACTCTTTCAGGACAGGTTTAAATGGAGTTCGTGTGTTGCTGTAAGTGAATTCCTGACACAAGAGGGAAAGACTAGAACTTCCCTGTTAAAAGGGGAGAGCGTGGTCTACTGCCGAGGGGAGGCCTTGAAAGCGACTGAAGAATGCGTGTGAATGGAAGGGCAGGTGCTGAAACCTGCTAGTTTAGTAAGTGGCTAAAGCCACTTGGTATTTGTGCTCTGCTGTAGGCTGGGCAGTCTGCATCAGTGACTACTGACTCAATGCAATGCCTAGCCTTCCTTGAGTAGAGCCTAGAAAGTAAGAACGAACTTCATCAGATGAATGATAGCTTTAAAAACCGCAAGGAAATAAGATTGCATATTATTTGAGTCTTCTTGTGTAATTTAGTGAACAGGATACTCATTTCTAGCTAAACTTAAGCTGAAATTTAAAAGCCTTGAAGGACAAGAACCAGCTTAGTTAAAACAAGATTCACCCAGTGCCTCACACTGGAAAACATTTTAATTACCAATGTGAATGACTCAATTCACCTGCTTAATGCTGGCTTAAACATGGGTGTTGCATTTCCAGGTGTCTGAAGGAAGTTAATTCAATTGCTGAAGGCTAGCTGTATTTTGCTCTGTATTTGCCTGTTCCATAACCTCTTATTTCACTGTACTCATGTAAACACTAATATGTTTGTGACTATTAGGTTTGTGTAAATAGGTGACTAGTCCAAGCTTAAAGCACTGTTGGAGTCTACACTGTAGAGCAATACAAGTGTATTTCTAGTTAGGGTCATCATGGAAGAACTGTAGAATGAAGCTGTTGCTGCTGACCAGGTGCTGCTGGAAATTTTCCCTGTATAGCTAATTAACATCCTAGATGTGAGCTCTCATCAAGGATATATTCAGACTCGCTCAAGTTAGCGCATGCAGTCATCTGACTAGCAATTGCTGCTTATCCAGTTTATTTTAACTATGTGTATGTTACCCTTAGTAGTTGTGTTAGTATGTACCAGTGTCATGCGCACTTCTGGTGCCAGATATATTAGATGGCTATTTAGGTTAACCTGTCCTTAATTTCCTCCTTCAAGCATAGAGTTAAGATATCTTGCTTTTGATTTTCAGGTGACACCAGTTGTCCCACTTTCCAGTGATTCTTGGTCCATGTCTTTTGCAAAATACCTCGAGCTGAGGTTCTACGGGCACCAGTACACTCGGAGGGCCAATGCGGAGCCTTGTGGTCACTCCATTCACCATGACTATCATCAGTATTTTTCCTATAATCAGATGGTGGCATCTTTCAGGTGAGGATCACTGCTAGTAACCTTTCTTTGACCATATGTTTCACATAATGTGAAGCAAGTTAGGATTTCTTGAGTCTGTCCTTCACCTTAAGTAGAGGACTGTGACTGTGCTATAACAGCAAGGACTTGCAGAGGTTACTGTGGGTGCTCTCACTACTCTACATGGGGTACACAGCATTTGTAAGAAAGGGTGGTCACAATCCTTGATATGGAAGGGCAGTAATGGGTGGTCTCTGTTTGAGAGACCTGCCTAGTCTAGAAGAATTGCAAATTTTATTTTGCAATATGGTGGATAAATTAACATGCTGTTACTTGGAAGGCATCATCAGTGCCTATTTCGCTTCAAGCCACAAAGTGCAACATGGTGTACAAGTACTGTATGGGGAGGCTTTTGTTGATAGCTGTTTCTTTGCCTTCTCAGCTACTCTCCAATCCGTCTGCTTGAAGTGTGTGTGCCGCTCCCCAAAATCTACATCAAGCGACAAGCTCCGTTAAAAGTTACAATTTTGCAGGATCTGAAGGACTTCTCTCAGAAGTGAGCTTTGCTTTCATGCCTTCCTCAGTTTGTTAGTATGTTGCACTTCTATCAATAGAATACACAAAAACTATTCTTGCTAGTGTAAGCAAGGCAATTGAAAAATATTCATTGTTTAATAGAAAAGTAATGATTTTTGAACACTTAAGTTCATGAATGTACACGGGTCTGAGCAAGAGCAATTTGGGAACCTTCTTTCTCACCTTCATCTGCTCATTCTCTACTGATCCCAAACATCTTTTCATCTGTTATAGTTTAGCTTAAAAATGACCAGTATAAATTGAGTCACCTTTTCTCTATCCTGGAAGGAGAGGAGATCCATCCATGTATCCATGATTGATATCTGAGTGCTCTAGTGTGATCTTGTCAAGCAGCCTGACTGTCAGCTGATGTCTGAAGCCTCGTTCTTGTGAAAAGCTGCCCTAACCACACCAAAAGCACTTCTAATTCCTCTCTATGATACTAAAAATGGACCAAAGGGAGTGGTCCTTGAAGGCTTAATCTGAAAACTGCATGTAATGCTTTGTGTCCTTGCTTTAACAAGCCTTTTTGGAAGGACAATTTGTCAAGTTTGCATCTTGACTTTAGCCTAGAAAAACTGCAAAGATTTTGTTTGAATTGGTTGTATGAATAGAACTAGGGGTGGAGGGGGAGGGAGGTGTGTTTGGAGTTGTGTATATTGTATGTGTGTATATTATACGTATGTATATAGAGAGAGAGTTCATGTGGCAATTAATTGTAGCAAGTTTTATGTGGTGGTTTGGTTTTGGTTGCTTTTAGGGAGGAGAGGAAAAGGAGGAGGTGGGAGACAGGCTTGGGAAGAAGCTGTTTTTCATGAATGGCAAAATATATGTGACAATTGAGGTTTCTGCAACACTGACTTTTTTTTTTCCTTTCAACTTTCCCTATAGATTCAGTGGGACAGCCTATTGTATGGAAGGCTTTCTCATGTTTTCGCAGAATCACAGAATATTTAAGGTTGGAAGGGACCTCTAGAGATCATCTAGTCCAACCTTCTTGCTCAAGCAGGCACACCTATAGCATGTGGCCGTATCTTACATTGGGGAAACTCCAACCTTAAATACATTCAGACTTCAGTGAAAGAATGTTTTAGATGGTTTAAACAAGCACAGCTTAACACTCGGCATCTCTGTTGACAGGGTGGCACAGGTATATCTCGCTGTCGATGACCGCCTGGCTTCTCTGAAAACAGATACTTTTAGCAAAACAAGGGAGGAGAAGATGGAAGACCTCTTTGCACAGAAGGAGGTAAAGAACCACTCCTACCCTGGCAGAGCGCAGGCCATGCAGCACACAGGGAAGCCACTCTGGGTGTCCTGTCTGGTGACAAAATATTGACAGTTCTTCTCGTGGCAGATGGAAGAGGGGGAGTTTCGGAACTGGACCGAGAAGATTCAAGCAAGGCTGCTTTCGTCATCGTTAGACACACCTCAGCAGCTGCAGTCTGTTTTTGAGTCTCTGATAGCTAAGAAACAAGGTCTGTGTGAGATGCTGCAAGCCTGGAATAGTAGGTAAGAACAGATGTTGGAATCGTAAGCAACAGCAGAGCTGTGTTGCTTGTAGAAGGGAAGAGCTGCTTCTGTACACCCTCCTGTCTGTCCCTGTAGCACAATTGTTTATGCAAAAGGTGTTATTACAGCTTATGCTGAATCTTCTGCTGGTTAAGATGACAGGGCTGACTGACAGAACAGAACAGCCATAATTAAAGGCCAGATAACAAAATTATTGTGTGTCGTTGAACTCTGCTCACATCTGAGAAGAGAAAGCATCACTTAAAAATGGAAAAAGAGGAGAAAGACTGCAAAGGGAGAGCATGTGAAAGCAATTGATTCAATAAAATGATTTCAGAGCTGGGCAAATGTCAAAAGAAATGTTTTAGATAAATTACAATGCAGTCCTTAGGAATACTCTGCCCTCTTACTCCACTTGGAGCAGGCTTTGCTGCTGTAGTATTCCTTCAAGGCATGAAAGGAAGGTTTTGTCTGTGGTTGCTTGTCCTGCAGCGTCTCTCAGAAGCTGCCTGAGTTTTACCTGTGAAGGGTCGTGCAGCAGTATTCCAGCATGGAAAGTTTTCGTAGTTTGATTCTTTTATGTTAACACCTGTAATGTATTTTTGATGTTCTGTTTTTAAGATTACAGGATCTCTTCCAGCAAGAGAAAGGGAGAAAACGTCCCTCAGTGCCACCTAGCCCTGGAAGACTAAGGCAAGGTGAAGAAAGCAAGGTACTGGCAGTGGACTGGAAGTTACTCTTGTTCTGGTACAACACTCTAAAACTGACTTCAGTTCACTCGTTTGATGTTATAAGTAACTCTTACAACAATGTGAAATCTTCATTTGTAAAAGCTTAAGTTTCATGGGAACACAGGCATCTTTTTAAGGATGATAACCGAGAATTCTTTTACAGAAATAGAAGACTAAGTATGGATAGTATTTGATATTTGCTTGCAAGTGTTTGTTTGCACACTTAGCTGACAACATAAATTCTGACAGTACAGGACTGTCTTCAGTGTCAAGGTACATCTAGATAGGAGAAAGTCATTGTGTTGGCCTCTAGACCTGCATAAAATCCATTCATCTAAATCTACAGTCTCCACAGGGTGAAAGCAGTGGGAGCAAATGCGACACAGTGATATTGTGGCACACCACTGCTGCAAGTAGTGTACAGAGAAGGAGTCTCTTAAATCAGGAAGCAGTAGCCAGGCAAGCTGAGATGCTTATGCTGTGGCTAGTCTCTTCCACATGCTGGCAGATATAGTGGTGGTGCTGAGCCTGACAGTGGCGGATGGGGGCACTCTGCAGCAGTAAGTTTGCTTTTAAAACTTCCATAGGAGGAGGAAAGGGTATAGCTATAAAAACCTGAGCATCAACATTCATGTTCTGTTACTTGTTCTAGATCAGTAGCATCGATGCTTCTCCACGCAATGTTTCTCCAGCTCTGCAAAATGGAGAGAAAGGTCTGTTGTTCTTGTTGTTTGTTTTTTTTCCTCCTCCTTTCTTAAGCTGCCAAAAAGCTGATTTGTAACCCTTTCTCTGGTGTAATGTGGGAGCTTTCATTTCTCTAAATTACCAAGTCTGACAGTGAATTCCCATTGCGCAAGATGGGAATAAACCAATTTCTAGCTTACTGTTGCAAAAAGCAAAACATGGGGCTGTATTAATAATGGTGATAAATTGGCAACTTGATAATTGGTTAAATGCTTTCAGTCTTTCTAAATGATAGAATTACTGCACAGAATTGAGAAATGTTTTCTTGTGTCCTTTCAGAGGATCGTTTCCTGACCACTCTATCCAGCCAGGGCTCCACAGGCTCTACTCATCTTCAGCTCCCCACCCCTCCAGAGGTTGTGTCAGAGCAACTGGCTGGTGCCTCATCCTTTGCCAACACACTCTCCGAACAGGAGACAACCAGTAGCTCTGAAGGTAGAGTTCAGCTGTGGTCTTGTATTCCTTCTGCCTCCAAGGCAAGCACATGGGATCATTTAGGGAATGGCAGCTTTGGTAACCTGAAGCAAAATGCCTAGAACTCATTGCTTCAGCCAAGAGACTGAGAGGAGCTTTTGCTCCTTGAAAGTACACTCCTTCGGGATGAGGACAGCTTTGGTGTTCTTTCAAAACTCTGCCTCGAGGTAATAGCTAAGGATGCTTTTGCCCTTCCCAAAATGGTACGTCATATGGAGACTAGCAAAAAATCTACCTGACCCTTTTGGCTAAGGTCAGCATTGATTCTCCTCCTTCACTAACTTGCTTTCTGTTTTAACTCAAACACTACTTAGACAAAATAAACTGTCTTGGAGTGCTTTTTGCCATCTTTAGGCTGCAGGTAAAGTCAGTCAGCCTTGTGAAAACAAATTTTTTTACTGCTGACCAAGTACTTTATGCATTAGTTAAGACATGCACACAGTCTATATAGTTATAAGGGCAAAATAATGCTTTAGAGTGGGTATGGGGAGAACCTTGCTTCTGTTATAGATTTGTAGTAGCTTTAGCAAACCCACTAGATCATGGAACACTTGCTAAATTTGGTGTTCGGGGAGTGAAATCTTTTAGGGGAAGATGCTACAGGACTTGATGGAAATAAGTGATATACTAGCTTCCTTTCAGATTCAAGTTGGATTATGTGGTGCCTAATTGTTATCTCTGTTCCAGATGTGTTTGATGGACATTCACTGGGATCTACAGACAGCCAAGTGAAGGAGAAATCTACAATGAAAGCTATTTTGGCCAACTTGTTGCCTGGGAACAGCTATAACCCCATTCCATTTCCCTTGTGAGTACAGATTAAAATATATGAAGTGCCCTATTGACAGCTGGTCTAACTGCAGGCAGAGCTGTGCATGCATGCTTCCCCTGCATATCAGATCATTTATACCATCGCCTAGGTTTTGCCTTCAAATAAACTGTAAATCTTTCTCAAGGCACACAGACTTGTATGTCTCTTGAAGGTGTTTGCAGGTCACCACCTTCCTTTGTTTGACTCTCATCCTTTCCCTAGCCCATTCTTGCCTATGTATGTTATTGATTTCATTTCTTCTTCTTGTCAGGCCTGTGGCCCAAGAACTCCGGGTGGGCAAAGGGGTGTTTTATAAATCTTCTGCTGCAGGGAGGGAGAGGAAATGGACTTCTTAGCAAAGACTTACTAAAACTGCTTGCTTGCCTCTCTGTTCTTGCTTCCAGACCTCTTCCAAGGGTTGGACTCAAGTGGGCATTGTCTGGGTGTAGGTCAGGTTCAATGGCTACTGCATGTGCCCTCAAGTTCCTTGCCCATATGAAAATGGGCAGTCTGGAAAGCCTTTCAGCTACTTGGTCTGCGTGCATTATAGTGATTCTTGTTTGTTTGATGTGAGCCTAATGTTTGGCAGCCTGAGTTTATCTAATTTGAACCCTACCTCATGGTAGTAGTACACTCTGTGGGCTAGTGAGGTACAAAGAAAATGACTCGGACCTACAGATGAATGGAGAGGGGGGAAAAAAAAAGTTTGACAGGGATTTAAGAGTTTTTTTGAGAGTTGTATCCTAAATCTTTTGTGCTGAGGATTCCAAGTTTATGCTCTTGCTTAGCTTGTCAGGCCATGCTGCAGGACAGTCAAAGCAAGCACAAGCAGTTTTTAGTGTTGTTGGAAACGGTGGCTGCTAAACAGAAATAAACTTGTACTCTAGTTCAGAGCTGTTTCACTGCTATAATCAACTTGCTTAGTGTGATGAACTTTTTTGCCTTAACACATTAACATTTACACTTAACCACATAGCTGTGAATGTATCTAATGGGAGAAGCTGCTCTGGGGCTCTTTGACTCTGTGTTGAGACTTGCAGTTCAAGGAACTATTTGTGTCTAGAGTGCAGTGATGAAGTTCTGAGTTTTGATCAAACTTAACTTGTGCTTTCCACAAGCTGCTACAATCTACTAAAATTCTCTCCATCTTCTTTTCATTCAGTGACCCGGATAAGCACTACCTAATGTACGAACATGAACGAGTACCTATTGCGGTCTGTGAGAAAGAACCAAGTTCCATCATAGCTTTTGCTCTCAGGTACTGAAGGTGATTTGCTCTTCCCCAGACACTAAAACTCACACGTATCACACTTGTGCAGCTTTTGTGTGCAAGGAATGCATAAATCCTGGTAGGGAACAAGCAACTGTGCAGAGAGTTCCTACCAGAGCTGAGGAGCTCATACCTGCTTTCAACATATGTTTCAACCTGCAACTAGATTTCAGGCTAAACTTCCCATCTCAGTACACAAAAATGAGTAGGCTGAGTATGCTATTCCCTGGAAATTGATGATGTTAGAGAAAGAACTGCAAATACAACTTACTTGGCTTGTCTTCCTGGAGGAAGCCCAGCTGAGCTGGGGACAAAGACTGGATATTCATAACAATCTTTAGGTTGCCCATAGTTATTGTAGCTCTTGTTCCTGCTGAGCTCTCCATGCCAGGTGTTTGAGTAGATCTTGGGGCTTATATGTCGGTAGGTAAGAGACTTTTCTTGGGTGGCTCATTCTTAAACCATATATGTGGACATGAACAGAGAGGGCGGAGGCAAAGCGGAGTGCCTTCTGCAGTGTGATCTGGAGTAGTTTCTGTTCCAAGGGAGCTAAGACCTAGTTGTAGTGGAAAGGTGCCCTATTGTAGTTTGATTTCTGAAAGCTGTCTCTGAATTGAATCTTTGGGCCAATGTTGAAAGGATTCTCAGCAAGAAATAACTTTTTTTTCCACCTTCCTCCAGCTGCAAGGAATACAGAAATGCCCTGGATGAGTTATCTAAAGCATCTCTGAAGAACAGTTCTGAAGAAGGACTCCAGCCAAACAGGTTACCTATTTGAACTAGAATATTCTAGGACAAAGAGATTTTTATTTTATGGTGGAATGTGACATGTTCTATGTCACCAACACATTTTTTCAGTATCTAAGTCTTCATTTCACATTGGATCTGTGTTGGCTTCAACACCTGATCCCCTGATTGTGTGCGTAGTAGAAATGACTGGACCTGAACTACTGTGTGGTGATAGCAGCATCTGTTACAGTGAAGCAGTGCAAGAATTGCTTTTAGGAGGATGGACACTTAGACAGATGGAGGACAACTTTAGAGAGTTCCACATCATTATCAGTTTAAATTGTATTCCTTTCCATTATGTGTACTTGGCATTATTCAGAGGGGAAAAGGAAACGTACAGAAGAGAAGCATTAGATTAACTCAGAATATAGTATTGGACTTAAACTTTTATTCTCTCATTCCCAGCACGTTGGACAACAAACCAAAGAGCAGTAGCCCTGTCCGTGTGCCCGAGGCAAACCTGGGTTCCTCAAATCGTACGGCAGAACAAGAACAGCGTAAGACCATTTTGCTGAAATTATAACATTAATTTCAGTTCAAGTGGGCTAAAATCTGAGCTGAGTGAGCTGAATTTTAGCTTTTGTAAGGATTAGCTTAGAAAAAGGAAAATGCATTCTGGGTACCAAATTCAAGCTGCTCCCTGTGTGCTTAGCAAACCTTTTCAGGCTGAATTGCAGGTTGTCTTGGAGTTGCCTTGATACGGAGCATGTTATATACTTGAAAGACCTCTGTCCATGATTGTTTATTGGATTTCTTATGAGATCAGAATATTAAGTAATGGAACATAGATTATTCTAGGATCTAGCCAAGAACAATGTGTTCTGACCTGTTTGGTATGGCATTGCCCTGTTTGAAACTCAATATTTGGAAATGGAGGAGCGATGTTATTATTAACTTGAACTTCATTTAACTTTGTTTACTTCTTTATTAACATTTGTGTTCTTAAGATGTTATTTGTTCTTTCAGAGGGATAGAATTTTCTGCTGGTGTTGGGATTCACCTCAAATCTTTAAGCTATGGCTCGTGACAGCTGCTGTTTTGAGTTGTCTTTGCTGTAGTTGAAATATTAATATTTCCTTCCTGCAGTAGCAGTGATTTAGGTAGTTAATTCCCCATCCCTGTGGACTACGCTATGTCAAATGGCATTCCAGAATGCTGCTCAGAACGCTGAATAGGCTAACCTGATGGACCTCAGTTGCCTTAAGAATAATAAATGAATTATAGTTAAATAATATTGACTATACATTTAGAACAATGAATGGTGAATGCTTGTATGAGTCATTTTTTATGAATCATGCTTTTATTTGCCTCTTTAAATGTCAGTACTAACTACTATTTTTTTCCCCTTTACTGTAGCAAAGAAGCCATCAAGTGTTCTGTCCTTCTTCCGTGGTGCGGGAGGGAAAAGCCCAGACCTGTCTTCCCAGAAGAAAGAGACCTTGCGTGGCGCTGACAGTGCCTATTACCAGGTTGGACAGATGAGCAAAGAGGGAGCAGAAAACCAAGGAACAGAACCTCAAGGTACCAATTTCTGATGGTCTTTTGCCTCGGACTGTTACTTCTGCCCAAATTCATTTATGGTTAAAGGCCAGAAAGGACTCCACTTCTGAGTTCTCTTTCCGCAGTCCAAGATCCTTTGAAATGAATGTGTTGAGCATCAAGTATAGGTTTCTCCTAAGGACATTAATTTACGTTATGAGGAGAGAAACGGAGACTTTTAAGTTCCTGAAACTATGGGGATAGTCCAGATAGTGTGTAGGCTTTGAATTGAGCTGAATTTGATCTAGCAGTCCTCACTTTCTATTTAACTCTTTCATTGCTTCAGATTATGAAAAAGAGAATGAAGAAGGCAAAGCTTGCACTTAGATATTGCATGAAAGACTGTCATCTTCTAGTACATGTATCTATAATTTTATGGTTACCAATGTACACTTAAAAAAAAAAAAAGATCTTGTAACATGAGTTTACAAGTAGTACCTTACATAGCTTTTTCTGGGAAATAATCATGAGCAAGCTTTACAAAGAGTGATCCCTCTGTATTTTCAGATGAGGCAGATGGAGGAGATGGACAGAAGAAACAACTTGCAAATCCCCATGTGGAACTCCGTGAGTGTTTGTAATTGATAACTTGTTGTCTTAATCAACACACTCCTGTGTTTCCATGATGTACCAGAAACCTTCTGGTTGATGAAATTTTACTTTTGATTGGATAGAAGAAAAAGAAAAAAAAAAAAATCAGACCATTGGTATTTTTACTGATTATGATAAATCAGATTTGGAAATATCCTGCAAAACTCTTAATTTTCAGTTGATTGTTTGGGCAGTTTCCATTGGTATGTGATGTGAGCTAACCTGAAGAGCTTATTATATGCTACCTGCATTTTTCTGTTTAAGTCCTCTTCGAACTTCTGAAGTACAATTGGTGGTGACAGGGGCTGTTTAGGAAAATAAACTTTTGGCAGACATCAGTAAAAAATCTTCATAGCTGCTACTCAAAAGCACATTTTCTTAGAGTTTTCAGACGCAAATGCCAAGTTCTACTGTCGGATTTATTACGCTGGCGAGTTTCACAAGATGCGGGAAGTGATACTGGGGAGCAGTGAAGAGGACTTCATCCGCTCGCTCTCTCACTCCATGCCCTGGCAGGCGCGAGGTGGCAAATCTGGAGCTGCCTTCTATGTGACTGAGGGTAAGAGCAGCTGCTTCCTCCGAAACTTTTTATTTAAATCCTGATTACCCCTAGCATAGGGCTGTTCATTGTGTCAAGCAGTGAATGAGAATTCAAGTTAATGTGAGTTTTTTGAGTTTTTTAAAATCGGGTAATTCAGCTCTTTGTACATGCAGAAAACTGAAGTGGTTGGAGGGGAGTTCTGTTTCCAGCAGTAGCAGTGAAGGAGATAAGTTGAGTAGAAAGCTCATGCTTTTGTAGGCAGGCTTCAGACATCAGACTTTGGTATTTTTTGAGAAAGGCGTGGTTATTAAACAAATTGCTTTTTATTCCTTAGATGAATGTATTTAATTTGTTTTTGGTGTGTGTTTGCTTAAAACAAGTCCTGAGTCATCTTCTGGAAGAGTCTGTAGGATAGCTGAGACCTGTCTAACTTAGTCTCTTCTCCCTGATTTGCCAATAGACCTAAATCCAGAAAGAAAATGTGCAACATCTGGAGTAAGAAAGTTCCTAAAAATGACCATCTGTAGTTAAGGGTTTAGGAGAATTCCAGTGCTTAAGGTTTTTAGAGAAATTGCTTCAACCATGTGACAGTCCTAGAAGATTTTAAAAGGAGACATCACTGAGGTGACTTTGCAATCCTGTTGCCTCTGTCTGATGTTAAAACAGATGACAGATTCATCTTGAAGCAGATGCCTCGCCTGGAGGTCCAGTCGTTCCTTGACTTTGCTCCACACTACTTCACTTACATCATCAATGCAGTTCAGCAGAAGGTAATAAGTCTTTATTTTAGCCATTGTTTTGAAACTTATAGACTAGCAATGTTTTCCATTAACTCCTTTCACTTATGCAAATGAATATACGTTGGGGCATATGAGTTAAACTCACAATGTAGTTTAAACATGGAATGCAGGAGTTTTCCTAGAGCTTCTAAGGGGTGTTACCCAGGCAGATGAAACAAGGACACTTTGACTAGCTGACTGATGATTACTTGTATATAGAAATTATACCCAGTTCATACCATACTTCAACAGAAACCTACAGCACTGGCCAAAATCCTTGGGGTCTATCGAATTGGCTACAAGAACTCTCAGAACAATACTGAGAAGAAGCTGGATCTGCTTGTCATGGAAAACCTTTTCTATGGACGGAAAATGGCTCAGGTAGGAACCAGGTGTCCTGTTTCCCTTCAGTGCAGTCTCTCTACGGACTGAGAGCAGGAAGCTCTGGCTTATGAGTAGCTACAGTTCTTGTTTTTATCTTTGTCCATGCTGTCTATATCTAGCACTTTTCAGAGATGACTCTGTCTTGTTACGTGGTCTTCAGGAACTTGATATTGACTCTACTGACTTCAGCCATTAGAAGTTGTTTTATTTTTCCTGCATCTCTGGTGCTTGAGATACTGACTGGATTATCAGTCTAATTAGGAAAACGTGAATCTGTTTTGCAGAGCTTTTAGGAGAACTAATTAAGATACTAATTTAGGAAAAGCAATTTGCTTAGCAGAGGCCTTGCTACAGAGGTGGTGAGCCAGTGCAGGACTGGGGGAAGACTAACAATCTCCTGGTATTGCTTAATGCATGGAAGATGGCTTTGAATTCTGTCTTGCTCTTGACAGAGGAGAAGTACTTCTATGAGGCAGTAGAATAGAGACATAGAAATGGTTGGGAAAAAACTGCTTTAAAATAGACCATTCATGCTAAAGGAATTTAAAAAGCAATGGTACATCTGAAACAACATAGACTTGTGTTTTTTTTTTTTACCATCTTTCTCAATGCCTGGCCTCAAAAGGTGAATGTTTCTGGAAGAAGTAAGTTGGAGGATTCTAACTAAATACAGAAAACCTTTTTATTCACAAGGATGTTCAGGCACTGGAAACAGAAACCCAGAGAGGTTCCTGCAGTTATTCAAAGCTCATTTGGACAAGGCCTTAGCAACCTACTGCTACTGGATTTGCTTCAAGCAGGGCATTGGGCTACAGATTTCTGAAGGGCCTTTTTAACCTGTCTTTCCCCTCCCTTGCCATCTCCTGTTATTGTGTGTCATTTGAGTTCTATCTCCCAAGTTAATGGTCTTGATTTTTATCAACCTTTGAGTCCTTAGAACCTGTCTGGGAACCTCAGTTTGCCAATTTTGTTTAAAAATAGGCACTCACTTTTTTCCTTTGTTTATGCTAAATATTAAAAAGAAAGTTTGCCTGAAGCTTGTGAATTGAGGTTTAGGAGCTTTTGTGTAAGTTGGGTTAATACTTAGGGCTTAATTCTGTGTAACGTGAAAATATTTGTTGGCCTCGCTGCTCTGCCATGAAAGACAGTATTGTTATGCTGTGCTGCCTTCAACATTGAAGCTGGATATGTTGGATCTTCAAACATCACAGAATGATGGAACAAAGTAATGCTGTTTTCCACTTGTAGGTTTTTGACCTGAAAGGTTCCCTCCGGAATAGAAATGTTAAAACAGACACAGGGAAGGAAAGCTGTGATGTTGTCCTGCTGGATGAGAACCTCCTGAAGATGGTCCGGGACAACCCTCTGTACATCCGTTCTCATTGTAAGGCTGTGCTGAGAGCTTCCATACACAGTGATTCCCAGTTCCTCTCCAGTCACCTCATCATAGACTATTCCTTGCTGGTGGGTCGTGATGATACCAACAACGAATTGGTGGTTGGGATCATAGGTATGTTTTCTGCTTCTTGCTTACAGCTAGTGAGGCCTTTATTTTGGCAGTGTTCTACTGCTATTAAAACTGTACCTCCTCCACCACGAAGACATAGGACAGGAGGGCTTGTCATCTTCCTGCTCACGTGCTGCTTTGACCTCCCTTCAGTGTAGAGGCAGAAGATCTCCTAATTCTTTTATAGGGCTATGTTAGGATTTATATTAATATGAATAAGAATTTATATTAATAAGAATACAAAATGAGACCTCTCAGGCAGAGAGACAAAAAGAACTGAGTTGATGTTTAACCTGCTCGTGCATGCGCTCGCTCTCTCTCTCCCTCCCTCTCTCTCTAGTTAGAGAGACATTATTTTTATGCTACTATGTGTAGTCTTTTAAGATTTAATGTCTATGTAAGTATCCTTGACCTTAAACTGTAATTTATGTGGAGATGTCTGGGGAGGAAAAACATTGAGGAGAGAAGGTGAGATGGAAGAAAGATATTAATCATCACAGGACTATCTGTGATAACTCTAGCCTGATCTGAATAACACAGGTGGCAACTTGGCAATTCTCTTAACAAATTCCTGACATGTGGCTTGAAGACAGAGCCTCATCTTCGAGGTAAATGAACTAGTCTTGTGCACAAGACTCAATGGAGCCATTTTGCAGAATGTGGAAATGGTTCTCTGAAATGAGTTTCTCCTGACAGACCAAAAATGTTTCTAAATGAGAGCTCAAGCCAAGAGGTCTGGATTATTCTGTCTTACTGTTAAAGTTTGACACTCACCCTAATAATACTCCTAGTTGAGAACTGGAATCCTATCTGCAAAGTTATAAGCTATTATTACTTGCTTGATTTTCATGTTTTGAATATTTCTATATTTCCATGTTTTGAATATTTGTGTAAATAGGATGAGACTCTGCTTCCTGTGTGCATGTGGATTTAGTTGTCCAAGGGGAAGTTTATTCTGGTGTTTAAAATGATGTTTAAATATTAGTTGTTCCTTTGGTGTTTTGAGAACAGCTGTTCGTGATCTGAAGGAACTTGTTTAACATAAGCATATTAAAAATCGAGAACTTTCCTGTTGCATCAGACTATCACTGCATTGTCTAAATGCTAATCTACAAACTTGCCAGGTATTGTTATGGAATACACAGTACTATTTAAGTTCAGGTTAGAGCAGTTAATTGCTATAAATAACACAGCACACAGCAGCATAGTAGCAGCCTCTGTTGACATGAATTCTACCCTAAAGAGGCTGCTACAGAGTTGATATATCTTGGGATTATACAATTTGTCCTTCACAGGACTGCAGGTGTATAGATAGACAGAAAAATTGAGTCCATCACTTCAGAAGAGGAGGCTCCAACAAAACAGTACTGCTCTTGTGTGTTTGTAGACAGTGCATTCCTTCAGTAGCTGGGAAAGGACTCCAAGGTCATCACAATGTTTGTGGTAGATAAACCTGCAAAGGCCTGTGAGGTGTTAACTATTTTCCTTCTACATGCATTAAGTTTTATTTCCATGTTACGCCAGCTGACTTTTGGGAGGGAGGAGGGACAGAATGCCATTAGCATGGACCAGATTTGAGCCTAGGCTCAGAATCTCTAGCTGTTTCAGGCACTAATCTTGTGGAGTTAACCCTGGGAGAGGCTGGGAAAATCTACCTTTAAGGCCCTGTTGGACTGTGTGACTTGAGGCATCTGAGGGACAGACAGTAAGTAGCACACAAACTGAGTGTGTCAAACCTAAAGCACTCTGAGGGAGCACTTTCTTAAACTTCTTATCAGTTCATCTGAATATTCTCATGTTGCTGAATCTGAGTGATTTTAAACACACTGAGGTGAAAGGTGGATAGTTAAGATGGGATTTTGTAAGTCTAGCATTAGAATTACAAGTTGTGTAATTAGCCATTGCCCTATGTTACAAGAAAGGCTTACAGCTACTTTTTGTGATCTAATATTTCTCCTCTTAGTTGCTAGCTAAGAGTAAAGAGTTACAAGAGTAATGAGATCCAGTAATGAAAAGTGTAATTTACCCCAGCTTTACCTTTGCAGACCAAAATGTTCATGTGCTGCTTGTAATGGCTATTTTTTTTCCCTAAAAGGGACTTAAAGGTAATTTTCCACTCCACTTCTTGGAGTGCCTTTGTCTCTTCTCCCGAGGGTCACTCATGCTGTTTCTAATCCTTTGTTTCATTAAGACAAGTAGAGAATGTTCTCTATCTCTTACCAAACCCCTAGGGGACTGCAACAAAGACGAATTCCACTGGCCTAGATGGATAGATGTCCAAGGTTTGGTCTTGCTAGCTGTGGTGGTCAGGTAGCAGGAACTGCTAAAGCAAAGGGAGGGCGGCCTGGTCTGGTTTTTGGGTTGAGTATCAACCAAGTTACTCTTGTAATCAAACTCTAAAACTCTAGTATGGTTAAAGGAAAAACAGAACACCTGGGATGTGCTTTTGTAGAGACAGGAAAAGTTGGTTATGGCCTTGACGGGCTTTTTAACTACTGCTTTCATCTTGTCCGAACGTATTTCTCTAAAATGTAAGGTAACTGGCAGAGATAAACCCTGAGGTCCTGACTGTGGAAGCCTACTGCTTTTACATCTATGTTGAAGGGGAAAGAGATTTGAGTTATATTACATATGATGTGTTTGTGTGGCTTTTTTTCTTATGACAGACTATATTCGCACCTTTACTTGGGACAAAAAGCTTGAAATGGTGGTGAAATCAACTGGCATCTTAGGAGGACAAGGTAAGTTCAGAACAAAAGCAAGAGTTGGTCATGTTTACTCTTTGCTTGCAAGCTTCCAATAGCTATAATAGCAAAGCCACAGTTCGCCCTTCATGCGGAGTTTCAATATGGGCTAAACTTGTGCAGAATAAAAGTAGTAACAAGTTGCAGTGAAATTCATGTTTTGGTTTACCTTCACTTTTAAGTATTACAGGGTTGGTGTAAAAAGCTTAGGTGGTTTCTGCCAACTTCATATATCTCAATTCTGTGTTAGGTTTAAGGCCTTTACTTGACTTGGAAGATTGTGGGATTTTTGTTTGTTTGCTTTTAAAGAAGTTGATGATATGTTGATTCTGAGACCCTTCCTCGTGAAGTATTTTTTCCTCATTTTGCTGTTATGATTTCGTGTGAAACCTTTCTCTCCTGCCATATTGACACAATGGACTCTTCAGCCCATTTCTAACTACTTTTTACTCTTAAATATTAGGTAAGATGCCAACTGTGGTCTCTCCAGAACTGTACCGGACTAGGTTCTGTGAAGCTATGGACAAGTATTTCCTGATGGTACCAGACCACTGGACAGGGCTGGGCCTGAATTGCTAAGTTAAAGCCCATATTGGGAAAGCACAAGAAGAGAATGGTATCCTAGGCTGTTCCCTTCCTGCCATCTGCCCAGCAGTAAGCAAAGGACTGCGATCCCACATCCGCACTGACCGTGTGTGTCTGAAGCTTAAGATCTGCTCATTGCACTTTAATCCTCTCCTGGAGACTGACAAGTGAGCCAGCCTCTTTAAGGATCTAAGCTATAAGGTATCACTGAAAAGCGTTGATAAGAGACATTCCTGCTGTTGGTAGGGAATGTGATGCTGTCTCCCTAAGAGCACTGAAGCAGATACTATCCTGTTCATGGTGGTGTAATTTTGCATAGAACTACATGATCTCTGTAAGTCTTATGCTCCCTATGTGGTGTTGAATGAGTAACTTAGGCTTCTGCAGTGGATGTTTGGTACTGCATATGTGAAATAAGCCCCTTCTGAGGGGGTGGGTGGGAGAAGAGTGAAGTCAACTCCAAAGTTCTGCTGTCATTACAGTGGTCTCTAGCTGACCTGTTTACAATCCATGAATAACTTACCCTGTTTGTGCTGTGTGGTTTCAGCTTTTCCTAACTTCCATAAACAGCACTTGAGGGTGGGAGGATGTGCAGTGCATGTGTGGATTCCTTTGGCGGTTTTTTTAAGGCAGCTGCATAACTGTAATGCCATACATAACCCTCTAAATTATTACATCTTTTAAGTGCATCTTACTGCAGTGCAACTCTCTTCTCATCGGTCATAATTACACTTACCTGAGTCCCATAAAAACAGGTCAACAGTTAACTGAACACTTCAAAATCCACAGTGCATCCCTTGGTTCCTAAAAATTAGTTTGATCTAACTGTTACCCACTACTAGTGGGTGTTATTATTAAATCCCTGGAATTGGGTAATAATACTAATTTAAAAAAATCTACCTAAGCTGGACTTGAGTATGTATAGTTATGAAACTGATTAACCCTTTCCTTAGCAGAAGGCACTCAATTGCAAGATGTAGTGAAGGATGCTGACTCAGAGTAACTACTTTTTCCTTAATAATATTCCTGGCAGATCATTTCAAATCTATTTTGTTTTCCCAGGACTTTCAAACAACGCCTTTACCTCATACAAAAAGCTTGCCAGGAGACAAAAAAACATTCTTGCATTCATGCTGTGCTGATGAGAATGAGCATCCACATTTCATCACACTCTGTGCAGTCCTGATGGAAAACTGTCTTCAGCAGTATTAATTTTTGCACCACTGAGATGAATGTTCTTTTCATTTTCTGTAAAAAGAAAAACCTGATACACAGGTATCTTGTGTGATGGAGAAGATGTGCAGAGATCTGGGAATCTCTACAGTATGACAATAAGCACATCTTTCCATTTTTATTAATTTTTACCTGTTTTTGTAGGTGACAAGTTTACTTTTTAGCTTCAATATAATATAGGCCAGTAAATAAGAATTCGTGTGTGTGAGTTTGAGAGGCAAGAACACTGTCTTTAACTTTCCAATCTTTGATGTGGGCAGGATTTCCAATGAGCCTGGAGCCTGGAACAGCAGAGCCCTTAATGACCACTTGCTCATCCTGACCGGTTGTCTGGTGATGCTAACTTCATTGTAACTAGGGATTGAAATGTGCATTTTTTTCACCTGTCCTTTGGTGTTGAGCGTTTTCCCCTGCAGCACAAGGTGGTGGCCCTGTTCAGGTGTGCCAGCTGGGCAGCCCTGAGAGAGGCAGAACAGGCAGCGAGAACTGAACTGTTGGGCCTTGAAAGCAGCTGAGGCAGCTCGTGTCTGAGGTACCAGGAGGCAACACTCATTTGTGTTCTGTAGTGAAAGAAGTTGTTGGGATTTTGTTTGCTTTTTTTTTTTTTGTTTGTTTGTCTGTCTGTCCATCTCCCCTGTTTTGCAAAGCTCTGCTGAAGGATGAGAACAGATACGGTTTTGGAGCATCAGAAGCAAAAGCATTTGTGTTTCTTCTGCCCGATGCCATCTCTGTTTCTGGGGGTGCCATGTGGCAGGCTAAGGCTGCAGTGATGCCCTGTGTTTTGGAGGGAGACGCAGTACTGCTTGATACCTCTGGCCTGGAGCCCCTCCGGTCCAGCCTCCTTATGTGTGTTCCTCCTCCTTCACATCCTCAAGTTTGTCGTGTAAAACCTTGATTGTCCCAACAGCAGCTGGTTCTTATGTTTCCCCCTCAATCAGTGTGTGGAATGAGTAATGGAGCAGGGATATGCACAGCGTCAAGGCATGTATGCTGGGTTGCTGTGGAGTGGTGTGTGCTGACCCTAGCCTGCCACCAGAAGCCCCTGCTTCAGTGGTGTGCAGCTGCGCTTGTACTGCTTGTCTTCCTGAACCCTGCAGAGATGGCTCTGGAGCAACACAATCCTCCTGTTGTAGCTCATGTTGCCTTGTACCAGGCATGACAGCGTGGGGCTATAGGCACTGTGTGAAACGAAGGACCCGCTCACCCTGGCCAGCTGCTCCAGGTCCAATCAATGCAGAACCCGGTGGGGTGAGGAGTGACCTTCTTGGGCTGAAGCTATAGCAGTTAGCAGGACTTCCAGGTGTGGCCTTGGGCTGGCAGCTGACCTTGAATCAGGATGTGGCTGATGGGCTGGTCCTGGCAGACTGGAACACGCAGCAAAATGTGTAGTGGGTAGCGCAGCAGCATCAGTGGGGTATCGTGAGCTGCCTGGTAGCAAAGCTGTGAGGGTTCCAACCCCAGCAGCTGAGCAGCTTGTCTCAAACATTCTCCTCTTAAAATAAGAGCCAGCCTAGCGTTTTGCTTGCTGCAAAGCTGACTTTCTCCAAAGGAAAGCGTACTTTATGCAAGGGGAGGTTGGGGAGAAGTGTGTCCAAGCAACTGTGCTAGGCCTGCAGCTCTGCAGCATGCCCAGATGTGTCTGCAGGGAGCAGCCTGGGTGTCACCTGAACCCTTTGATTAGTTTTCTTTTGTAACAATTTCTGTGTGTGTGTGTGTGTGTGTGTGTGTGTGTAAGCAAATCCCAGTTGCAATCATGGACTGCCTCTTTTTCTTCCTTTTTTTTTTTTTTTTTTTCTCCTCTGAGCTACATTGTCTTTTTCTGTATCAAGTTGAGGCCTTGTGACAACTGTGTAAATCTTGTCCCAGTCCAAGTGATGACTTGGCACTGTGATGTGGGCAGTAGAAAGCCTTGGAGTGGCCAGGGCTGTGTTCTGGCCTCCAAAAGCACCGTGAGGGGCTCTTGCTGGTGAAGCTGAGGGGCTGTGCTGGAGTTACCAGGGAACGGGCTCTCCTCTGACGACGAGCAAAACCACATCCATCGCTCGCCGACAGGAGGCCGCGCGTTAACTGTTATCCAAAGCCCTTAATGTATGATAACGTCTGTATTTCTAATCTACCTTTGTTCAACTGTATTTTATAAAATTGCTGTACTGAACTGTTTGAGAGTAACTGCCTTGACTACTTGGAGAATCAAAATGTAATATATATAGTTGCAAATACAAATAAAGGAACTAAAATCTAATTGAGTCCATTCCATGTAGTGGTGCAGTTATGTCTCCTATTGCACCCTGTTTTCCCACACCGGAAGTGAAGCCCCACGTGTGCTGTGGGGTGGCAGCCCCATGCACGGTGCTGGGAATCCTGTGGGACCTCCCTGCTGACCCCCGTCTCCAAGGGGGACAGCTGTCCAGGATGATGCCTTTCGGATGCACAAGTAACCTGTGATATGTATTTCCCAGCCTCTCCCCAGCTGTTTTGAGCCCGCAGAGCCGTGTGAGATGGGAAACTGGATCTCCAGCAGATGGAGGTGTTGCCGTGGCCCCACGCTTCCGAGCGGCAGAGCATGTGTTCCTTGGAAAATATCTCCAGGTATTTTGGTAGTTGTCTGTCAGGTGGATTGGATAAAAAGTCAAGGAGGAGTAAAACTTAAGGGTGCATTTTGATTGCTTTGTACTAACCTGGTATATAGCAACGTCCTTTTATAAGGCTAAAAATGTGTTCCTAGATATGGTAAGATAGGGAGCTGTTGGGTCATAGACTACATAACTGCAAAATTTAAAACTTAGAGTCTTATCTGTATTATGTGCTACCCATACATCTTGATTTGGAGAACACCAATATTTAAAAGAGGGAGGGAGGAAGGAGAAAGAGCTCAGAACGAGCTCCAATGTTCCAGCATGTTAGTATCTTGTCCCCTGCAGCCCATGGTGTGAAGGTTGCACGCCAAGCGAGCTGTGTGAGAGCAGGTGCCCTGTTACTGATTGCTGTCCAGCGCATCAAGCTATGCAGAGCTTCGAGCAAGTTATTTGCTTACACACCGTAAAGCCAGTGTGCTTAAGTGTTTATAGAAGCTCAAGCCTGTTATGCTACAAAAGCACACTCATTTACACAGTTTGTACTGGTTATTATTCTTTTACTCCCTATTTTCCTCCCTAGTTGGCTGTTGCCTTGGATCCTGCATTACTTGTGAAACTAGTTTTACTGCACGTCCTTCCCAGTGGTTATTAGTAGCTTTTCCATTAAAGGCCTTGCTCCTGGATCTCTGTAGTTAAATCAATGCATTAGAATTCACTGATATTTAGGTTTCAGGTTTTAATCTTTGTGAGCTCCCTCACTAGTCCTTCAAGTCCCTTGAAATTCAGTGCCATGGAAGCTTTGGAAAACATGATTCTAGTAGCTGTGAATGTGTTGTTAAAGGTAGGGAGTGTTCAGACAGTGGCTTCCTTCCATCTGTGGGAGTTAATTTGCTGTTACAGCTAAAGTCCTAGCAAAAATAAAAAGCCTCAAGAGCTCACCTACACCTTTTTTGTACAGCAGGCATACATTTCACCTGCAGGCTCCTAGCCAAATCATGATTTGTTGGTAAAAGGTGGTGCTTGAGTGACCTGGATTTCTGTAAGAATTAGCTTTTTGTCATGAGACACTTAGTTTCTTCTCCTTCTGCCTCTTCTTAAATTTTTCAGTCTTTACCAGGAGCTTTCTTTTCCAGCATCCTCACCAAAAGTTACTAAGTGTGTCCCTGGTACATGGGGTGCATGTGCAAACATGCAGGCTGACTAGAAAGTGAATCTAAATGGCAGTTAGAAAAGTAGGTCTTTAATAGTTGCTGGCTGGTGTTTACTTATCATGTCTAAGAAAACCAATTATTAAATAATTCCTGGAAGTGCCTGAGACACCCACAGGGGCTTTTGGAAAAGGATGAAGGGTGGTGAGGCTGTTTTGTTAGTCACTTTAGGCCTATAGCCCTGTCCAGGATAACTTGGAAGGTGCCTGCTGTTCTGCTTGCTTTACAGGGCTCCTGAAGCAGCTGGGTGTCTGTTCCTGCTTGCAACTCTCCTCACAAGTGTGGGGAAGCCAGAGAGGGAAGGCCAGGTTGTCTGTGGAGTGGAGCTGCACTTCCCTGTCCCGTTGGGACGAGGAGAGGTCACTTGTGCCCAAACACTGGGCTGGATCAGCTGCAGTTGTGTAGCCAGGGCCAGAGCTCTGCACCGGGTGCCATCCTGCTCTGTGGGCTCTGATAAAGAAGCAGAATCACCATTTACTTGGCACTTCAGAAAACACAGCTGTGTCACAGGGCTGTGTGACAGTTGTAGGGAACTATGTGTAATATTTCTGGCCTTTACCAGACCTGTTTGCTTTCGTTGGGGCTGCCTGTGAAGGTAGACATGGTAAGGATTGCTTCTCAGGGGTCAAGGATTCCCCACGCTATATATGCTGCTGTACGCTCAGTTGAATCCTCTTGAACCTCAATGGTACTCTCCCTCTGTAGGAGTAGAGAGCGTCTAAATGTGAAGCTTTCACTGAGATATTTTAAAATGATTTTATATAATTCAGGTTTAATGGAGGAAAGTGCAAATATTGAACACTTCTCGGGAAAAACAAAGTTTGTGTTTTTATTTGGATTTTGTTTCCCATATAAGATATAAATAGATGCTTTTATCTACTAGGGAGAGAATGAATTGAAAAAATAAAGTCAAATCAGGAGTAAACTAACAGTGATTAGACAGACTGATTCTGTGAAGCCTCAAATTGAGGCTTTAACACAGAATATGTTGCTAAAATTCTGTCCTGCGTTTTAACATAATCTGATTGACCTTGGAAGAAGAGCAGGAATAGGAGGGGAACTTGCAGTTGTCACTAAGATGGCTGTGTAACAGGTGATACAATGAGTTCCCAAAGATGGCCCAGTGACCTAACATATAAAGCAATTGCACCAATAAAATTGGTATTTCAAAGGCTCTATTATGCTTGGTTTGACAATCAAGTCAGCTTATGGTGCTCCTGTGTATAAGATGGATTTTTGATTGTATATTCTTGGACAAGTTATTTAAAATTGAATTTTATTGCTGGATGTGGTCATAGGTATGATTATATCTGTTTAGCAAGTAGGAGTGGGTATGTGTAGGTTGCCAGCTGTCCCCCTCAGCAGAGAGCAGACTGTTTATCTGTGCTGTGAGATTTTTTTAGTCTAAGCAGTAAGAGGAGCCCAGTACTTTCTGGTTTGAAATTGAGAATAGTCTCTTTAACACTAGATTTTTACACGAGACTCTTCTGTTCTTCTTGCCATTTTTCTGCTGTTTCACTAAACTCTTCCCAAGCTACGTGCAGATCTTGGAACCTTTTGCTGTTTGTGAAGATTCAGTAAGGCTTTGAAGGAGATGATGGCAATTCCACTGGCTTCTGTTCACATTAGTTTGTAACCCTGCTTGAGCTTCTGGAGTAAACAGATTTTATGGGTTTTCTTCTGCCTGGGTGTCTTCTTTCAAGGTAGAATAAAGTCTGAAAAAGTAATACTTGGGTTATCTCTGGCTTAGCGTCTGCAAGGGCTTAGGTGGACTTGAAATGGCTTCAAAGAGGTAACCTGTGCAGACCTCTTCCAGAATACAGCAGAAAATACATAACAAATCTTAAATTTTGGTGTGAAACACTGGCCAAATTGCATGTGCCAGGATTCCTTGAATGGTTCTTGACAAGAGAAAGATCTGCTGTAGTTTGAAAATGTTTGCTTTGAATTGAAGCTTGAGTGCTACAGAAACCCAAAACTCAAAGGGTGTGAATGCAAGTGAATGCCCAGCCCTTAGTCCTCAGCCAGCAAGAGGGAACAGCCCTTGGGCTGTCTCTTGCACTGTGCCATTGCCAAGACTTGCATGGAAGCTGGCCAGGTACACCCAAGGGCTGAGGGAATAAGCTGAGCTTATGATTTATGGTTAGAGACATTTCATGTCTTAGCATAGATTTGAGATGATACTGGAGCACTGTTCAGTTAACAATTCTAATTGGAGTTTCGTACTCCTAGCATCACTTCTAGGCTCTGAAGGAAGCTAGGGCATTAACCAGTGTGTTTAGGCAGTTGTTATTAATGGGATAATGGGTATTTGCTCATCTTGATCCATTCCTCTCTACCTGCAGAACAGACCCTGTACTTCCCCATTCACCTTCTCTCTTAGACCTGTTGCACCCACAGGAGCTTTCCAGCCTTTGCACGCAGCTCTCACAGTGCTGCTATTTAGTGCGCTGGCCAACACTGCCCTGCTGTGCCCTTTGCTTGGTGCACCCACTGCTCTGGCTTAATCACTGTCCTCACAGGACCTACAGCCTGTTTTCTTGCTGTTGTGCAACTCGGGAAGTGCTGAGCTGCTGCATCCAGACCTGCATAGCACTGCACCCACACAAGAGTAAGCAGTAATTACAAGAGCAAGGGTTTGTGGAGTGAGATGTGGGAATCAAACCACTAGAAAAGCGTTTAACTTTATAAAGTGGTAATGTAGCAGCTTCCCTGGTTGTGTGTTGCTTGCTGAGCCCCCTGATCAGGTGTTTTTTTTGTTTCCAATCTGTATTGTGGATCTCCAGACCAAACTGAACTTGATATTGGGGTAATGTGACTGCTGGTTTGATTGTTTTGTTTTCCTGCCTCTCTGCTTGCAAGTCAAAACATGCTTTGTTATTTTCTGCTCCAGTGGGAGCTTCCAAACTTTCACTCTTCAGTAGTTGCCAATTTTAAATCCCTGTTCCCCCCTACTTCACAGCTGTCATGTTGTGTCACTAATGCAGTCACAGTGTACCGGCTGCCTCTGTGTGGGTGGCTGGCCTGTTTGGCTCTGCCTGGCTGAACTGCTTTCGCTGGACTCCCCTGGCCATTCACAAATTTGGTAGAAATCTCAGATGAATGGGAAAAGGTGGAATTTCTACCCCAAGGCAGATACCAGTAAATAGTAATTAATTCTGCTGCTGCGGTAGAACTTAAACCACTCGTCCCTTTTGCATTTAGGTGTGTAGGGCAGGTGATGGCTCATCTTGGTGTCCTTGTAGGCTGGGCCACTCCTGTGTACTGGTCACCTGGTGCCCCCCTCCAGCTCAGTGTTGGCCACGTGCGTGGCCATGGTGCTG